GAGGCCGTGGATTCGATTTCAATCCTGACGCCTGCTGTATATTTGGAGTTTGTTACTCCCTTTGTCGCGTGGAGTTTTCTCCCGGGTCCTCCAGTTTTTCCCTTCACATTTAGAATCAACATCAGGCGTTCAGAGTATTTGGCTGCTAGAAATTTCCAAATGATAAAACCCACTTTCATTGAGCTATCATTTGCGATAGCCAGGTTGCTTATCAAAACAGATTTTTCTAGCTAAATGGGGCCTTAACTGGTGAAATAATTTTTTTTATATTTAGTTTAACTTCAATGTCTGGCACAATTTTTGCTCATGGGCCATGTACCAGTCCGTACAGCAGGTCGTTTTGTGGCCAAAGTTAGCTGCGGCTGACTCGTCGATATGCATGCGTAGTATTACCATAAATCCATGATTAGCCCACTTTTTCGTGGGGTTATCGACGAAACACCGGTGAAGGGGGGTGCCCACTTGAGAACCCGGTGAAGTCCCCACTCAGCTCGGTCCCAGTTAGGGGAGTAGTGCCTTGAATGAGGAAGAAGGGGGGATTGATTGAAGTGCCATCTGGCGCACAGAAATGCTACAGGGAAGTGAGTACCTGTCAGGTGAGCCGGTAGCGATGACCACCATCGTATTTCGGATATATACATACACACACGCATAAACTATAACAAGTAGAGAGCGTGTACATTATTTCTTTATTTTTACATTGGCTCGAGACGTATCAGTGAGAGGTGAGCAGCACGGCAGCCTATGTTGGAATGCAGAGACACTTTGATATTGGCCACCAGGCCGGTTCGTTCCCGAGCACTTCCGCACCTCCCGTGCCCGGTTTCTATCACAGAATCTGAATCTTTATTTTAGACCGGACGAATCCCGGATCTGCTCCGAAGCTCTTTTTTGCATAGATGTTCCAGCGGTCGCGTGGGAGGAATCCGGGGTCTGGAATCACCCCCCCCCCCCCCCCCGTCGAGACCCATATGGTGAACTGAGCAGGGGGAAAGCAGACGGCCAACCCCCCTCCCCCCCCCCCACTTGTGTTCTCAATTGCCGATTGTGTACTGGAAGTCATGTTGAATTTGTGTTGTGTAATATCTCTCCGCTACTGTAAACGTATGTGCAGGTCAATGAGAGAGACAGAGAAATAGAAAGCATGAGAGACCCGAGTATTGAGAGGTAGGTTCGTTGAGAAACAGGGCTATAGAGAGACAGGGCTATTGAGATACATCTGTTCCAAATTGAGGGCAAACACATTTATTGTGATCATCTGTAAAATGCAACAGCACGTGTGTCACAGCAATTCTCAACCGAGTCGCCATTAACCACGTGACTGGTGTACAGGTCAGGTTACTCAATAACAGTTTCCCTTCAACCCAATTCCACTACTGATAAACCATCTTTGTCTTTAATCATAACCTATACACTTCGATATTCGAATATTACTTGAATCCTGAGCTGTATGTCTATCTATACCATTCACTTATATTGATAACTTACACCCATTATCTGTAGTGGAAATGTACTGTACTTGTCACCATTGTACAACTTACATGTTATATTCTTAATAGCATTGCAAGTGGTCATATTCTGGGTGCATGGGCATGGTTATAGAATAAACAGTATTAGGGTTAGAGAATTACCAGTGTTAACTACAGTACGTCATCTTTTACAGTGTACAGTGCAAACCCCCTCCTATTGAATATATCACAAACTATCAATTCAAAGCCAAACTTAAAGACTAGAACATTTCTATAACTATCAAAAACAACATTTGGGGCCTATTCCTGTAAAATGCAACAGCACGTGTGTCACAGAAATTCTCGACTGAGTCGCCATTAACCACGTGACTGGTGTTCAGGTCACTTTACTCAATAACCCTGCCAGCCACCTACAGGCCCGACTCAGTATCGCATGCTGGTGTACATACGTGCATTGATGTAGTGCACAGCACATAAGGACCTTCACAAACCCACACTTTACTCCATTGCTGCACGAGGAAATGGCAAAAAAGAGTGGTCAATTCCTAATGTGCCACACAGGGCTATAAAGAGACTGGGCTATAGAGAGACAAGGCTACACGTTGCTCACCGCAGCTATTAAACACGCGGTCACCTATTGTGCGTGCACTGCAATCCGCGTGCTCTTGCTTGCACCGGAGGCTGCACATTTTTTAACGCTTTAAACGTGAAGTACAATAAAAAAAAACTTTAAGAGGTTGCAAATGTTTAAGATCTCACAGAACGAACACCTGTCACTCCCCATGCTGCGCCCGTTGTGGAGGTTATTGCACCGTACTTCACCAATGCTGTTGGCACGGGTTGGTGCGTAGGTGGTACCCAGGTAATCGCTCGTAGATGTCAGTCGTGACTACGGGTTTAGAATGGCGAACGTACGAATCACTGCGCCACTACTACACCCTTTTACTTCGACAGCCAATTGTGTGTATGTAATTATTCAATTTAAAATAACATTTACTTCATGTTCTAACTGAAATCTTTGAAGCCTTGTGTTAACTCTTGACTGTTGACATGAATGCACGATTTCGTTGTTTTTTTATAATATTTCATTGAGCACAGAATGAGAGTGCATTGTGAAGCAATACCGCTTTTGTATAAGTGGGCTGGGTGTAGATACTGTTAAGAAGTACAATACAAATTGTTGTGCTGCACTTTAACAGCAATGGAGCTTACGCAGCAGAGCTTATATATCAACGATATGAACTGAAATGTGTTTATATTGCCCTAACGTGCAATATTTTCAATCGCTGTTCAGAAGCCTAAACCACGGAGATGACTTTCAATGTGAGAAGTGGGGGAGGTGTCACCCGCTGTTTCTTTGAACAGGGGCACCGCGGTGGCGAGATGTTAACCACCTCGCCTGGTATACAGGAGGTCGTGCGTTCGATCCCGACCCTGACGCCTGCTGTATACTTGGAGTTTGCACGTTTTTCCCGTGGTCGTGTGGAATTTTTTTCTCCGGGCCCTCCGGTTTTTCCCTCCACATATTCTCTCCGTGTTTAGAACCATGGATTTAGAGTATCCACATGATAAGCCACTTTGTTGAGCTATCATTTGTGGCCAGGTCGCTTCTGAAAAAGAGCTGCGTAGTTCAGTGGGCCTTCCCTGATAAAATATTAATCATTTTGAATGTATGTTGGACTTCTCTCGCACCGTACGTAACCAACCTGTGCTCATTGGAGGTGCGGGGCAAGGACAACACACCAAACAAAAAACAGTCTCAAAGAAATTAGTTTTCAATCCAGATTTGCAAGTGCATATCTCCAGTGGCTTGCTAATATCGGAAAGAGCTACGTAGCTCGGTGGGCGTTACCTGGTAAAATATAAAACTAGTTGAGTTTAAATGCCGGTCTCAACGCTCTCTTTGATGAGGAGTCTGACACATTGGAGGAATCATAATCATAATAATTATTATTTATACATGAGGAATCTGATGAGCCTATGAAGCTCTTTGTCACAGGAGGTCCAGTAGGGGCACGGGATCAGAATGTTACAGCAACAAACAATACAAAAACACGATAGGAGTGCAAAGTATAGAAAGGTAAACAAATCACAAAAATATATATATACAAATAAAACTAAACTATTTATTTTATGTTACCAGGTGAAAAATAAGCTATTAACTTATTTTTCAAAAGCGACCTCACCACAATGATAGCTCAACAGAGTGGCTTATCATGTGGACATTTATAGCAACCAAATAATCTAAATGAAATTGGACCTTTTTTCCAGTATCAAAGTATGAAAAAATAAGAATAGGGTTTACCTTTTCTGGCAATAAACAGGTGTTAAGATTTTGATTTAAAGCTTTCGTGACTGCAGGGATTCATATTCTTGGTTCTTTCAGTAAAGTCACGTGACTTTACCGAAAGAACCAAGAATATAGGTGTTAAGATGTTTAAACACCAAATAAAAACCTTTTGCAAGCATACGAGCTGGTGGGACTCGGCACTACTATCTCCTGGCCCCGTACCAACAACACCAAGCAATCCCAACTGGTTGGCGATTCAAGCACACAACCAGGCTTAAGGCCACTCCGCTTTCAAGCACCGATGAGATCTGCCACACTTTTAGAGTTAAATTGGCCTTAGGCCGAGCATCGTAAGGCACCGCTGGGTTTGAACCACTGCGGTAGGGGTAAAACGTTGACAAATTGATACTAGAAAAGTAACAATATCACATTTCACTGATGCACCCATTTCGCTGCTGTCCAGGCTTCTAATGTCCAATATAGCACCATTGAACTACTTTTTTTTAATATACGATTGGTAATTCTCCGATGCGATCACTGGATGGAATTGTCTGAAATTCTCGGCAAAATTTAATTCTGGGTGCATCTTCGGCTTAGTTCCACCTCTAACGCGCGGTGGATTTGCAAGGATGATGTAATAGTTGATCCCGAGAGCGTGGGAGGGACTACGTGATCTGTTTTTAGCACGAATAAATTATTGTGCATTATGACTGAAGCTCGCTCACTGACCTTTCTGTCTGACTGTAATCACATTGCCGTGCTAAACCCTGTGGGAGCGATGTGCGCACTCTTTCGCCGAAGTTTGTGTTTCGGCTTTCTTTGTGTTTTGCGGATCTCTGCTCGCGTATCAAGTACGATGGTCGCGTTGCAGCCAAATACTCAGAACCCCATGTTTCCAAATGTGGAGGGGAAAAACCGGAGGACCCAGAGAAAATCCACGCGACCACGGGGAGAGAGATCACTTCTTTTGTTCTTGTAAGGAAACTTACAAGTTACACTTTATATTTGAGGCAAACTGGCTTCTCAACAACACCATTCCGATCCAGTATTCCCTTCACCAGGAATATGGAAACAACCGATTAAGATAAACGTGATCTGGTTTGCAAGGTCATCACGAATTACTCGTTGGAGGGAACCGAGTGTGTGAAACCAAGGCTACGTGAGAGATGATAAGAGAGTTGCGATTTCACACTCGGGTTTCTAATCATCTCTCCGATGGGCTTCTTGTGTCCCCCCCTCAGACAAAACCTTTGAGCGTAACTCAAGCTTCTTCATTCAAGATGTGACGTCCCTGCAGGGTGGCTCGGAACGGCACGCCATGGCCCGCGGTCTCGCCGCCGCCGCTACCGCCGCCGCCTTGGAAAATACGTGCCGTCAGTGCGGGCGCAAGTTCGTCAGTGCGGCGCTGCTGGCGGCTCACATAAGCGCGCACGCGAGCGAGAAGCCGTTCCCCTGCTACGTGTGTGGCCGCACTTTCGCGTTCAAGGCACACCTGAGGGCCCATCAGATGATGCACACGGGCGAGAAGCGCTACCGCTGCACCGAGTGCGACCGCGTTTACAAGCACTACAACAGCCTCAAGTATCACCGGCAGACGCGGCACACGGGCATGGCGCTGTCGCTACCGCCGCTGCCACCACAAAAACACCAGAAGCAGCAGCAGCAGCAGAAGCAGCAGCAGCACGCTATGCCACGCTGAGACTAGCCTGGCGCGAAGGAGCCGCACGCCACCAGCCGTTCCGATCCCTAGCGCCGGAACAGACGCACGGCAGCCCCCAGACGGGTCGCCGGCTGTGGGGGGGCAGCTTTTACGTTGAAGGGTTTTTTGAATGAAGAATTTGCGAGGACTTTGACGCTCAATCTGTTAAGAACTTTTGACGGAATTTACTAAGTTAGGGAAGTGTGGGTGGGGTCCACAGCTAAGCGATACGTTGTGCAACGCCTCTCGAAATTAGGCAACTTCATTGCCCGCGGCTGCTTCTTTGCGCAGTGGTGTCAGGCGTGGCTATTTGCAGATTTGCGCTTCCCACCACGTGGAAGACTTTACTTAGTTTAATTTAAATTTCCACGATGTACGTGTATAATGTTTATATCGAACTTTGTAAGTACAACAGGTCGGTCGCCGCGGAGAATTTGTTGACTCACTCGAGCGAGTGTTGTGACACCTTGACCCATGACTGCAGTTATCTTGATGCTAATCACGGAAGACATACGGGTTGCGCACGGAAGAGGCGGTCCGCGACATTCTGCAGCTTACATTCCTCACAGGGTGCGACCCGCACCCCATCATCTGCCATCAGAAGAAGTTCTCTCTTCATAAATGTTGGTCTCGGCTTTCACGTGAGCAGGATCGAACAGCTTGCCGTCGCACCTCGTGTGTGCACAAACAGACGGCCCTCTGCGCTCCTGTTATGAAACGCGCGGATCGGGAGGACCGAGAAGTTGCCGAAAGGCGTTGGGTGCAAGAAACGAGACCCCTGCCGAAAATGTTTATCTCGAAACTGTCGGATGTGGATCCATTAAATTGCAAGCGCTGTGCCAAGTTTTAGTGAAAGGGCCGGAATCAGGCTGAGAAGTTTTTGGGGGGTGAGGAGGAGGGGGGGGCACCCATTCTTTTCTAGAATCTTGTAGAAGCCTGATCTGCTGACCCCTGGTAAAAGATTTGCTGCTCGGCAAGGTAGAGGTGGCTTAGCCTGCTTCTCCGCATTTCTGTTTTCCTCGGGGGAGTGAGAAGATCATATCCGTTGTTGAGCGGCACGTTTTGCTTCGTATGGTTTCAAAAGAAGTCTGACATACATACGTGCATCCCATTGTGCCTTCGGGGTAAGCAACCGCTGAAGTCTCCGGAGCAGCACTCTGACAAAAGAAAAAAAAAATGCCGAAGAGGGAAATTCCACGGTAGTTGTTGCAGTCTCCACGTATCAGTCGTTGTTCTTGTGCGGAGTGATGTTTGTATCGCTCCCATCTCGGCGGACTGCTCCCCTCCACCAACAATAGTAACAAGAGGACGTAAATGAGGTTATACAGGAGGTCATACAGATGTTGTATAAGACTGGTTTCCCCACTGCTTGGCAACTCAGCTGGGGGAGATGCCGTCCTTTCTCGGTGCTTCCCTACTCGCCAAGGCTGCCTGTGGCCTGGCTCAGCTACCCGATTGTTGCCGGCCTCGTCAAGCTCGTCCGTGGCCTCGTTAAGTCCCCAGCATCGTTAGCAGTCGCTCCCGTATGAGAGATGTATCAGCTTCTCGAGGTTACAGCTCGAGGTAACGCTCGACTTGACGGCTTTCCCATTCTGATGTGCGTACGTACGTGTAAGCCATTGGTTTTACGTCCGATTCCGTTCCAATCATGTGTACGTGCATGTACGTGTCATCGGAACGGAAGCGTAAGTGAAGGCATGGCGGGAGGGGCGTGTGGCGCAGTTTGGCGCCGGCTGTCGTAGAGAGTCCGGTGGTCGTGTCGCTACGGTTTTCATTGTAGCAGCGCTACTACTACACCACCTCTCTAGATCCAATTAACTCTGAGTCACTCGTGCCGTTTCGAGATTCAGCGGTGAACGAGGACCACCCACACCCCGCAACTTGCGGACGTCCCGGAACGGAAACAGAGTTCAGCGTTGTGCCATCTGCCGTTTTCTCTCTGTGATCGTCTTGCCATCTCCACGCCCTTTAGAGAGACCAGCATTCTTGACAGCATGGGGAGGCCGACGGCCTTCACGATCTCCTCGTAAATGGCGAGGAAGATTACCACCGTCGGATGCGGTTTGGATTTCTTGGCACAAGTCGCTCCCGTAACTAATTTGCATGTCATATGGCTTCCTTTAACACTGTACGTCCTTGCTGAACTGAGCTCCTTGAGGGTTTCTTGTGTTGGACTGGCATTGTACTTGAGGTGGGTTTTTTTGCTTGTTTCACCAGGCGAAGGAGACGATATTGGGGGCTCCGCGGTGGCTAGATGTTCTCTCCCTCGCCTGGTATACAGGAGCTCCTGGGTTCGATCCCCGACCCTGATGTCTGCTGTATATTTGGAGTTTGTGGTGTATCTCTTCCCCTTGGTCGCGTGGATTTTTCTCCGTTTTTTTCCTTCACATTTAGAAACGACACGCGTTGAAGAGTATTTGGCTACTGCTATAAATATCCACATGATAAGCCACTTCGTTGAGCTATCATTTGTGAATGCCAGGTCGCTTATTAAAAAAATACCTGTATAGCTCAGTGGACCTTACCTGGTGAAATAAAAAGTTTAGTTTAGCTTCAATGACGAGCACCATTCTTGCTCATGGGCCTTGGACCAGTCCATACTGAAAGTCCTTTTGTGGCTGCAAGTTAGCTGCAGCTGGCTCATAGATGACCGTGTGTAATATATGACCATGATTATTTGAAATACACTTTGTTTATATTCTACACACACACATACGAAAACAAGGGCTTTAAAAATTTAGACTTTTTAATTTAATTCTACATAACTTTGCCGAAAACCAAAGAATATGTGCTTTTTAAATTTTTATTTTGTCCGTTAATGAACTTACCTGGTCTGGCAAACAAGGGGTTCAGCTAGCCCGGGTTTTATTGTTCGAGTTGGCACGCAATGAAGTTGTGCAATTGATTGCTCAGGTGTGGACCCCGTCTGCCCTTCAGGCAAAGTCCAGAGTGAGTTTGTGTTCTTTTCCTACGCTATAGCCACCATTCTTAATGTGGGTCACATCCAAAGTGCCCTGTGGTTATGCAATCGGGACAAACCCATTTTTTTATTTTACAAGGTGAGGCTCCCTGAGCGATATAGCTCTTTGTTTCAGAAGCGAACTGGCTATCACAAGTTATAGGAGTGCAAAGTCTAGGAAAGGTAAACAAATCACTTAAAAATATATCTATAGCAATAAAACGAAACTATTTTTTTTATTCTTACCAGGTGAAGCCCCACTGAGCGATTAACTTGTTTTTCAAAAGCGACCTGGCTACAATGATGGCTCAACAAAGTGGCTTATCACGTGGAAATTTATGCAAACTCCAAATATACAGGCGCCAGGGTCGGGATCGAACTCACGACCTCCTGTATACCAGGCGAGGTATTTAACAGGAGACATCTCGCTCGCCTGATATGCAGGAGGGACGTGGGTTCGATCCCAGACCCTGTCGATGCCTGTTGTAGGTTTTGAGTTTTCGTGTTCTCTCTCTTCCCCTGGTGATCACGTGGATTGTTCTCTGGGTTCGTCCAGTTTTGCCCTCCACATTTAGAAACGTGCGTTTAGATTTCTTGGCCACGACTATAAATTCCCACATGTAATGATGTCACTTTGATGAGTTACCATGCTTGGCCAGAGTCGCCTTTGAACAAGAGCTAATAGCTCACTGGCTTTACCCGATAAATAAAATAATTTTTGGAGGAAGATTGCTTCACTGTAAATACAGTACTTCCTGGATGCGAGCATGTGGGTTCAGGACCTTTATTCCTCGCTTCATTCTTCGTCATTCCACTTGTAACTTGAGAGCCAACAGTACCACGAGGCTGGGCCCCTTTGTACACGACAGCCATTTGGGGCGTCACGGTTGCGAGATGTTATCTCCCTCTAGCTTGGTATGCAGGAGACATGTATTCGATCCCAACCCTGGCGCCTGTATATTTGGAGTTTGCATGTTCTCGTGCTTATGTGGATTGCTCTCCGGGTCCTCGGGTTTTTCCCTCCACATTTATAATCAACGTGCATTTTAAGCTATTTGGCTACTTTGATCAATTTCCACATGATAAACTACTTTGTTGAGCTATCATTTGTGGCCAGGTCGCTTCTGAAAAAGAGCTATATAGATGTGTGTCTTACCTGGTAAATAAACAATAATAGTAGTCGTGGTAGATGTTCAACATTTTGCTCCATGTCCCGGGACCTTCTTTAGGAATTTTGATCTGCAAAAACCTACGTAGTGCTAGTCTGGCATTTTGAAGCGGTGGATTATTACCCTGGAGTTTTTGAGTTATTGCCTAATACTCGTACTACTGCTTAGTACTCGGGTGACAAAGTGGAATGACGAAGATCTTTAATTCGATCTTGATTTGAAGCTTTCGTGACTGCAGGAATCCATACTCTTTGGTTATTTCGGTAAAGTCACGTAGTTATATTTTATTTTATACCTACGTGACTTTACCGAAAGATCCAAAGAGTATCTTTAATTCGATAGCGGTACGATGATTTTCAACGATGCAATAGCTTTCACGATCATACTTCTCGTGCCAGGAATGCAATACAGTTTGTTCTCCTATAATGCGGTCCGAGTAGTTGCGTTCCCGAAGAACATCGCAGTCCGCGATAACGCGTGAGATGCGTAACGCAAGGCTGAACAGAGACTGAGGCACGTGGTGGGTAGCATCTGGAAGCATCCAGCAACATCCCGCATTGTGCGACACTACGGGTGGGGCAGCCGTTACAGACGCTAATTCCTACTCTCGCGACGTTAGTTCCGTTGGCTCGATCGCGTCTTGTCCAGTTCGCATCCGCGTTATAAAAAAAAAATGCGTTCCCCAATACATTAATTGTGCTCTCTATTCAACTGGCTTGATGAAAATAACACATGGGGTTGAAGGACAATCCGTACTTGGGTTTGTGTGTAGAATGCGTTGCCGAGACTAGCCCCCGTACATCCTTGTGCTGTACTTTTATCTCGGTGTTCCAGCATCTGTGTTGCGTAGATCCGTCCGCTATGTGAACTGCGCGTCAGATGCACAAGCCAGTGCCGCAAGCAAATGAATAATAATAATTTGTTCGAAGGTAGAAGCAAGTGAGAGCCACCGAGACAAGTGTGTCTTTTGCTATGGAGACTCGGGATTTGTTCATGCGATACGTACATCCAATGTTATTTTAATACGTTAAATGTTTTTTGCATGATTTCTTCATCCAGAAAAGCTTTGCTGAGTCTGTAGACCAATTTCCAGGGGATTATTGCAGAGGATGGTGCAAGAAAATCCGTAGATTGTACCGTGCTACGCAACGTAAACTACGCTGCCTGCCTTCAATAATCAAAAGTGTGGCAATTTAAACCCCATGACCCCGCAAGGCACGTTGGGGCATATTGTGGATTACACAGGGCCACCTTTGATTACGGTCCAATAGGTCTCTCTCCAACAAAGAGAAGCGGAGCTCAGGTGGTCTGAGGTGGTTAAACAAAGATATGGAATCTACCTCCGCTCCAATGAAGCTACGAAGCTTTTTCGTTATCTCTCTGCTTCGCCGTAAAAAAAAAGACGAAAAAAAGTTTGTTGTTGGTCAACTGTTCGCGAATAACTGGGGGCATTAATTGACCGACGTTGCAGCGGCCGTTGTAATGACGTTGGAAACTGCTGAAAATAAAGTTGTGATAAAAAAAGAGACTCGCTTCATGAATGGAAATCGTGACCTCCCCCCAATACCATTCATTGCCATCACATGAGGAGCGACTTGCTGCAACCGGATGAGTGTAACAGTCCATTGAATGTTTTTGTAAGCTTTGCAATTGTACCATGATCAGGTATAAAGACACTGAATCTCATGGCACATTATTGAATGACAAACAAAAACTGCACTTTAACAATGTGAACACGACACACAACCAAGTAAGAAAAATCACGCTTACACAAATTAACTCTGTATTGCTTTCCAACAAGAGCAGTGTTCTTCATTTAAAGGCCCGCGGGTCACTGGCGGCCCCGGTGGCATTTAGTGCGTTCCCTGACGTGCGGCCCCCCGACAATTGGTGTGGCGGCCCTCGCACTGATTGATGTCTTATCGGCGAAAGTTCCCCTCCCCCCCCTCCTGTCTGAAAATTAGTGAAGGACACTGAATTAGAGAGAGGTAGCAATGGTCGTTTCCATGCCAGGTGCACAGAGCGGTAATATCTGTCGGCTACGATGGGACAACGGAGTTCGGATAGCAGCTCTACTGGGGGATGGCATGGGCAACCCTTGGATTCATTTGGCCGGTTTTCACAGTGGAAGTTCACAATATGGTGCCACGGTGGCGAGATGTTAACTACCTCGCCTGTTATACAGGAGGTCGTGGGTTCGATCCCGACCCTGACAATGCCTGCTGTAGTATATTTGGAGTTTGCATGTTCTCCCCATGGTCGCGTGGATTTTTCTCCGTGTCCTTAGGTTTTTCCCTGCACTTTTAGAAACAACATGCGTTAGAGTATTTGGCTGCTATAAATGACCACGTGATAAGCCACGTCGTTGAGCTATCATTTGTGGCCAAGTCGCTGCAGAAAAAGAACTATATAGCTCTGGGTTTTACCTGCTAGTTTTATTTTATCAACACAGCCTAACACTAAATGCATTAACCCTTTCAACCTGAGTTAGAAACCATTTAACAAAACCACCATTAAGTGTGAATTATTCTGTAAAAGCCAGTGCTAAAAAAATGAGTCTTAGAATTTGTATCAACGATAGGGTGGATTTGTAAAGACATGGCCGGTGGGTCTCCCCGTGGTCGCGTGGATTTTTTCTCCGGGTCTTCCGTTTTTTCCCTCCACATTCAGAAATGTGCGTTTAAATTATTTAGATAATTTTGCTGGTATACATTTCCACATGATAAGCCGCCACTCCGTTGAACTATCATTTGTAGCCAGGTCGCTTCTGAAAAATAAGCCAATTCCTCAGTGGGCTTTACCTGGTAAGATATAAATAGTTTAGTTAAATTAGTATTTTTTAAAAGTTATTTGTTTATCTTTCCTATACTTTGCACTCCTTTTGTGTTGTTGTATTGTTTGTTGTTGTAATATTCTGACCTCGTGCCCCCCTACAGGACCTCCAGTGAAAAAGAGACTTCACGGCTCATCGGATTCATCCAGTGTAAATATTTCGATTCTGAATCGGTCACCGTTGTTTTCTTTCTCCCCCCCCCGACCACCCCCCGCAGTTGAGGGGCCATCGAGAAACATGGGCCTCGCGATACTGGGCGTGAGGTCGCTATGGACTGACCCGGCTCATTTGCCGCCGCAGTCACAGCGCCCGCAGTTGGAGGGCGAGGAAGTCACCGAAAAGGTCATCGAGTGCCCCAAGTGTGGACGGGCCTTCTCCAACTCAGCCCACCTGACGGCGCACATGCGCTCACACACGGGCGAGAAGCCGTACAGCTGCGACGTGTGCGGCCGCGCCTTCTCACTCAAGGGCAACCTCAAGACGCACCAGCTGACGCACACGGGCGAGAAGCCGTACCACTGCGGCACATGCGACCGCGTCTTCACGCACTACTCGAGCCTCAAGTACCACCGGCGGACGCACACGGGCGAGAGGCCGTACAGCTGCGACGTGTGCGGCCGCTCTTTCGCGCAGGCCTCGGGCCTCAAGGCGCACCGCTTCACGCACACGGGCGAGAGGCCGTACGCGTGCCACGTGTGCGGCCGCACCTTCTTGCAGTGCCGCAGCCTCAAGGCGCACCTGTGCAAGCCCGAGGAGTTCTGAGTCGTTGGGTTGGGCCAGTGGACAAAATACAACTGCCTCCTAAGGAAATTTGGAATTTTTTAATAAATTGTATTCGTGCTGGTGACCGGGGGTTTGGGCATCTAACAGATGTCTGGCCCGCGGTTCTTCAGACCCTACTGGAAGAGACTACCTCGCAGTGTCATCTCAGGAGCTGCTGCCGTTCACAGTCACGCGTTCCGACCGTTGGGGCCGTGTGCTCTTCTGTACGTACGTTATGTATGCTGAACTTCTTTCGCACCGTACGTAGCCGACCGCGCCAATCGGAGGCGCGGCGGAAGGATATGAGGTGAATTGGTTCCGTGGTCTGGCGCAACAGTGCGGGGGTGCGATGCACAAGCCTAGAGGGACGAAGGTCCACTACGTTGGTCGGCTTTCGAGACGGACGATCGTGCTTCCGCAGCATCTATTTAACACCGGGTCGCGATATTTTTTGCCACGTCCAGACTTTCCTCTAAACCAGTGGTTCTGAACCTGAGGGTGTGACAAGATGCCCTTATAGGGGTGTGAAACATGATCATCGAAAACACAAATTAAGCACGTAAGTACAACTACTTTGTTTCATCAAAGCCTATGTATTAACATACATTTTTAATGATTGAGAACCAAAGGGGTGCAGGCTGCAGTAAATGTTAAGAACCACTGCTCTGAACGCACGTTTCTCCCATGCAGAGCATGCATACTCCACTGCTGAGTAGCAGTGAGCCGGTGCGGTTGACCCGAGTGTAGATGCATTAGCTCCCCGTTTAGCGTTGGCCGGTTTCAAGACGATGGTACGTTGTGAACGCAACCGTTGCTGTGGTTTTCTCAACACGTGCCTTGTGTGTCAGCGATCGGTCAGTCGAGTGTTGCACGCGATGATCAGGATTTGAGCGGTGGGCCAGTTTTGCGCCATTCAATTGCATTTCGGAGCGAGGTACGGCTTCGCGTTTCTGTTCCCTTGTAGATGGAAGGTGCACGCTTTGGTCTTAACCAGGTCGGTTCGGAGTTTTTTTTCCTCGCAATGTTACCTTTGTTGAAGTCACCGTCGGGGTTGTTTCGACGTACGTTGAACTTCTTTCGCACCATACGTAGCCAACTCTGCTAATCGGAGGTGTGACGTGGTGAACGTCCTTGTGCCTTGGTCTGTCACAGGGGTTGTTCGTGAAAATTAAACCTTTGGGGTCCTGGTGGATTGGCCGATAAGACGTTAAAAACGGTGATGGTGCGAGCACGCTGCCTTTTGGAAGACCATTTTCCATTGGTGCCAGCGACTTCGCTTTCCATCCAGTTCTATGAAGAATTGTCGGTTCTTTAGTCGAGTCTGTAAATGAGTTCTTCAAGTCATATCAATCTTGATTTGAAGCTTCAAGTCATCTTCAGCAACTTGTCGAGTAGCCGTCGATAACCGACGGTGTTGTGTAGGCTGCCGATAGGTCTTCCAACAGCTCCTGTAACGAAACCTTTCTCAAAATCTTCCTCGGTGTGCGTTACGTAGGATGGAGCAGCTGTTTTTTTGTGCGTGATTCACCTGGGGCGATTTCCAGCTTGCTCCGTCGCGTCAACACGTCATGCAATATGAATCACCATGAGCCTTGTTAGTGCGGCAAAGCAGGGGAGATGGATCGAAAACTCTTGTCCCCCGTTTGAGGAATGAAACTCCCTCGGGCTTGCCTCCAGACTTTCAGAATCCTTGTGGGTAGCCACACAACTTGTAGAAGTCCTGAGCTTTCAGCCTGACATCTTTGATTTGTTCCGTCATAATGTCTGTGTGTATGTAGAACTTCGCACCGTACGTTGCCAACCGTGATAATCGAAGATGTGGGGGGAAGGACAACAAACTAAACACAAAGCAGTTCAAAATAAGTGAGTTTTCAATGTAGATGATTTAAAAGTGCATTTCTCCCGGTGGCTTCCTAATATCGGAAGAGCATTCCAGACGGCCGCAGAAGCGCATGTGGAAGCGCGCGATGTGGTGAGAAGTGGTGCTCCCATTGTCTTGCCTCCAGAGTTTCGGGATCCTTGTGAGTAACCACACAATTTGTAAAAGTCCTGGAGCTTTCGGCCTGACATCTTTGACTTGTCCCTTCAAAGAATGTCATGCAGGCTTGCCGCTTTTCCGCTCTTCAATGAGCTCATGCCAGCCCGGAGATGTACTGTTGAGAATGGCTGGGTGAACCCATGAATGTGTGGGTGTTGGATTAGGTGGGTGTTTAGTTTGTCCATGTGGTGCAGGTCTGGTCGAAATCAGCTTGTGGGCGACTTGGTTGGGTGTAATCTTATGATAAATTATTCTTTATTGTTATTATATTAAATCATTTTTTTTACAGAAATCCAGTGGTATCACACCTAAATTGAAACAATAATATAACCAATACAAATAAGAAAAGAGAAAACACTGAAACACCCGGCAACAGTCCCATGAAAATACGTAAAAAAATAAACACATTGGTTGCATAAACGAGATTTAAAACACCACTTGAAAACATTACTTTAAAACAATTGTCCCCCAACTTTATTTGCAGCAGGCCACAATAAATTTCAAGTGTTGGCTGGTCACGTGACATCGTGTAATTTCACTTGTAGACGTTATATAACATCGCACAGTTGTGAGGTAAAATAATATCTGTACACGTGACCAATAATATATAAAAATGTCATCCATCTCATCTGTATATTTGTTTAACACGTAGGCTTTCGCGAACAATATTATCCATGATTAAGGAGTTTTTTTGTTCCGGGTTAGATCGTGTAAATATAAATGTATCCTTAACTCACCACCACCCGGCACAGCCAATTAGTGTAAGGTTTGTCACGTAAATATTTACAATTTACAATGTTTACGTGCTGAGTAGTAACTAATCACCTTTTAACCCCAAAAAATGCCTTTATTTTGGATCTGTATATTTTATCTCACTAATCTGTATTTATTATCTCTCGGTGGGCCATAACTAAGTGGGCCACTCCAAAAGCCTCTCACAGGCCAGATATGGCCCACAGGCAACCAGTTGAAGACTTCTGCTTTAAAGGACACCTTAACATTGTCCCCGATTATATTTTTGGCATATTTAAATGACACATTCACAATCCGCACAATTAAATGGAGAGGACCGCATTCCCGTTCTCCCGAGCGTTCCACGCTTCGCTCGCTAAAATCTCGCAATGCGTCACAACGCTGCGCTGTTTTCTTGGTACAAAACTTGGTGTAAACTGCAGCCAATAGCCAGCCGTGTGTGTGTGTACACCAAGGAGATAGGTGGAGATTATTCTTTTTAAAGGAGGCATAGACTCGGGTCTGAACTCGAGGATATTTGGCCTACTCTTACAAGATGTCTTGGAATAGTTGCGAGTACCCAGACTTTGCCTTGGAGCGTGCGAGCCGCTGTTCAGCAAACTGTGGTCTTACAAGAGGTGGGGAATTCTGCAAACTTGAGCACCGCTTCTACTGCTGTGCCAGCAAATTGAAACCGGGTGCCCTCTGGATTGGTCGAAGGGCGTTTAAGGTCGAGTTGGAATATCAAGTAAAAAACACAACTCAACGCGGTCATCATTAACACGACATATTATTTTGTAATAAGGTACTGTCATTTATTGTGGTGTGGATTTTGGGTTTTAATTTGTGTTAATTTGTTGCTGTGTACTACTTCCAATAAAGTATTTTCTTTCCTGACAAAAACGGGCGTGTAAATGCAACTGTATGGTGTCTCGCCTGGGTCCTAAGTTAATAGTGATGACGATCAGTTCAACACAATGTAATCTATATATATTTTTATATAAAAGGGAAATTTGTGAATATGTGTGTTTGTTCGACATGCAACAAACTTGAAATTTGGCATGTGGGTATTTTCCAGACTGTACACCATGCAAAAATTATACATTTTGGGGGGGCGCAATAATGCAAATATTTTGCACGGCAAGTGAGCTGTGACGTCACATCTGTCATGTCACCCGCATGCGGAAGCGTAACACAGTGTGCCTGCTGATGTCACGCACCCCCCCCCAACCCTCCGTGAGTAAAGTGCCATACAAATGTGTTGCAGGTCGAAGGCGTTCTTCGCGCAGCATTGCTTTATTATTTCAGTCGTTTACTGCCGTACGCACCCTGAAAGTTGTGTGTGTCTGCTGCAAGCGCATGTATGTGCACCTATGGACGCGCATGTGTGTGGGGGGGAGCAGTAGTGTAGTGGTTAGCACGCTGCACTACGAACCCGGCGACCTGGGTTCGATTCCCGCTCACGGCCACCACCGGTGACGATTATTTTAACCGGTCCTGGGCCTCCCCTAGGTCGATTCAGCCTCAAACGAGTAACTCGTGTGGTGTGTGAACATCGCCACTGGGAGGACAAAGGCGGCCGGGTGTGGTGAATCCAAGTCCCGGGCGAAGCTAGGTAGTAAAGCTCGTTGTAGTATAAAGTATCTGTAATTACATAAGCTGTTCGACATGCGTTTGAAGTTTTATCCATTAAAAGAAAGAGAATTGCGAGTCAAAAGCCATCAGTGGCCCGAGTACAGAGCTGCAAGGTAAAACGTAAAACATCTTAGAGTAGTACATATGTACGCCCCTAATCAGATCGGGGGGCATGGCAGTGGTTGCTAGGAATGTCATCACTTCCACTGCACCAACCAATCAGCTGCTAGGAAGACAACCCCATGACAAGTCGCACGCCTTCGGTGGGAGTGAGGGGGGCATTTTCTTTCGCGTTAAAAATGCTATTAAAAAACACTAAACGCTGAGCTTAAATCTTCACTGTGTGATGTCCCCCCCCACCCCGATGCGTGCAGTTACAACTATATACAGTCGCTAGATGCTACCACTATAGGCCGTAGATATTACTGCAGAGCGGCCGGGGAGATCGTGGCTGGGGAGGGGGGCGGTCAAGGGTAGCAGCCCAGCCCCAGCCTGCCAAAGTTCCACCTCGGCCGGCTGGACAATCTAGGCAAGGCAGGAGGCTCTACACGGGACTAGGCCTCACCACGCCACTCTTGTCAGGTGAGTACTTTGTGCTATAGAGTAGATAAATACTGTTATAGAGTCAGCATGTACTACTGTAGTGATAGCAGGTACCACCACAGTCAGTATGCACTGCTGTAATCATAGCAGGTACCACCACAGTATGCACTGCTGCAGTGAAAGCAGGCACCACCACAGTATGCACTGCTGTAATCATAGCAGGTACCACCACAGTACGCACTGCTGTTAGATTTTTAAGAGTAGTTTTGAAATATTTTAAAGAACCGAGCAACGCCAGGTACTTTCCGCTAGTACAAAATAAATTGGAATGCGTAGACCCACGGTATGAGAACTTGAGAAGAGAGACCTACAATTAACTACGGAAGTAGATGCCGAGAGAAGGCGAGGGAAGCGAAAGATGGTGGAACAGGTGGCGGCAGAATTGACGACATCGCAACGTTCAGAGGGCACTTCTGGACAAGAATGGTTAAGGAAAGGAAGGGAAGAATAAGGCCATCGTCCACCAAAATCAGAAAGGAGCATAAACCATCATCACGCAAATTCCGATCATCCTCACAGCAGCGGATTTTGGCTGGCCATCAAACAAAGACGGCCGTCACTGCCATCGAGCGCTTTCAAACGTACTTCTGTGGCTGTCTGGAACGGTCTTCCTTCCGATATTAGGAAGCCCTTTTAAATCATCTAGATTGACAAACTAATTTCTTTAGAACTGCTTTTTTTTCCCCTACACCTCCGATTGGCACGGTTGGCTATGTACAGTGCGAAAGAAGTTCAACATACATGCATATACGTCCGGCAGTGACAACAGCAACAAGGGCGGCACACCATTCTGGAGCTCAGAGCCTTGATTTCAAGGTGATTAAGCAGGTTTTTTAAATATACAAGCAGACATAAATTGCTGCATTGCTGTGTTTCGATATTATTTTATTAATGTAATAAAATTGTCACAAAATGTTTTATGGGTTATATATTTTTACATCTTACTAATTTTTATTTTTCCAAATTTTGCTTCCAATTGTGCTATTTCCATCTGGTTATGAGATGAAATTCCCCTCAGAACTTACAGAGTAGTGCATCACCCCCATGCTATGGAATGGCCCGCAAATGCAGATATTGCAGAACTACTTCCGAGTTACTGTCAAAGTCACCTTTTGTATCCACACAATAAACAGCACACTTTCCCACATGCCCACCTACGAAATGTTCATCAGATGGATGTCAACTCGAAATGTATAAAATGTAAGTTACAAACCAACTTTAAAGTGATATTTTTTTTGTAGTCATTGGTGACCATGCTGAGAGCATAAACATGCCCAGTTTAATTATCAGTGCCTGCTGGGATTCAAACTTAGGCGTACGGTGGTCAATGGATTTTTTTTTCATTCTAAGAGCTTACATTTTTGCAAAATAAAGTGAAAATCCAACTTTAAGTTAATGGTTTGCAAACAGTCGGGGTTGTAGGCGGGTGAGAAACTCAAAACCCAGGAAGTCAAAGCGACCATCTCATCGTCTGACCTCTGAGCGACCCTGCCACCAAAACCCAAGAAATCCCAATTCGAACACGATTCGAAATTCACAGAGCTGGAATTTAGCCAAATTAAGTTAAAACCCAAACTTACGTTCGTAGTTTTTTTTGTGCGCATTCATTGGCCATCGGGCCAGAGGCCATCAACTCCCTGCGCTTGAGAGAACCTAGCTACATAATCACAAACCCGCATCATCAGCGGTGCTGGCCCAGCATTTCTCTCTACGACCCGCAACCTCCCGGCCCACCCGGCCACCCCCCGTGACTGCAGCACCGCTCATCACCAGCACTTGAGCGTGACCTGGCGCAGGTGCAGCACGAAGGTGATAAGCGTCACTGTCAGCAGGTAGAGCGTCATTGTTGCGGTGGCTTTCGAGTCGGACGCCGCCAGCGTGTCGGTGCACACGTTCACGAGGCCCGTGCACAGATTACAGATGAGGAAGAAGAACAGCTGGTTGCGGTTGATGGCTGCCAGCAGGCAGTGCTTCGGCGGCGGTCGGGTCGACGATTTCCCTCCGCCGTCGGCGCAGCCCGCGACCTTTCCGCTGGTGCCGCCCGCTGTTTCTGCCCCCGCCACATCCGACCGACCAGCCCGGCGTGCCAGCTCGCGGGAGTCTGCGGTGACGGAAGAATGAATCACCGTTGTAATTTACTTTGGTAATTTTTTTTAGTTTTTGCTTTTTCCAACTCGGCTGGAAAGCTTTTGTGCTTTCAACCCTTTTTGGCCGATTATATACCCATTAAGTCTAATTATACAAGGGTGAAAGTATTAGAGTTACTCACACCTATGACCAAATTTCATCAGAAGTCCGAAGCTAAGCCTGGATTGAGCCTGGACAGTTCTTGGATGGGCAGCCACCATGCAAAACAGAAGTAGAGGCTTGTGGGGCTACGTGGTAGGCAGAAGAGCGCAGTTCAGCTAAATACATAGTGCTGTACTTCTACGCTCCAACGTCTATGCCGCTCCTCGCCTTCATCAACCCGTACCGACCAGCACAGTGAAGTTAACGTTTGAAAAAAAACAAACCCCTAGAGCTCACACGACGTGGGGAGAGCCCTCCGTCCAGCAGCGGATTGAAAAAAAAGACTGTACTTGTAGACATTTACAGTCACGGGAATCAGCAAGGCTGAGAGCACCCCCCCTGCCCCCCACCCTTTGCCCGGGTCACTGCAGGACTTCTCCCAGTGACCCGGTCAGCGAACCGCCCCATTACCTGCCCAGCAGGGGGCGACCCTTTGCCGACCTTTGTGCACTGGCATCCCGTCGTCGACTTGCGGGACGCTCGCCGCGTGACCACCTCCGACCAGTCGCGTCACGCCCACGAGCAGGAGGTCGAAGAGCATGGCGGTGGAGATGAAGAGGATGCTCTGGGCCAGCTGAGAATGAGCAGAAAGGCAAACGAAGTGTCTCGTCACAATGTCTTACTGTCTGATGTTTGGAATTCTCTCCAATTACCACTTCCCTCTCTGCAAGTACTGACAGATCTCTCACCTCTCACAGAGCATAGACATCCCAACCCCGTCTCCTCCCTCCCTCCCACTGTGCGGGGAACTACAGTGGTGATATATTAACTACCTCGCCTGGTATACAGAAGGTTGTGGGTTTGATTACGACTCTGATACCTGTATATTTGGAGTTTGCATGTTCTACACTCGTGGTCGTGTGGATTTTTTTTCCGGGTCCTCTGCTTATTCCCTCCACATTTAGAATCAACATGCGTTTCGAGTATTTGGCTGCTATAAATTTTCGCGTGATAAGACACTTCGCTGGGCTATTATTCATAGGTCGCTTGTGAAAAAGAGAGCTATATAGCGTAGTAGGGCCTTACCTGGTAAAATAAAAAATATTTTTAGTTTAGTGTTGGAGAATGACCCACAGAAACGGATATCATAATACTACTTCCAAGATCTCAGCTCTACACAGTAATGTGGGGGTGCGGGCAGCACTTTTTCACCCAACTTTCTACAAGGGTTCATCGCAGTTAAATAATCAGTCCAAGGATAATTTGAATTCTCAGATATTTAGGATTCTCAGAGCTGGAAATTTAGGCAAATCAAGTGTCGGAACCAAAGCGAATGCGATGGGTTGGGTTTGTTTTTCGTGCAGCCATTGGTTGAGACGCATCTACTCTCTCTAATCACAGATGACTGTCTAGATTCGAACCCACGACCTCAGGGGTGCCAGCTCAGTGCTCTGACCACCAAGTCACCTGGGCACCTTTCAATTCCGGTTTGAATGCTTTTCGAATAATCTTGAAATATTTTCTGCAATAAGATCGTCTATCCATCTGTCCGTAACACGGGGGGGGGGGGGGGGGGCGGGGAGACGATAACCTTCATAAACACGATCCAATGTGACTGAAACATTAGTATACATTCCACAAGTAAAAAATTCGTGAAATTGGTCAAAGGGTTGCCCAAATCTTGCAGACACAACCCAGAGCTAAAATGACTCTTTACAAGTGTAGTGACAGAATCAGTCACTTATCACTGGCTGCTGGGAGGGAAGGGATCTGCAGCTACAGCAGCCCTGACTGACAGCAGGTCACGTGATAGACCAGAGAGAAGGATGTAGGAGAAAGGTTACGGAAGAGGCTCATCGAGAAACTGCTAGTAGCTTCCAGAAGGGGGGCGTGGCCAGGGCAGAGCCAGGCAACGCTGGCAGTATAAGAGGGGCCCCGGGAGGGGACCTCGGGGCTGTTGTTTGGAGAGGGATCCCGTCGTGCTGCTGGAGTCTTCGTCGCCGTCACCGTCTTCACCATCTCGGCGTCGCCAGTCAGGCAGTCTGCCAGCTGTCCTGACTGGGAACCGTAGTTGCTAAAGTGTGAACTGTTAAGGCTGTTTGCCTCCTACTCTAGTGTCTCTGAGTCAGTCACTACACAAGTATACAAAATACTATTGACCCTGACAGCTACCCGCCGGCTTCCATACTACTAAATAAATACATTCAAAAACGAAAACACGTTGGAAAGTGTTACATAATCCAAGTGTACGTACGATTGCTTTCTAATTCGTTTTGAGAATATTATTACTGCCTTTACAAGCTTAGCACTCACCTCTCGTCCCATCTTTCCTCCTCCGCCACCACCACCGCTGCCTCCATCACCACCACTGCCACCACCGCTCATACCACCACCACTGGTGCCACCACTGCCACCATCACCAACAACCACTACCACCACCGCCACTGCCACCATCACCACCACGAACGCCACCACTGCCACCACCACCACCAACACAACGGCCACCACATCCACCACTACCACCGTCACTACTCACCGTCCAGAGCACGAAGGCGAGATTGGCGAGTCGGCGCGAGACGTTGTCCACTCCGCTCCGGCACAAGAGCAGCGCGACCCACAGCATCGTGACGCCGGACAACATCGTGAGCACCACGAGCACACAGTCTCTCAGGCCCAGGCACGAGTGGCTGTGTCATGACACACAATGCGATTTTCGTGATTAAATCAACATCATCATCATTCCAACGGTCTCTTTTACACTTTAAAACCGAGCTCCAGCGGGGCCATGTTGAGCCAGCCAATTGCAGCACAGGGAGAGTGCCAGGTTGTTTATCCACTGCAGAAGTCAAGCCATGCCGATAACGTCACACGCAACACTTGACCTCAGCGCCATATGACGTGTCAGTTCAGTGCACTGACTGACGGCAATGACGGAAATTATGAACCCCACCCACGTGACCCTGATTGGTCCTGATCCGTTGATTCAGATGGCTTGTGGAAGCCAGAGCTTCACGGTTTGTTTCTGGTGTGGCTTGGCAAATAGCCAGTGGAAAATCACCCATGGCCGAGGTGGGCCCACGCTCAGTGCAGCTCGGACGTGCCAGTGAATGGATGCTTCGTCTCACGATGTGGCATTGCTCACTGTCGGCTACCACCACCACCACGCAGCCCTGCAGCCTGTAGCCTCTAGCCTCTAACACCTGCAACGCATGGTGGTTACCCATTCAAGCGCTATCGAGGCTCCGGCCTGCTTAGCTTCTGAGATCTGATGAGATTGAGCATATTCCAGATGATTTGGTCATTGGTTAACATCATCATCATTATTATCATCATCATCTAACAAGGGCCAATAAAATGAATACCATATTGTGGGAAGTCGACAGTGGCTGTTCTGTGGACTGATAACAGAAAGGTAGAATTTCCACCCTCTGCCTTTGGGTCAACATTGGAGATGTGAACTGCCCAATGCTAACTTGAGCTTGGAGACACTTTCAAGTTATTGTCCCTTTAAAGGAAAAGTGAGGCAAAATGCTCCGCCATCCTTAGCCCATTGCCCTTACATCCTTACAAACTGAGATCCATTCTCAGGTCGCTGATGAGTGATTCATAGATGATAAGACTGAGTTAGTAACAGAGCAACGAATGAGTGACAAATTAAGTGAAATACACATTTTTGTTTCTAAACTCACACCGCTCGTATTTGCAATTCCCTCCTATCGTCTTTTTACCCAAGTTATTAGAACCCTGCTAAATTCCAGAAACGTATTAATAACTCTTATTTATTACACCCTTAGGAGTGCTGCTTACTGTTCATGTTCAGCAACTATGAATTTAAAAAAATATCATCTTGACCAACGGCGTTGATTCCACCAGACCTCACCATCGGCTTCCTTTCGCCAGATTCCTCGCCCGTTGTAAAATTGATACCCGGCCTTCCGAAGGACCGCTCTCACAATATCCCAGTGTCCAGCTTTGGGGTCTTCCTTTACCTTGGTCACCAACCCTCTGGGTGCCACTCCAATGCTATCTCAATAAACCTGCCCTCCTCCATCTGCCACACACATGTCCCGCCCATCGCAAACTTCCTCCGTCTCCTGAATATATGTACATCTACAGTACACTTTCCTGACACATTATATTCCAGACTTCCAAGTTGAGAAGACTCTCTTTACTATCTTTATTTCACCAGGTAAGGTCCACTGAGCTATATAGCCCTTTTTCAGAAGCAACCTGGTCACAAATGATAGCTCAACGAGTGGCTTATTGTGTGGAAATGTATAGCAGCCAAATATTCTAAATGCATCTTTTTAAATATGGGGAGAAAAACCGGAGGACCCGGAGAAAAATCCACGCGACCACGAGGAGAACACACAAATTCCAAATATACAAGCGTCAGGGTCGAGATCGAACCCACGACCTCCTGTATACCAGGCGAGGTATTTAACATCTCACCACTGTGGCACCCTAAGTTGCTTGCCCTATCCTTTCACAGCATTTGGCTTGGCGTTTTGAGCCTGTGGGTCTGTGCTCAGCAACTGTGGGGGGAAAAAAACTATAAAACAATGAGTGAAAATTCTAGATTTGAAGAGTGAAACCCAACCAACCAATGAGCGAGCAGTAGAATCGTCACCTGACACGGTGCAGGTAGCTTCCGACATGCACGCCGGCGACGTACAGCGCCAGGTATCCACACACGGACGCGATACCCTCACGGTTGGCGCTCAGCAGGTCGTCGCGCCCGCCCGTGCCGTCCCAGCCCAGCAGCACAAGCGACTTGAGGCCCAGGTTGTGCAGCGCCAGCTCGTACGAGACGGCCAGCAGCACTGCTGCCACCCAGTAGCGCCGCACGCCGCACGCGCTCACCAGCACCGACATCACCTGCACGGACGGGTTTGGCGGTGGTGGCGAGCGTCTTAGATTACTTCTCAACCTTAAGTAGATCATCGATTATCTGGCGGCTTCGGGGGGGAGGGGGCGCCGGATAATGTTGGAAGATGGATAATGTCACTGCATAATTATCGATGATCATCTGTATATGGTAAAAGTAGCAGCCCCCAAAACTGAGCCCCAGAAACACAACTAAGGTTACGAAGGACACAATGCACAGAGAGATCGCATGTCCACACCCGTAGGCGACGCAGTGTTAGAAAGGCATTTGTATTACGTGTATTCGTGTGTTTCGTTGCCGCAATGTGGTGCCGACATTTCCCTGAGTACACTGGTCTACAATTTTGCTGTTTATTATGAATTTTGATGTGCTGAATTCAAATATGACAATTAAAACAATTCATATCATGTATGATGCAATACCAGGTTCAGATTGCATCATTCATTGTTTTGCTCAAAAAGCAAGTACTGTCCAAACCCAGTCATAGATTTATTCATAGATCCAGTCAAAGATGTATTTTAGTCATTTCTGGTTTAAATTGAGATCCCTTCCTTTTATAACTCACTTATCCTCCGCCATTCCCAAGTCAAGGCTCGTATATACTGACCCAGTAGCATATCTTGAAAACTAGAGCCAATCAACAATTTTAAGCATCATTTTCATTCTCAGTGACCCAGAATTAGTAAGGTTGGACTACATTTATTTCGGAAGCATTTTGACTGTAGACCAGTGGTACATTTTAAATTTCTCCTGCACGGTACCATGCCGCAGCCTACGCCGCTCTCACCCCCCCCCCCCCACCCTCCCCCGCTGCATGTTGTCCCATGTTGTATCGCGGCCACGGACTCATCCGGGGAGAGGAGGAAGGCACGGGAGGAGAGCGTGGCAATGCATAACTCACCCGCACGAGCGCGAGGGTGAAGAAGAAGTTCCAATGGAGGCCGTACTCGGTGACATGCTCCTGGTAATCCATGCCCTTGATGCTCGCCAGCCTCACCAGCCCCAGCAGCAGCAGTGGCCACACTGCCAGGAGCTGCTTCGTCACGCTGCGCCCGCCGCGCTTGTCGCTGTTAAACGGGTTCGCCGATGGGGCGACGTGAGGGAGAATGGAGTAGAGCGGGGGACGAGTTCAGACGAGCGAGAAGAGCCGTCGCGTTTCACGCCATCCACCCTGCAAGTTCTAGATTTGAAGCTTTCGTGACTGCAAGGATCCATACTCTTTGGTTTTTTCGGTAAAGTCACGTAGGTTCAAAGAAGAGAAAAAGAAAACGGTGATTTAATTTATTTGTTTTCTTTTTTTCACCCTGCAAGTGTTGCAGAGCTTCTCGGTACAATGTTCTTACGGGTCAACGCTGTAATTTTCATTATAATTTGTAACGGGCTGGTGGCTCGCTGAACCTGCTTGAAAACAAGCCTTCACCCGGCCTGCCACAAGCGCTGTGGCGACATCACAACAATCTAGTGGAGACTGCCAGCTGTTGGGTGTGTGTGTGTGTGAGCAACATGTTTCTGTGAGAGCCTGTGTGGGTGTGTGCGGCAGTTGCTTGATAATACCACTTGCCCATACAGTTTGTACAGCTAGATGGGGAATCTCTTGTCTTGTGTATTCACGATGGCATGCATGTGTGTTTGCGTGTATGTTAGTGCAGTGAACTGCCTAAATGAGTGTGTGTGCGCGTGGTGTGGGGTCCAGAAAAAAACAACTCCCTACCTCCTCGTGGTGCCGGACGGCAACGTTGTGGTGGGCAGTGCCGTGGGGGGAGGGCCAATTTAGATTGGCCTTTCCCTTCATAGCGTTTGTAACCACCACAGCGGCCAAAAGGGGGCTCTGGACGGGTGCGAGGAGCTGGTAACCCCTCCACCTTCAATTAACTACCGCTAAACTAGGAGGTAAAACATTTACTAAGTTTGTGCCGGAGGCCACGGGGAGACAGGCATCTATGACGTCTCCTGGCCAAACCCCATTTGGCAGAGCCAGGAGACTGAATCCTTACCCTCGGGGCTCCCCCAGAAACAACAAAACGCCACTACGGATGGCAACGTGGAATGTTCGAACGCTCACTGCAAAGGAGAGGCTGCCACTCCTCTGTCGGGAGCTGGACCGGTACCGCCTGGATCTCGATGGTATTCAGGAGGTCCGGTGGACCGGCTCTGGCTCCTGCCACCATGAGGGGTGGACAGTCCTCTACTCGGGGCAGGAGACTGCCAAACAACAGGAAGTGGCTCTTCTTCTGAACAAAAGAATGAAGGGGACGTGGGAGCGTGGCGGTGAGGTGTGGGAAGCTGTAAGCCCCAAGTTACTTTGGGCTCGCCTTCCCATCAACCGTAGGTGAGGAGTGGTGGTCGTGGTTACTTATGCCCCCACCAAAGACGAACATCCGTGGAGGGATGCAGGCAAGGCAGATGAGTCAGATGCCTTCTATGACCTATGTGACAGGTGCTGGCTAAAGTGGCCCCTCGGGATAGAGTCATCTTGTTGGGTGACTTCAATGATAATAGGTTTTTCCCCTTATTTCTGGCAAAAAAACAGGTGTTAAGATGTTAAAACACCAAACTGAAACCTTTTACAAGGAATCATGGTTAATGCAGACATGCATTAACCATAATTCCGTGAAGCCTTCAATAGCTGTACCGGAGGAATTTCCATCTGGTACAGATACAATGGGAGGCTGATTGATGCCCAGGTGCGGTCAAGGGATGGCTCCCTATTGCTCAACCATGTTATGTATACCGATGATCTGGTAATTGCTGCTCACTCAGAGGAGGAGTTGGAGGCACTGCTGCTGAACCTGGAGCTTGCCACTAAGAGGTGGGGCCTTACCATCAACCCCACCAAAACTAAGCACTGCCTGGGTATTTTGTACCATCAGACACTCCACCCCCACAACTCCCAATTGGTGATAGGGCAGTTGTGGAAAGAGTGGATAGTTTCCCATACCTTGGCAGTGTGCTCATGACCGGCTCCAGTTTAACAGCAGAGGTCTCACTCCGAATCAGTCGAGCGGCATTATCTTTTCATCGGTTGCGTAATGCTGTGTGGAAGCTACCTGGTCTGTCGCTCCGCACGAAGCTTCAGGTCTTCTCGGCCACAGTTATTCCCTTCCTTCTCTACGCTTGCGAAATGTGGACCCCCCTAATGCAACAATCTTAGCCAGTTAGAAACATTTAGGCTGGCCTGCTTACGATCCATCCTGGGTTTAACCAGGCTGGATTGTGTGAGGAGCTCACTAATCCTTGAAAGATCTGGACAAAGTCCCATCGGTGAGCTCCTCCGGCAGGCAAGGCTGCGTTGGCTGGGTCATGTAGCCGCATGCCCAGCGACCGCATGCATAAACAGCTTTTGTTCGGCCAGATAGAGGGGACTAAACGGGCGCCGACTAGTACCAGCGGTGTCAAAATCGGCCTCTTTGGAGGAGGCTCGTAAAGGATGCTACTGGGCAGTTGGAGGCAGTCACCCTCCAACAACAACGGAGGGGGGAGGAGCGATGCTCACAACAACGAGAGGAGCACCGGGTGGCTAAAGCACAGCAAGTTGGCACAGTAGGGGGCACAGGTGGTCCATCAGCCAGTCATCTCAGTCAGTCGACCCGTGGCACCTGGGTCTGCCCCGTGACCTCCTGCCAGCAGGCGGTCAACACTTCACGTGGCCTCAACGTGCACATAGCCTGGCACAAGCGTTGTGGTGACGTCATCGCCACTTAGTGGCGAATGGCGGTTGTTGTTGGTGTGGGGAAAGTGTAGGGTAGCGGTTAGCGCGCTGCACTACGAACCCGGTGACCCAAGTTCGATTCCCGCTCACAGCCAACACCCGTGACGATTATCTGAACCGTTCCTGGGCCTCCTCTAGATCGACTCAGCCTAAAAATGTAGTACCTGGTGCGATGTGTAAACATTGCCATTGGGGAGACAAATCGGCCGGCCGTGGTGCTGGCCACCCACCTCCTCGTGTGCTGTGCCGGCCTTCATAGGTGTGACTCACTAACAGCACTTCCCCCAACAGTCTGTTAAGGCTATACGGGGGATCTTTGTCTTTGGTGGCTTTCGTGTCTGTCCACGTGTCGGTGTGTGTGCGTGTACGTGTCACGGCTACAGCATCGGTAACGAGTGATATCCGGTGATTTGCTGTCCAACCTCAGCACGTTGCGCGCCTCGGGCGACACAAGGGCATTGGAAAGCACGAAGGTTCCAACGCCGAGGTCCATGAGGCCCGTGCCGTGCATCTCCGTCTTAGCGAAGCGGCGCGGGAAGGCGCGGAAGTCGACGGCGAGGATGCACACAACCGTCAGCAGGTTGGTGTAGGCGCGGAACTGGGTGAGGCAGCGCACGTGGCCCTCCTCTGACAGGAATAGGTGCTGGCCTGTGCGGGCATGGCGATGAGAGAAACAGGATTTAAGGATTTTTTTTTCTTTTTAAAGACATTTCATAACTGATCTTTTCGAATTTTCGGATAATGTACATTTAGTATTAACTTGGCAAAAGTGACCATCACCCGATGCCACTTCTTGCGTGAAATGCACGCATGTGACGTCATACGTGTGTGACGTTCTTTTCTGTGACGTCATACTTTCGTATCAATAAAATACAAAAGGGTATTTTCTTTTTAGACCATCAGATTTCATACCTAGACCCAAATTTCGGATTTTTTTTTTTTTGGGATTAACCATAAAAATTGGGCGCACATCCCTAGCGGGGGGAGTAATCTCAAAGGTTAAAGTCAAGTAAAACACCTGCACATGATTTCGTGGCGGTGGTGCTGTGTAGCTGCCCTTCCTTCCGATATTAGGAAGCCAATGGAGCTATGCCCTTTTACATCTAGATTGAAAATTAATTTCTTTAGAACTGCTTTTTGTGTTTACTTTGTTGTCCTTCCCCCGCACCTCCGATTAGCACGGTTAGCTACGTATGGCACGAAAGAAGTTCAACATACATATACAACACAAAGCCATTATCGGAGAGCTCAGGTAAAACTGTTTCTCTGATAAAATGAGTATGAGGTGGGGCCCTAATGTCAGTGCAAGTGATATCGGAAACCAGTCCTGGGCGCCTCCAACTTCTCTTCCCCAACCCGCACTGATCAGCATGTAAAATTATGGCCACATCCAGAAGTGCGTTGACAAATGGCTATGAACTGTTACATTTAATCATTACAGGCAAAGTTACAGGGAAAGTGAACACAAGGAAGAAGATCCCCCAATATAGCCAGCACTGACTATTGGGGCTAAGTGCTGTAAGTGAGCCCCTACGAGGCTGACACAGCACACAAGGGGGTGTGCGGTGGTTAGCATCACCTCTGGCCGCTTCTCACTCCCCACCATTAATGTATTACACACCGTACTGTGAACTAATTTAAGGCTGACTTGAACCATAATCAGAATCTTTATTTAGACTGCAGGAATCCGATGAGCCATGAAGCTCTTTTTCACAAATGTCCAGTATGGACGGGTCACCAAGTTACAACACAAAAACAATTACAAAAAAACATAGGAGTGCAAAATAGACTTGACTTGACTTCGCAGAGCCATAGGACGAAGTCAGATATTGACCACCGATGTAGGCCATGAGCAGCAATCGAACTCGGGTTGCCAGGTTCGTAGTGCAGCGCCGCTAACCGCTACGCTACCGGGACTAAACGATAGAATATTTAATGCTCTCCCGGTGCCACCAAAACCCAGCCCAGCGTGCCGGCATTGTCACCGGTTTTGTCGTTGACGTTTTCAGCATCGGCGGTTGCAGAGGCTGTTTCCGCCTTGCGTCGGCACTTGAGCGATCGCTGCAGGAGCAGCAGCAGGCCCGTCAGCGTGACGGCGGCAGCCAGGAGGACTACAAGCACCGTGCTGATGTGCGGCGCCAGCACCGTCGTGCTCAGCGTGTAAGGCAGCACGAGCAGCAGGAAGTCGCGGACAAACGCCACCCTGTGGGCGCAGACAAACAAATGGGGACGACGCAAGTGAGAGGCACATGCGCTGGCGTTACCGCAAGGGAAACTCACGTGTACGCAATTAGATTCGTTAAGTAGGTGACCGGGTGACTTGGAGATCAGATCGTTTCGTCTTCTTTTGTATGGCTGATGATGTGGATGCAGAGCAACAGCTATACAGATATTCCCCGAGTTACGATGGTCCGACTTGTGATATTTCGATCTTAGGATGGCGATAGCGATAAGACAAAATTGTAAAATATTTTAAATTTCGCGCGGCAGGCAAACGCAGCAGCGTACGAGGTACGATGCTGTACGTTGGGACGCTGCCGGGATGTACGCATCTCCCGCCTTGTGTGATGCAGATAGGATTGTTTCCTGAAAAAACTTTCTATTAAATTGCAGTTCATATAGGCAGGCGAAGAATTTACCTTTTTTTTACTTTACATTTTACTGTGCAATACAGTATTGTAATTAATAAATACATACAGAATATCGTTTATACAGTACGGTACTGTAAATTGCTCTGTTTTGCTAAATTATCACCATTCTTTAAGACTCCTGAGTAGGCTAGGCCATCTTCGACTTACGATATTTTTGACTTACGATGGGGTCGTCGTAACGCATCTCCATCGTAAGTAGAGGACTACCTGTATTTTCACATTCAGGTGGTAAAGCCAGAAAACCGCGTCAAGAGCAGCGAAGCGTATCGCTGTGATGTCTCCTTCATATTTGTGGATCGGGCATTGCGTCAGAGCGCTGAGCTGCTCCTGCTCCAATTCTGGGTCAAAATCGCTTTCTCCACCCCATGGCAAGGAATCAGTCTATTAAACTGGCTGTCTTATCCACCCTTTGCTCAGCCACTTTACTGCAAGTCAACACATTTCTCTATCTGCACGATTTTGGAAATCCCTCCCATAATCCTCTTTCCCAAGTTCTTATATCTCAATTCAAGAAACGTATTATCTTTTATCGAGTATATCTTCAATAACACTGTTGTTTCTAAAAAAGGGAACCGTTTGTAATTAAACTAGGTTGTCAAGTAAAATATGTTTATAGTTGAGTCAATCGCCAATGGCCACACCAAAAGAACATCACATTAAATGTTTCTGTACTTAATTTAGATCAATTCCATTTCAAAGAATAAAAAATATTCGTTTCGCTGTCAAGTGACAATCATTAGTCTCAGTGGCAGAATGGGTGGGGAAGTGCTACTCTGTGAACCAAAGGTCACTTAACAGGAACTCAGAGGTAGCTCTGTGATATCCACATCCATAAGCCAGTCTCTAACACAATGATTTTGCATTGCTGTGCAGGCGATCCAAATGGGTTCCTTGTTGTGTGATCTGATGCCAATCGTGCAATCGGGATAAAATAGAGGGATAAAAGACGAAAAGTTACATTAGAAGCCCTTTGTTAATCATCTGTTGAATGAAGGCCTTCCCAAACCGTGTCAGTCATGGGAGTTGTTTGGCCATACTTCACCACGCTGGTCAGTGCGGGTTGTTGAAGGGGGGCCAAGGGTCGGTTGAAATATCACTCATGACAGATGACATACACCATGACCGTAAAATAAACTTCGATCGCCGGGTTAATAGCACAGTGCTCTACTCACCTCCCCCCCCCAAAAAAAGCAATACAAACTATTAAAAATAATCCATTGTTAGGTGCACAATTCCAGGTGTGGATTGTGAGCAGGAGTACCGATCATAATCGTCGACACGTCGTTCTGCAGCGACAGCACTCACCCTGCGCTTGCCGAGCCTGCCCAGAAGAGCCCCAGGAGGCCGCGACAGAGGTCTCCCGCAGGGAGGATGGTGAGCAGGAGGGCGATCTCGCTGACGTCCGTGCCATTGAGGTTACTCACGAATGCCTCCTTGAGCTCCTTGTAGGAGGCATCGGGAGGCTCCATTTCTTCTCTACTGCGTTGGAGCTCTAAGCGGCCGCGGAGAGGTAATATGTTTAACTTAAACGGCACAATCGTTGCAATTCACCAGAAATAATGATACTGTCTGTGAGGTGGTGGTATGAGTGAAACTAGAATGTTTTTAAAATGATAAGGAAATCTCTTTGTATAATTCCAGTCTTTTCTTTCAGTTGTTTCTTCACAATGTCAATCCTTCTGGTTATCTACCTTCCTGCTTTCCTAATACATACGCCCCTCATACAATGCCAAATATGACATTCTGCCAGTTTCATTCTCACTATGCTTCATAACCATTGCAGCCTTTTCTCCCGCTATCTTCTCGGTCATCTTATGTCTGTGTTCCTCAAAGCTTCGAAATCGCGATATGCTCAACATTATTTTCAGCAGGTTCAATTACATATTAAGCATCTTCTTATATAGCAATGCCTACATTTTTCAATTGTTAACTTTTTTGGTGATTATCAATGGTACTTTTTAACCAGTATAAAAATAATGCATTATTTTAATAGGTTTTACCCTTGGTGGCAATAAAACAGGTGCTAAGATTTTCAAACACCAAATAGATAACAGTCAGTTTTAAAGACAATGCATATACAGGGTGTTTGAAAAAGATAGACCCGATATGAAATCGCTATATCTCTGCAACCACGAACCGCCCATGAATGAAACTCATACCACTTGAAAGGGTGGGGAATAGACTTTGAAATTATTACCGCTAAATGCCTCTCCCAGCGCACAAACAGCCCCTAGCCTCAGTCATTCGCAAGACACACTGGCTCAACGTTGGATAGGTCGCACGGGACCCCAAGACTTGGCGCTATACTCTTGGCCCCCAAGATCCCCAGCCATCACACCCTGCGACTTTTTCTTGTGGGGATACGTCAAAGACCGTGTTTTTGTGCCACCATTAGCGACTAATCTGGATGACCTCAAAAACAGAATCACGGCAGCGGTGACTTCAGTGGAAGAAGACACTTTGAGAGGCGTTTGGGACGAATTCAACTATCGTCTCGATGTTGTCCGTACAGCAGGTGGAGGGCACAGAGCATTTATAAAATGATTAGTAAAACTTGATAACTCATTAAACCGTTTGTAACTTTTTGTGTAATTGTAACATGTTGCCATCGTGAAATATACTGCTTTGAAATTGGGTCCATCTTTTTAAAACACCCTGTATTATCAGAGCACGTTTGTTTGCATGTTTTTCCACAAGTATGTGTGGTTAGTGTAGACTTGATGCCATGCAAAAGGTATATATTTTGTTTGACTATCTTAACACCTGTTTCATTTCCAGAAAGGGTAAAACCTATTCTTATTCTTCCATAATTTTTGGCGATATTTTTTGTCACTTTTCCCCAATGTTTTACTCCATTGTGCAATCGGTGTCATGGCATGAAACAAAGAATAAATCTGGCTCGCTCGCAGAACAAGGGCATCCCTTCGCGTTAGAGAATGACCCACGAAAGCAGAGATCATAGAGCTGCATCTGAGAACCCTTCAAGTGCCCTCTGGTCCACAGAGCAGAGGAAAGCAATTTTCCAACCACCCTGCAACATCCTCATCATTTGTTGCACAGCAGTTATCTTTTTTTTATTGTGAGCTGGGATTGAGCAAATGCCATGCGGCAATTGTGCAATAATTATTCTATGTACAGTTGTCACTACACTTGAGAACCCAATTTAATCACAGGCGGCGGCCAAGATTCGAACCCAGGCGTTTCAAGAGAAGCCGGCTCAGTGCAGTGAACTCTGTGCCATGATACCACACATCCCTTCGAGTTGTAAATGTAACCCTTTGAAGATAAAAAAAACATTCACGACCTCCCAGCCTGACACCGACGGTTTCTCCCCGCCAATAAAACGTCTCAGTAGAAACCAAACAAGGATCCCTGGCGAATGTACGGCACGGACAAATCCATTTGATTCCATCCCTCAATTATAATAAAAAAAAATGGTATGATCAGTACAACCTGCTGTACGAGTGGTAAGATTTGCATGAAGGATAGTTTCACAAATCACGCAACTTCACAGTGAACATTTCAAAATAAGCACAATACATGTGATGACAACATTCGTTATGCACTGTAATATCGCTTTTTTTAAATATATTATTTACGGAACATGTCATTGGTTCCGTTGAGCTATCATTTGTGATGGACAGGTTGCTTCTGAAAAATAACTACTTCATGCAGAATTTTGATTTAAAGCTTTTTTCAAAATTTCTTGCTGTGGATTTCACACCTGATGATGATTGCTTGTCTTGCAGTCGAAACGTCGTGATAATTTTTGTTTTATATTAGTATTATTTTATTATTTCCCTTCTACGTGACTTTACCGAAATAACCATACTGTATGTAGCTCAGTGAGCCTTACCTGGTGAAATAATTAGTTTGGTTTGAAACTGCATGCACCATCACCATCTCAGCGTGAATGCAAAAGTCAGTTTCATCCGTGTACGTCCGACAACCACAGATATTTATGAGTATATCTACATCAAGAAAGGTGGACAATACAATGCCCAAGTCACTGTGTGACAGTACTAACTCTTTACGCACATCTCATAAAAAATACCTTCATCTGAATTCATGGACCTGCCTTCGGACATTTATCCAGTCATAGACCAACAATAACAAAAAGGTGAACTTACCACTCTGTAAGAGTTTTTTTTCCGGGTAAGATCACGTAAATACAAATGCGTCGTTAAACCAACCACAACCAATTAGTAAGGGGTTTGTCACGTAAACAGAACGTGGCCAATTCGTTACTAGGACAGCAACACCGCTTGTGTGTTGGAGAATAAAACCCACAACATTTACAATCCGAATACGACGTTTCGCCCACGCGTTAAACTTACCAAACTCGGTGCTTAATCAAATCTTGGGCGAAAAGGTGCGACTTTAAAATTTTTAAAAGAAAATTGTAGAGAAAGAGAAAAAGAAACAAAAATCACCGACGACTTTCCAGGGAAATTGTTTGTAAAGATAAATAAATTTAATTGCAGCGGTTTCCGCGTGCAGCTTTCCGCGACCCAGAGGGCGGAGCCGCGGCCACTCGGCCCAGCAGAGGCAGCAGCGGCCATGTTGGGTGAGGACAAGCTCATTGATTAGGTATAGAGCTCTGTGAGCCATTCGGCTCTTGAATCGGGTGAAACCGCAACAAACACAAAACATCTTAAAGTGACTGTGTGACTAAGTGCAAACAGAAAATCCAAGAAAAGACAGCAAAATATTGCAGAAAAAAACACCGTACACCAATGCGGTGTGCAAAAATCCCAGTGGGATGCAAGTCAAACAACCAACAACCATAAGACAACTTAGATTAAGGCCATCAGTCTAACTCTGTACTACAACAACACAAACATGGCTAAACCAATACACTTTTCGAAATCACCAAAATAAAGCCATGAAAGCAATGAAAAAGCAATCATAGGAACTGTCACGGAATTTTCACAATAAATTTGCATAAACAACATGTACTACCAAAACCCTGCAGCCATAGCTGGCTGCATGAGCCACTCCACAACAGCAGCAGGAGCATCAATAGGTGAGGACAGGCGCGTCAAGAATAACCGCACGAAATCCGATGAGCCGCCAAGCTCTTTTGCCATCCACGTTGCTGCGCCACCTACCCCCTCGTGTGCCGTGCCGGCCTTCATAGGTGCTGCTCGCTAAACAGCACTTGCCCCCACAGTCTTTATTTTAGATTTGTTTGCTGTCGTAACTTGCTGATTTTGCCCCCCGTCCCCCCGTACTGGAGATCTGTTTAAAAAGAGCTTCGCGGCGCATCGGATTTCCTCCTCCGCTCCAAATGTTGATTTTGAGTATGAAGTCATCGAGCCCTCGAGTAACAAAAACACGTTTTTTGTTCCCTACCCAACATGGCGGGCCGGGTCGAATGAACCGATGACGTCATGACCAACCAGCGCGCGACGCGGCCGTATCGAGCGAGCGTTGATTGGTCCGCGGGTAAAGGAGGCGGGGGGGGGGAGTTTTCGGGGCGTGCGTTGATTGGAGGGGGGGGGGGAAAGCTTCGGGGCGTGCGTTGATTGGTCCTGCTCCAGGAAGAGAAGGGGGGGGGGAACTTCTGGGCGTGCGTTGATTGGTCCGGCATAAGCGATGGGTGGGGGGGAAAAAAACCCTCTCGGAACGTGCGTTGATTGGTCCGCTTCAGGGAAAGGGGCGGGAACCTCCTGGACGAATCACGACGCGGCTTATTGTCGCGTGAGGCCCGCGCGTGCGTTCCTTGGTGCGTGAGTTCTGCCATAGTCCGCGTAAGTACAGCGCCGTTTATACTTCGTTGTGATGGTTACTTCAATTATCTGCTATCTTAAGTCTCCCCCAAACGTCTGGGTCTCCACCTGAGCTTCGAGAAGGGCGGTGTTTTGTTGCTTTCTCCACGGTGTGGTTGACACGTTTTGAATGTGGTCGAGTAGGCCTCAGACCTTCGCTCGCCTCGGCGAATGAAAGGCGAGAGCCGGATTCGCAATGTTAACCGGCTTCTCCCTCGCCCCCCTTCTCTTTTTAAATAATTGCGAACGGGAAGTTACCCATTGCTTAAGGTTGCGATCGTAAACCAATCGGCTAATTGCACAGTAACAGTTATTGTATCCATGGTGGGCATTGGCCCTCAATGAATCGAGGTCGTGTTTTAATTGGGCTATCACTCCGCTCAACACCGGGTGCCGTAGGCTACTGTGGCTCATACGTGGTGAGCGGCAGATACTGCTCGTGCAAAATCAGTTATTGTATTGTACTTGTATGTTCCTGCGTCTATGGTGGCCTCTCCTCTCCCGACTTCAATCCGTAATCAGCAGCGTGATGTGACGTATGGTCGTATAACACAGCACGGGGATGTTCTTGTACAGCAGTGAATTTACAAGAAGTCCGTACATTCAGTTAACTTTAGGACAACTATCGAACGTGGAGTTTCTCACTTATCGGATGGGAACCGCCCCATTGCGCGTTTTGAGAATGACCTCACTGAGAGTATTATTGAATCAATTGTCAGTAACTCATATCTTACAATACATTTTTTTCCCCAATTTTTCTGACAACAAAACTAAAACCTTTTTACAAGTCATCATGTTTACATTAACCACAATACCTGTGGTCAGAATGCAAACAAAAACACACTGATAATGTATGCATTCACACTATGGGGACCTCATTTGCCAGTAAAAATATGATAATTGGTTCTTTACCCTTCTATCTGGCAACAAAACTGACACCTTTTTGCAAGGAGTCATGTTTGCATAGACCGCAATACCTGCAGTCATAAATACAAACAAAAGACATAACTCTGATAATGTGCACTGTCCTTGAAGTTGATTGGTCCACACCCGAGACAGCTTTCCTTCGAGCTCGACTGCAGGTATTGCGGTCTATGCTAACATGACTCCTTGCAAAAAGGTGTCAGTTTTGTTGCCAGATAGAAGGGTAAAGAACCAATTATCAATGTATGCATTGTCCTTGAAATTGATCGGGCCACACCAGAGACAGCTTTCCCTAGAGCCTAGTCTCATATGGTGTTCAACCAGATGACGCCAAAAGGCGCACAACTCAAAGACAACGCACTATCAGAGTAATATTTTGCGATTGACAAAGGAGGCCTCATGATGTAAATGCTTACCCCGAGCCCTCATTCCTCTGATTGGTGGTGGGTTCAATCCCTACCCTAACGTATGTTTATTTGGAGTTTACATGTTTACTCCGTTGTGGATTTTTCTCCGGGTCCTCTGTTTTTTCCCTCCACATTTAGAAGCGTGCATTTAGAGTATTTGGCTGCTATAAATTTCCACATGATAAGCCACTTCGTTGAACTATCATTTGTGGCCAGGTCGCTTCTGAAAAAAGAGTGAAACAGCTGAGTGGGCCTTACCTGGACAAATAAGAATTTTTTAGTTTGACCCCAGTACCGCTTCACCCTCTCCCCGTTGTTGCTGCCGCTGTTGTGTTTAACGAAGCGCCGTTTGCTCCCTCGTCTTTCCCCAGGTGCCGCCGTTCCCATCCCAGGCGCACGCACAGTGACTCCCGTCAAAAATGGATTTCCAGCACCGGGCGGGCGGGAAGACCGGCGGAGGCGGCGTCGCCTCCTCCTCCGAGTCGAACCGCGACCGACGCGAGCGGCTGAAGCAGCTCGCACTGGAGACGATTGACATCAACAAGGCAAGTGAAGACACTGCTGGGAACTTGTGCGCGTACATATGAAGCAACCTTCGCTGTAGGGGGGTGGGAAGATTGGGTAGAAAAACTATGGGACATGTGGGCGTGTTCAGCCCATGACTTGATGTCGTACTAAACAAAAAGAAAATCTCGTGTTTTGTACTGTGTTACCACGTTTGTGCTCCGAGCTTTCACCAACTTGTACTGACCATTGTGGCGAATTACGGTAAAACAACCTGAATGGTGTGGGGAGACCCTGATCCAGCATTTGATTGACAAGAGGGCTGTGCATTTATTGCACATGTAGACTAGACAATAGAGCTATTATGTCAGAGTTGGTAAGAGCTTCAGGCTAAGGCCATGTTCGTAGAGGATATCTGTCCAGTTGCATGAGATTGTTAATTCAATTGCATTGTTCAGTCTCGCACCTCTGGAAGTCATTCTGACTAACGTGCCGCTAACGGTCCCCATGCTTGTTGGTGTAACACAGTGTTGCTCTTTGACCAATACCCTTACCCGCTTCTTCTCGCACAGGACCCGTACTTCATGAAAAATCACCTGGGCTCATACGAGTGCAAGCTGTGTTTGACGCTCCACAACAATGAGGTACCCGCTCATTTAAATATAGCTTTCTGTTTCAAAACGTACCTTTTTTTACATTTCTGAGTAGAAATCTGAATTGGGCTCTACAATAGCCTTGAATTAAATGTCATGTTTATCACTGCCTGGCGTGGTAGGACATGCCTGTAATTCAACTTTTTAGGGCGGGATTGGTACATTACCCTCTGCTTGTTACAACAGGGTTAAGATGTTTCCAGTTGGTGGCAATGCAGAAAATATGTTGTTCATCATCCACAAACAAGTTTTCATCGGGCGATCGAAACGTCGTGGGTTTCTTGCTTTTATTATTTCCAATTAATTTTTTTTATTTAATAGTTTTTTCTTTTATTTTCTATCTACGTGACTTTACCGAAAAACCAAGAATATGAATACAACAAGATGTATTTGTTCATTTAATTGTTATCCCCTCTGTGTAGGAGGTTTTTTTTGGTTGCTCCTGAAAATATACTCAACTCGGGGAATTGGCCAAACATCCCAGTACAGGACCCTCCTGAAACAAGTCTTAAGAATCAATGCAGCTTTTCCTGACTAATACGTACTTATTATTTAATACACCGCTACTATACATAAGCGTTTGTGTAATGTCTGTATTATTTTTTTCATTGCAGGGAAGCTACTTGGCTCATACCCAGGGCAAGAAACATCAGGCTAATCTGTAAGTATTGTGTAACCCTTATGACACAATAAGCTTTTCGCTTTGTAGCTAACCGGCACCAGTTATATAGCCCTTCTCTGCAGCAGACTTGTAGATGGGATCCCGCTCGATTTTCGACATATGTTAAGTGGTCGTCATGTGTATTGCTATTAAAAACAAACAAAAAACTTTAATTTAACAGGTAAGCCCCACTGAGCTACATAGCCCTTTTTCAGAAGCGACCTGGCCACAAATGATAGCTGAACAAAGTGGCTTATAACGTGGAAATTTATTGCAGCCATATAATCTCAGCGTGTGTTTCTAAATGTGGAGGGAAAAAACCGGAGGACCTGGAGAAAAAAAGTTTAAGCGTAATGTAAGATAGATGAAGGCTTCCCATACAGTCTGTTCTACAGTCTGTTCTTCTATAACACGATTGTTGTGTTCCTGAAGAACACCGCGTTATGTAAAAATAGCGTTATAATAAATTCTATATAATATAGGGTAAAGCACAGTACGCGATAGCACGTGAGATGCGTATGCAGGCTGAACAAAGGCTGAGATGCGTACATAGCATTTAGAAGCATCCAGCAGCTTCCCGCCTTGTGTCATGTTATGCCGAGGCAGTCGTACAACTGCTTATTCCTACTCGCGTGACGTAGTTCTGTTCGCTCAATCACGTTATCTCCAATTCGCATTCGTGTTATAAAAAATGTGTTTCCTAATACATTCATCCCATTCTATCCAATTCGCGTTATGGAAACAAGTGTTATAGGAGAACAGACTGTATTTCACACCTGTTTATGCGGGTTAGTAGAGAGGCAGTGGGGTCCCGGGACTGCTTCAGATATCACCTGCTACTGATCTTATGGACCACATGGAAATTAGACACGGGCTGCTGAGTTCACAGCACATAAACCACAATTCCAACCCTTCGTACGTATGTTGAACTTCCTTCGCACTGTACGTAGCCAACTGTGTTGATCGGAGGTGCAGGATTGAGTCTATGGGCAGTATCTATGTATGTTGAACTTCTTTTCGCACCGTACGTAGCCAACCGTGCTGATCGGAGGTGCAGCGTTGAGTCTATGGGCAGTGTTAGCCTATGGGCAGTGTTTGTCTATTGATAGTGTTAGTCTATGGTCAGTATTTATGAATGTTGAACTTCTTTCGCACCGTACGTAGCCAACCATGCTGATCGGAGGTGCGGCTTCCTAAGCCAAAGATATTGAATTGTATTTTTTTTCTGTCTCTCCCCCTCTTCACCTCCCCCACCGCCAGAGCGAGGAGAGCAGCGAAGGAGGCGAAGGACGCTCCGGTGCAGCCGGCGCCCGAGAAGGTGAAAGTCGACGTCAAGAAGTTTGTCAAGATCGGACGCCCTGGATACAAAGGTCATTCCCCGCACACTGACGTCTTTGGTCCGTTGGAGACTGTCGTTAACAGAATGTGACTGGTTCTTCCATCGTGTCTTACCTCGTTGGTTAAGGCAGAAGTTTGCCAATCTTTGAATGCTCTGTCTTTTTTTTCCCCACAATTGCATCCTGATTGTGATGTAGGCGTCCTGACCATAAAGAATTCGTTCGGATCTCTTGCAGAGCAGTGCGACCCTTTGTGTTTAACGGCCCATGAAAGCGGATGTCACAGAGCAGCATCTGAGACTTATTTTAAGTGAACTTCTGGTCCTCACAGTAGGAAAGCAGCACATTCCAACCCTACTGCTACTTCAGAACAATATTTGTTTCATGGTGGTAAATCCTGTAATTGTAATTCTCAATGTGGCTTTATTGGATAGATAACAATTTTAAAGTAGGCACGTAAATTCATCTGTCCAAGTCGTTACCATAATCAAGAATCTTTTTTTTTAAACCCATATTTACCATCTTCTTGGTATTGTTTATTATTTTCCTACCTTGAGTTTTGTTGAGTTTTGTATCCTAAATGTAACATGAGCATACATGCAGTTTTCTTAAATTGTAAGTAATTTATTCGCATCACGTGATTTATGCACTTATTTTGAGCGTAAGAATTGATTGTAATTAACGAGTCGGCGTCGTTCAGTTGACCGATACTGACTTGCCCATGTTTTGTTCTTCCTGTGCAGTCACCAAGCAAAGAGACCCCGAATCCAACCAGCAATCGCTGCTCTTCCAGGTGGGAAGGGCCCCTCCATCCAGTCAGTCTTGATTTAAAAGAGAGCGCACACGTGTACTATGAAAGCAAGGGTGGGGAAACCTGTAATCCGTAGCCCAGATATTTCCCACAATTTCATCCTCCTCACGGCTGCACGAGGCCGACAATTTTCAAATGGCCTGTAGAGGACATCCGTCACTGTGTCTCTTGGCCAAGTCATTGGGTAATGGAAGGGAATATATTCGATGTGGCAACACTGTTTATGATTTTTGCGCCCTCAATCTCTTCCGGCACTTCAAGGGCCTCTTGCAGTGACGGAAGCGACTGAGGTGTGCGAACGCGGTGCCTACTAAGTGTCTTTGAAACTCATGTTGGGTGCTTGGCAATAAAAAGGTTCCTCACCCTTCTAATTACTTTCTTCAACCTGCAACTGACCAGCATGATGTATGGTCAACCCATGACCAACATACCTTAATTGCAGCAGTAAATTGACAAAGGGCAGTACAATATTATTCGAAAATGTGTCGACATTTACCTTCAAAATGACACCCAATATGCACTGTTCAGACTATCTTGGAGTTATTGCCTAAATTATAGAACCCACCCAATATATTTAAGCTGCACCCAGCAAGCTCTTCATTAGAAGCAGACATGGGTCAACTCCATTTTTTATTTGGCAGTTCACAATAAGTGCCATTGCATTGTTATTGTAAATGTAATTTGAGGTCACATTACTTTTGTCGTAATTATTATTTACCCTATGTCTGGGTTTGGGGGGGTAGAGCAGAGAACAGTGCCGCCAGCATCTCTGGCACCTTCACTGATGGTGCCCTTTTGTCTGGTTTTTTTTTGTTGCCGTCACAGATCGACTACCCGGAGATCGTGGACGGCGTTGTGCCACGCCACCGTTTCATGTCGGCCTACGAGCAGCGCGTCGAGCCGCCCGACCGCCGCTGGCAGTACTTGCTCTTCGCTGCCGAGCCTTACGAGACCATTGCCTTCAAGGTGTGATGCTGCAACGTCGGCAGTGGTCGCCGTAGTAACAACAGAGCTCTCGCGTAGGTGGGCTGGTATCGCATGTAGGGGAAGGCGGTCGGAGGGGCGGAGGGGGAGGGTCTTGAGTTTTTCTTTCAGGAGCTGCTGCCTTTGTAAGGACAGAGCCAGAACCTCAGAGGCCCAAATTTGAAGTACTCAAGGCTGATTGTGGGTGCAAGGAGCAGACATTCATACCTGTATGTATGTTGACCTTTTGCACTGTACGTAGCAAGCCGCGCTAATCGGAGGTGCGGGGGAAGGACAACAAACTAACACAAAAAGCAGTTTGGATACTGATCCAATGTTAGTGGTGGTGCGGTGTGGTATGATATGGTAAGTTGTGTTGATCGTCTTTGCGTGGCGACGATAGTGATGTGGTGTTGGGGGTGGTGTTGTGGTGACAGCGCAGTGGCGATGGTGGTCATGATCGTCGTGATGGTGCCAGGGGTATGTTGTGGTGGCGGTAGTATTTTGGTGGCATGAGCAATAACGATGTTGCGAATGGTAACGGTGTAATTGTGCTTGTAATGGCATGATGATGGTGGGGGGGTTATGGCTTGGGCTCGTGCATGATGCTCGCTTGCCCGCTCACCTTTCTTTCAGGTGCCGAGTCGTGAGATCGACAAGGGCGAGGGAAAGTTCTGGACGCATTGGAACAAAGAGACCAAGCAGGTGAGTCCATCTGTCAGTCTTGTCAGTCTATTAGTCCGTCCTCCAGTCAGTTAGCTGCCTTGGTGTTATGGCAATTACACAAGTTAGACTCCCTAAAATCATCTCAATAATGCATATGGGGGTGTCAGTTTGAAGGGAATTATCTGTGGTTTTAGAAATGTCTTATTTATGGAATAAATTGGCACTTTTGACACGGATGAAAGATAATTCACCGTCACCATCCCATTGTGGATGGTAAAGTGTGTTCATCTGAGTGTCCGACACTGAGCATGTGTCTATATAATCAACAAAGGTAGACAAATTATTGCAAGTACATTCATAGTTGGTTGACGCACTATGCCCATGTGAAAAGCCACTTGATTAAACGAATGAGTGCACCTCTGTTGTGTCCAAGCAAGTAAAGGACCAGACACTTTATTCGTCAGATGTTGAGTAAATGCAGAACGTTCAGAAAACAGGTTTAACCTTGTCATTGTGAAGACAAGAGTTTGTTCACATGAAATTTAAATTCTCAGCATTTTACATTTTACACACTTGTGTATGTCACATTATGGATGTGACATACACGGGTCCCACATTCTTCCACCAAAGATGGGTGGAAAAGTGCACGGTGGCTCTTGTTGAACTCTGCATTGGCTGTGTATTAGGCAGGCAAGGGGGTAACGTACATTGAGCTTAGCTAATCCCTGACACGACATCTGTGTTACTCACCCCTTCTACCCTTCACCCCCCACAGTTCTTCATGCAGTTCCACTACAAGCTGGAAAAGCCGGTGCCCGTACAGCAGCCCCCACACCTGGCCCCCCCGCCCGTGAGACCCGGCCCACGTGGACCCCCGCCGCCTGGCATGGCGCCTCCCATGAACCACCCCGTGCACATGCCCCCCATGGGGATGCCCATGAACATGAGTATGGGCCCAATGATGGGGACGATGGTGGGCCACATGGGCATGCCCCCTCCGGGCATGGGGCCCCCGCCTCCACCCCCGCTCACCGGGCCCCTCCCTCCGCCGCCGCCGCCGCCCCCCCTGATGTCCAACAGGCTGCCGCCCCCTCCCCCGCCCCCGTCGGGCATCCCTCCGCCGCCCCCTCCCTCGGGGGGGCCGCCGCCGCCCCCGCTGCCGCCGCCGTCCACGGGCGGTCCTCCGCCGCCCCCGCCACCCGGGGGGATGCCCCCTGGGCCACCCCCACCGGGACCCGTGCCTCCGCCGCCGCCGCCGCCCCCCATGCTGATCCGGCCGCCCCCGCCAGGTCCCCCTCACATGCAGGGGGTCCCAAGACCCCAGGGTGTGCCACCTCCTCCGCCGCCGCCATCGTCAAACTGATGCCGGCGGTAGTGGGTGGGTTATTTTTTTTTATGTTATTCCCCCCGGGGTCCGGGGTAGGTTTGTTACTCTCCGAGGTTGCTTTAGGGTTGTTAACCGCGCGTGGTCGTTCGGCACGATCTCTGGAAACGAACGGAGGTTGCAGAGGCAGCTCTCCCCAGCACTTGGGAGAGAAATGTCCGGACATCGTGCTGAATAACATCTTAGCCCTGCAGCAGCCTACAACATCCATTTAATACATGGAAGTCCGCACATTGAGGCGCTATTTGGGCTCAAGCCTGCTTAGCATCCACGATTCTGGGTGATTTGGTTCGATGCAAATGCTGTTTAATCAGTCATTAAATGGCAGAAAAATAATTCACCAGAACGAGACATGTGATACATGTACATTCCCATATAAAAATATAGTGAAGACCTCAAGTTTGGCCTCAGACTAGCCTACCAGGTCCCACCAAGCAAGCCCCCGAGGAAAGGGTGCCTTAATTATTTCACTTAACACGGAATGATGTGACAGTACATTGTTAAAACTGGTGGTTGTCTCATTAAAAGGCCAAGCATTAGTTTCTTGCACACATGCTAACCAAAAGAGGTCATCTGGAATGTTTTATGGCTTATTTTTATACTTACCCGACTGCCAACTGTTGTGGAATCGGCCATGATCAACCCACTGCTGGATGAAAGCCTCCCCAAGCCGCCACCATCTCATGATCCTATGATCTAATCCTATAACACCTGTTTAATGACAGTTTTAAGTCGTCGAATTTGGTCCACAGACGCTTGTATCATAAACAATTCACAGACTGTACTCGGAAATCTCAATAAAAGATCTTTGTCTAAATGTGGTTTGTGACGTGTCTTGCTATTTTTGTGTCCCTTGCCAGCGTGCTGCATTCTCCAAGAGCACTCCATTCCCATGGTTACCAATCTGTCCTCGGCGTCTCCTCTCCCCCTGAGCCTTGCTCCACTTCTTCTCACCTCAGCGTCAACTCCATCACTTCTGTTCAACTATTCTATCCTTCATTCCCTCTCCCACCGTGCCAGTTCCCTCTAATGCCTTGTTTGGGTTCACATCCTCAAAAGCTCATTGTCTTCACACTCGTGCTGTCCTGCTGTGATGCCTCTTTCTTTAAACGGCTTATCTTTCCAATTTCCTGGCCCGCTCTGTCTACCTTTATGGCACCACGGTGGCGAGATGTTAACTACCTCGCCGAGTATGGAGGGGGTTGTGGGTTCGATCGCGAACCTGATGCCTGCTATATATTTGGATTTTGCATGTTCTCATTGTGGTCGCCTGGATTTTTCTCCGGGTCCTCCAGGTTTTTTAATAATATGCGTTTGAGAGTATTTGGCTGCAATGAATGTGTGGCCAGGTCACTTCTGGAAAAGAGCTATATAGCTCGGTGGGCTTTACCTGGGGTTAAATCCCTCACATTAACATAGCCACTTTCGTGTCCTCGTCGAGGAGGCCGCTCTCCTATCTTACAGTTACATGCTAATTTTTCACATTAACATCACTAGCCCCGGCCACTTCTTTATGACCTTTGGGCTACACCCATTTCAAGCCTTTTTAAAACAGTCTGCCTCAGCAGCAGACCATGCTTTCCCACCTGATGACGGACGCGTGTGTTTCAACCGAAACGTGATTTATTGTTTTATTTTACACCGACGTGACTTTACGGAAATAACCAAAGATTATGGATTCCTGCTGTCACGAAAGCTTCAAGATAAAAAAAAAACTTTCATAATGGCTCTCCCATCACTGCCTTGCTCTTTTCCCGCAGTTGTGATCTTTAAATGGGTTATCTTTCCTATTTCCTGGCCCAATAATTGCCCCCCCTCCTCCTGTCCCCACTGAATCAAAATTGCAGCCTCTTTCATAACCTGCTCTCATTGGTCATCACACCTGCACAAGAACCGATTTCATCACTTGGTTTCATTGATCGATGGGTTTTTTTTCTGATTAGTTCCATTCATTGGCTACCACTCCCATTACAGTGATGAGGTGTCCTGCCCAAACCCACTTGTCTAGAAACAGTTTGATGGCATTAACCTGCGTATCTTCTGTCATCCACGTGTCTCTTGTTTTGCCAGCGGAATTCCAAGCACGCATCCCACCCATGCTTTTCACATCAGTTCTTTCAATTTTCTTCAATGATGACCTGTGCTTCTGACCCATACAGTCACAGCAGGTAAATGCATGCTGATTCAAACAAAGGTTATCCGGGCACATTGCAATGCTGCTCTTCATGAGTAAGCTCAGTTTCCCGAAATTTCTGTTTCTCAGAGGGTTCGTTCAATGGGCAGAGCGCTTCTTTTCCCCCCACTGAACGACCTGTTAGCGCAGAGAGAGCATCGTAACCGAAGCTAATTGTCAAGAGCGTTTAGGCAGGTGTTTCGGATAGTTTCAGGATCTGATTTGGTGGTGAATTTCCACCATCCCGAGACGATCCATCGCGGCCACATAAATCAGAGCTCTCTCTCTGACCATGGAATGCATTCCAGTTGTTTCCCCACAAAATATATTCTCAGTTGTTTAGCAAGCGTGGTGTACGTGAGCTTTTTTTTGTTTATTTATTATTTTGAGGTCCACTTTGCAGACTCTTTTCCAACGGGTTTATTTAACTTGATTCCTCTGTTTGTCGTGGTCAAATCTTGTAATCAAAATTTCGTCCACTTCCCATTGTCCAATCAATTCCACATGTTGCACACGTACTCAGATCCGGTGACAATGCATGCCTGTATCAAAATCGGCATCAAGTAATCAATTACTGTAATTCGTACTTTAAAGCAATTTACATTTTGTATGGACGCTTAATTATTTATATTTTTTGTGTAGGTAAAAAACGCCGCGGTCCCTAAACGGTGGAATCGGCTCGCACAAAAAGCAGGCACCATTGACGTACTCTCGACCGTGAGTTAAACGAAGTTGTTAGTAAAACCGTTTCGATTTAAAGCTTTCGTGACTGCAGGGATTCATCTTCTTGGTTCTTTCGGTAAAGTCACGTAGAAGGAAAATAATACAAATAAAACATAATAAAATATCATTCTCACGACGTTTCGGCCACAACGTGACTTTACCGAAAGAACCAAGAAGAGAAATAAAACCGTTGTTTAAAAAAAAAAAACCTATTTTAAAGGAGTGTATTAATAATTATTTGACATTTCATTTCAATAGTGTAATATTAAAAAAATTAAGAATGTGTATGTTATTCGACATGTACATGTCTCAAACTGTCTACATAATAATAATAATAATTTTCACGAGATCAATTTGCATGGATTATCGATGTATCACAACGATGGTAGATAACGTACAGTATTCGCATACCAACTGAGCTTGCTCACACAATAGAGTGGTTTTGCCGGCTTGCTTTTTTTTGTAATTTACTTTTTTCGACGGTAAATCGCTACGGTCCCTTAACGCGTTGAATCAGCTGGTGGCGACACAGCGGTCAACCTGCGCGCTCCGGGCACCCACCCATCACCAATCTTCGACGACAAAGTAACTCGGAGTTCATTATTTGTGCAAAATAATAATAATTATCGTTAAATAAGTGTCGCTATACACTCATTATACATGCTGATGTCGTGTTTGTTCGCGACGCTTACGTTATTTTTCACCACGGTCATTCCGACTACGCATTGCAGCACAGTTGGTAGACGTCAACATGATGGACTTGAATTGCGAATTAATGTCGCAACAATAATTATTCCGTGCTGGCTGTCGCAATCTACTGCTGAATGGTGGTTTGGGGGAGGGGGGGTGTTTGTCCATACTTCACCACGCTGGTCAATGCGTGGGTTTGGTGCAAGGGCAGGGCCCACGTGGTTGCGGTTCTAATATCGATCGCCACTGACTGAGCCGTGCCCTGGAATCAAACTCGGGCTGCCGGCATTTATAATCTTTATATGGTTACGTTGCAAGATGTCTAAATGTGCAGCCTGTGACGAAACCACCGGGTGCCCTGATAGCGAGATGTTAACTACCTCGCCTGGTATACAGGAGGTCGTGGGTTCGATTCCGACTCTGACAATGCCTGCTGCTGCTGTGTATTTGGAGTTTGCGTGTCTCTCTCTCATCATCATCACGGTGGCTGGGAGATGTTGACTACCTCACCTGGTATACAGGAGGTCGTGGGTTCCATCCCCGACCCTGACGGTGCCTGCTGCTGTATATTTGGAGTTTGCGGAATCTCTCTTCCTGTAGTCGCGTAGATTTTTCTCCGGGTCCTCCGGGTTTACCCCTCCACATTTAGAATCAACAAGCGTTTATAGTACCGTATTTGGCTGCTATAAATGTCCACGTGATAAGGCACTTCTTCATTAAGCTATTATTTGTGGCTAGCTCAAAAGAGCTATTTTGCTCAGTGGGCTTTACCCGGTAAAATAAAAAAAAAATTAGTTTCTCCGGTAGCTTAGTTTAGGTCAGGGCACTGTAACAAAACCACTGTTGTACTTCACCTATGCTCCAACGTCTATGTACCCCCCGTTTTCACAAACCCTCACTGGCGTTGTGAGGTATGGTCAAATAACCCCCGGCCTGCACGGCGTGCAGGGTCCTTATCCAGCAGTGGATCCAGCAGTATCTCTCCTACCTGGCTCTTCCCCCCTCTCTTACCTATATAGCCTCTTGTTACAGAAGCCCTTTTGCCCACTTCAGCAAATGTTTCTTGCTGTGGTTGTCCCACCTGATGACGGACGCTTGTGTTGCGCCCGAAACGTCGTGATTTTATTTATTTTATACCTACGTGACTTTACCGAAAGAACCAAAGAGTATGAAAAGGACTTGTGTAAACATCACATTGCCTCTGCTCAAACAACGCAATGGGGGCAGTGCTCATCGCCATTGGCGGTCCCTAGCCAGTGTTGGAAATTCCACATTACCATGACAGGATCCTTCCACAGCCCAGAAAACTGTAGCTTTCTCACAAAGTGGCACTGTACTTATTTGATCCACTTCGGAGGGACGGTTAGGCCTACTCAACACGGATTTACACTCAAAACGCTCCTCTCGGGAGCTGCATGCTCTGACCTCAATGTCACCAGGAAAAGGAAGGGTTGCCACCTATCCTGGTTTTCCAGGATCGGCCTCCTAGTGTAGGGTCTCAGTCTTTGTAATTTGCAAAGTGCACTACTTAAGATAATACATTTACATGCAGTTTTCTCTTCTGGTATTGTGATATATTCTGTCCCGGTTTATTGTATCTCACAAGTGGCTACCCTGAGGCCAGTTTATTAACGTAAGGAGTAATAAATGTCCCCTAGAGCAGTTGTCCCCAACCTTTTTGGCACCAGGGACTGGTTTCGTGCAAGACAATTTTTTTCACGGACCGGGGGGGGGGGGGGGGGTTCATCATTGGGTCTTTCCCCCTTTTCAAAGAAGCTCTCCAGCGACGTTTGTTTATTACTCATTTTGGCTAAGGTTAGCTTGTGGGCTTACCAAAACTGTGACCGAGACAAGTGCGCAGTGCGGGAAAGAGGGCGCGGATGGATTGGTAAATAAAATAATGGGCGGGCCACGCGCGGACTCACCGCTCACTTCCTGCTGTGCGGCCCAGTTTCTAACAGGCCACGGACCGGTACCAATCCACGGCCCCGAGATTGGAGACCCCTGCCCTAGAGGTTTTATTCAATTGCAGTATAGACCAGATATTTTTTTTGTCCAATCACAGTCCTTAGGTTGCAAGTGGTCCTCTTCAATTCAGTCATTGAAATATGCAGGGAGATGTTGCTTCCCTTGTTGCATAAGATTAGCACAATAGCACCAAATTCCAGACAAGTACCCAGTTTTTTTTGTAAGATTAGGGGGTTTGATATCGTGGTTTAGAGTAAAGAGTTAGGGTTTAAGTTACGGGTTAGGATTAGGAATTAAGAGCTTGGATTAGAGGTTAGAGTTAGGACTTAGGATTAGAAGTTAAAGTTAGGGTTTAGAGGTTACAGACAGTGGACTGATATTCTTGCCCTGCATTTGCATGGACATTAGTTTCAGACACTTAAATAGTAACTACTGGTTAGAATGTAATTTTTCAGCCCCTGCCATTTGAATGTGGATTTACACCTTCGCCTACTTGCTGCCAGAGGAAATGAATGCCGTCAATTGCTCACTTGAGTAAAGAATCCCTTTGAATTAACGTTGGTGTCCCAGATGGCGTGCGCAGTGGCCTCCCCGCTGCTGGAGCAAAGCAGGGACTTCCCGACATGGCTGGAGACGCAGGGCGTGAACGCGGAAGTGGCCCGGGCCATGGACTCGGAGCTGGGCATCCGGGACTACGGGGTCCTGTGTGCCTGCGTCGGAGACGGCCTCGTGCGGGCCGAGCTACTGGCCACGGCGCGCGACCGCCTGCCCTTTGGCTTCTACGCCGTGCTGCGGCAGGTGGTGAAGGCCCTGCAGGATGCCGAGCCCCACGACGCTGGGACGCCGTGCTGGGACGACGCCGCCGCTTCCTCCCCTGGCGATGTGATGCTGGGAGGCCTGGTGGACGTGCTGCTCGCGCTGTTCAGCGGCTTGAGTCGGGAGCTGCTGTTGTCTGTACGGAGGATGGGAAACATTGATAACAAGAGAACGTGTCCTGCTGGCTCGCCTTCAGCCACTTGGGTTGGCCATCCTGAGAACATTGCGATGAATGAAATTAATGATTACACAACAAACGGTAATTAGATCCTCTCAAAACCAGACTATTTGGGGAAATAACCTTTTCAGTTACAGCGGATATCTGGCAAACTACAACCAAAATAATACATGGCTTAATTTAACTACATTTACAATCAATTAACATTGAATATATTGAAATAACAATAACTTCATGAATCTTGACTTAAAGCTTTCGTGACTGCAGGAAACCACGTAGATAGAAACATTTCTAAAAATATCACGACGTTTTGATCGCAACACACGCAATCGGCATCACTGCGAAGCAGAGGTGGAAGGATGTGGTTCACTGGATGTGGAAGGCTGAAGATATTTTACGACAGGCTTTACATTTTGTTTATTTACAAAATGTACTTTTAAAGTTCAAAAACAAGAGTACACCTAGCATAGACAATTACTCAGCTTTAGAATGACCAGTGCACATACGCACACCATTTCCTACTAAATTAACTTAATTAGTGCACAAACAGTGTTACGGTCAGAGTTGTTCTATTTGTAGTTTTTTTGTTAATTTATCAGTGGTGATTTAAAGTAGCCTTTGACTTACTCCAAATTATAGGTTACTCGAGTCTGGGTTTGAGAGGTTTTACTCTATGTGGTGTATGGATTTAGCAACACATCTGTACATTTCATTATTTGATATCACATCTGGCATTAATATGTAAAGGAATGCTTACTTTTGGGAAATTAAGCTCCTGGTGCATTGTGATTTTATGCAGACGAGGATGGAGAAAACTTAATTTCAGACATGGGAGGCGCGGACGCTGCGGACGCTGTGGAGGCATCGTCTTCAATAAAATTGGAGGCCCTTGAAGGTAAAGCCAAATTCTTTGTGTATGTACAGATAGTCCCCGAGTTACGATGGTCCGACTTACGATATTTCGATCTTGCGATAACGATACGACAAAATTGTAAAATATTTCAAATTTCGCGCGCCAGGAAAACGCAGCAGCGTACGAGGTACGATACTGTACGTTGGGACGCTGCCGGGATGTACGCATCTCCCGCCTTGTGTGATGCAGATAGGATTGTTTCCTGAAAAAACTTTCTATTAAATTTCAGTTCATATAGGTAGGCTCAGAATTTACCTTGTTTTTTTATTTTACATTTTACTGTGCAATACAGTATTGTAATTAATAAATACATACAGTATATAGTTTATACGGTACTGTAAATTGCTCTGTTTTGCTAGATTATCACCATTCTATAAGACTCCTGGGTAGGCTAGGCCATCTTCGACTTACGATATTTTTGACTTACGTTGGGGTCGTCATAACGCATCTCCATCGTAAGAGGACTACCTGTATGTTGAAATTCTTCCACCATCGTACTTAGCCAACCATGCTAATCGAAGCCCAAGTTTGACATTTTTCCCTTCGCTTAAATATCACGGAAATATTTGCAGTCATATAGGTATGTTTGTAGTTCATCATCATTAGCCATGATCAATCCACTTCTGGATGAAGGCTTTTGCACACGAGATTATTTAATTGCTGCATCTCCATGGTGGACGTCATCTCGGACGTGCTCCCTCCTTTGGCTGCCGCTCTTTTTAGTCTCGACCAATGGCCCTTATCCGCTTTAGCGGAGTGTACTGCCTAAGCCCACTTTTTTTGACGACGCCCACGTACACCATCAGTTTTTATTCAGTACGTCACCGGAACAGCAAAGGGTTAATGACGCATGTTTATGGTTTTCTCCCATCAAAGGTGCTTGTGGCATTGAAGAGGATTCAGGGTTCATCATACAAGATGTGGTTTCTTCAAACGGTGACAACGTTGGTTCATGTTCACAGCTGCAGCATCAGAATCCGCATCAGAGGACTGGAGGTAAAATGCAAATAAACTTTAAAGCAGAAGAGATGCAAGACATGTCCCCGGGTGAATTGTTTATATCCAATCCCCTAAAGACTCGACACGTCATCGGGCAACAAGAATGCCCGAATGGTATAGAGGATTTTCCAATCGATGGGCAAGTTCCTGCTGCTGATGAGCCCGATGCATCGGACAACCAACTTTATATGTTAATGGGTGCGACTTCCCGTTCGCCAAAATTGAATGTGACTGCTAAGTCGGTGAATAAGCCATACCAGTGCACGGTGTGCAAGAAGAGCTTTGCGTGGGTCTCGCTTCTGAAGTACCACCATCGCATACACACGGGAGAGAAGCCGTACCACTGCAAGATGTGCAACCGGTCCTTTGCGCAGTCTTGCAATCTGAAGGTCCACATGCGCACGCACACGGGGGAGAAGCCGTACCGGTGCAGGTTCTGCAACCAGAGCTTCGTCTGCAGCGGGAGCTTGAAGTCGCACGTCCGCGTGCACACGGGAGAGAGGCCGTACCGGTGTGATATTTGCAACAGCTGCTTCTCACGGAGTCATCACTTAAAAGCTCACCAGCGCACGCACAGGCCTTAAGCAAAAAAATTACCGGCGCAAAAAATGCGACGGTTGTTTTGCGCGAAGCATACAAGTAGAAACCTTTGCCAGAGATTGCCCAGTTTAAGCAGATAAAATCCCTTCCTGTGACCGATGGTCCACACAGTAGAGGGTAGGGAGCACTTTCCCTTTCATATTTCCACTGACAGTCAAAAGCTAATTTTAATTTAGCCAATTTAAGTGCAGAACACAATTTGATGATTGATTTTTTTTGCCTGCAGTTATTGGTGACCAGACTGAGACCACCAACTCGCGATACTTGGGAACCCGATTTTAATCATGAGTGGATACAACCTGGATTTGAACCCATGCCGTGCAGCCAGCTCAACTACCCAGCCGCCTCGCATAATTATCATTTAAAAACTCACTTGGGGCACCCACATTGAATTATAGGTGTTAATGATGAAATGTGTTCCTGTATAAAGTTTGCATGGTGATGTGTAACGTATACTAACTATGCAGTTGTGTTTAAATAAAAGCATTACTCCCAATAATAACCCCTTTTGGTTGTGGAATTTTGTACAAGACTTGCACGTGTTCATGCCACCGGTAAACATCAAACATTTACTGTCACACCAAGATCAATGTGCACACAAATTGCATGCTACCGGTCCCTTTTAGGAAACGACAGTTCTGCAATGCATTTCCGTGCAGACATTTAATGTGTAGCCAGTGTTTTTTTTTTCCCCATAGCCCATGACGGTAGAGCACCACCACGCCTTGCCTATTATTGGTGAAGCCGAGCGTTGCTCTGGAAAGCGACAGAATGAATCGGTGAATATGAAGGCCTAAATTATTGTCATGTAGGTGAGTCGCCCCCAAATGAGATTTTCCTGGGCGTGTGCTTACCCACCTTGGGAGTTGCGGAACAGGAATATAAATAATAGTTCCAATACCATGCTCGACTCCATGCTGAATCCCACACTGAAAATCTACGCTCGTATTCCATTGTACTGTAATCGATGCGATTTAACGTGCAGCGACTACGGAATATACACTTTGCATTGATTGGTTATCGTGTGACATTGCCTGCGATTGGTGAGGTTAGGTTCATGCACGCACAATCGATTTAAATGTCACTAATTCTACCGTGCCACATTGCAATAGTATGTCTCGTTTATGTATCCGTATGATCTTCACATTTAAAAACAAATATTACCCCCCCCCCCCATCAGCCTTTTCAGAGTGTATAATTTCAGCAACATTGATTGCAAGACATGCAATCATACTCAGGATGTGTCTCATCAGCACATGATGTTGGATTGGGTGTGAGTGGTGTCAATGGAACTGGTAAACATAACGCGACAACCATAACACAAATCAACAAGATCAAGGTGCACGCAAATGCAAGAGACCGCTCCCTTTGAGGAATAAACGTTTAGTTCTTCAAAATGCATTTTTGTGCAAAGACATTTAAGGACACGCCTTGGCATATAGCATATCTTAATATATCAGTTTGATCTCCATGCCAAAAAGAATATTAAGGTAAAAAAACTAGTTTTAGTTGCACTCAAAAAAGTAGATAATACGTTTATTTGACCACACAATCAAATTTGATGTGCTGAATAAAAGTGGGTGGCTTGCATAAAGAAAATTAAACATCGAAAGGAGACCATCCACGTTTATTGAGCACGTCAAATTTGAAAAGTGTCTGCATTGAAAAACAAACATGTGAGAGATTAGCATGTTAATGGCAGATCGCAGAGCCGCAACCTCTTAAGTGAAGGTGGCTGTGTTAGTGTGAGACATGTAACCTGTTCATGTCAAATCGTAGAGCCGAAAATAACAACTAACACTGGAAGCTGGCAGGATGGGAACATCACAGCCAGTTGTGACTTAAACTGGTTGATAGCGCCCTTCCAATGATTGATAAGTGTGTACCCATCTTCTCGGTTGAAATTGTGTCTGTGTCTGTATATATGGATGGCTTCATGAACGAATCTTTGTTGATAGCCAGTGGGTTTGCAAAGTACCTTCGTCTTAGAGAAATCAATTTCGTGTGAGCCCACCGCATTAAACAAATGATCAGCCACGGCCGAGGTATTGGTCCTACCGTGTTTCAGATCTGCCTTGCGTTCACGAACACGGTCCGAGACATGTCACTTAGTTTCCCCAATGTAACTTCTGCCGCAGACACAGCTTAGTTTGTAGACGCCGGGGTATTGCATGTCAGGGATCACATCCTTCACAGATGGAATCAGATCACGAATTTTATGTAGTTTGTAGACGCCGGGGTATTGCATGGCAGGGATCACATCCTTCACAGATGGGATCAGATCACCAATTGTATGTACTGTGATCGCCCATCCAATTACTATCCAGGCTGAACACCTGCTTGGCTTTTGAGATCTGGCACATTCTGGGTTGGTTTGGTCAAACTGCAGGGGCCTCTGGTTTTGGGCAAATCTCCGCGGTCCCTAGCTTTAAAGGGACAGTGCACTGCTGTACGAGCGCCACCGGTAACAACATCATCATCATCAGCAGCGACATCATCATCATCAGCAGCGACAGCACCATCAACTGCAACATCATCATCATCAGGTACAGCAACTACAACATCATTTCCAGCACCATCAACTACAAGATCATCAGTATCATCATCAGCTACAGCAACATCAACTACAGCATCATCAGTATAATCATCAGCTACAGCAACATCAACTACAACATCATCAACTACAACATCATCAGCTACAGCACCATCAGCTACAGCACCATCATCTACAGCATCATCAACTACAACATCAACTGCAGCAACATCAACTACAGCACCATCAGCTACAACATCATCAACTACAACATCATCAACTACAACAGCATTATCTACAGCACCATCAACTACAACATCATCATCTACAGCATCATCAACTACAACACCATCAACTACAACATCATCATCTACAACATCATCATCTACAGCACCATCAACTACAACATCATCAACTACAGCATCATCATCTACAGCATCATCAACTACAGCATCATCAACTACAGCATCATCAACTACAACATCATCATCTACAGCACCATCAACTACAACATCATCATCTACAGCATCATCAACTACAACATCATCAACTACAACATCATCAACTACAACATCATCAACTACAACACCATCATCTACAACACCATCAACTACAACATCATCAACTACAACATCATCAACTACAACATCATCAACTACAACATCATCATCTACAGCACCATCAACTACAACATCATCAACTACAACATCATCAACTACAACATCATCAACTACAGCATCATCAACTACAACATCATCATCTACAGCACCATCAACTACAACATCATCATCTACAGCACCATCAACTACAACATCATCATCTACAGCATCATCAACTACAACATCATCATCTACAGCATCATCAACTACAACATCATCATCTACAGCATCATAAACTACAACATCATCATCTACAGCACCATCAACTACAACATCATCATCTACAGCATCATCAACTACAACATCATCATCTACAGCACCATCAACTACAACATCATCAACTACAGCATCATCAACTACAACATCATCATCTACAGCACCATCAACTACAACATCATCAACTACAGCACCATCAACTACAGCACCATCAACTACAGCACCATCAACTACAACATCATCAACTACAGCATCATCAACTACAACATCATCTACAGCACCATCAACTACAATATCATCAACTACAACATCATCATCTACAGCATCATCAACTACAACATCATCAACGACAACAGCATTATCTGCTAAAGCACCATCAACTGCATCATCATCTACGGCAACATCGTCAACTACAACAACAGCATCATCAACTACAATATCATCAACTACAACATCATCATCTACAGCACCATCAACTACAGCAACATCAACTACAACACCATTATCTGCTACAGCACCATCAACTACAACATCATCAACTACAGCATCATCAACTACAACAACAGCATCATCGGTGTCACCATCAGCGACATCGATATCAACGACAACAGCAAGAAGAGCATCGTCATCGTCAGCTACACGACCTGGGTAAACATAACCCGCAATGTGCTCGTAGGCGATTGATCTCAATGAGGTGTTAAGAGGCTGTCCATAAATGACGTCACGCGATTTTGGACGATTTTTGACCCCCCCCCCCCCCTCTTCGTCACAAAAAGTCAGACCCTCCGTCAAATATGACGTCACAAAGCTCTGCCCCCCCCCCCAAATAAAACATGCTTCAAATCGCTTTCAACTATAGTCATTGTAGTGCGTATTTAATGTGGCGCTGCACTCTGATGTTGTAGGATACAACATTTATTAGAAAGTCTATTTAATTGAGTAGAACGTGTTGTCTAAAGTTGCGCATTTTGATGTGACGTCACATTTCTCAAACCCCCCCCCCCCCCCCATCGTCACACATCGTCACACATGTCTGACCCCCCCCCCTCCCCTAGGTGCGTGACGTCATTTATGGACGGCCCCTCATAGTTTGTCAAATCCCTCTTTTCAGGAATTTGAAACCCTTCAGGTCCAAACGGCATTCGTTCTTTGAGGCTCCTTCAGGTAAGTGTTGTTTATAGTAACACGAATGTTCAGTACAGCGTCGTATTCCTGCGAGACTTAGGATATTAAAACAAAGACTGGCTTAGGATATTAAAACAAAGATAAGATGATGATGATGGTTATAATTATTCAAATGTATTATTGTGCCATTCCATCCTCGGATCCCAATGCTCATTACATGGAATGCAGGAACCAAAAACAGAAGCAGGGGCAACCGACCAGACGAGAGAGGGAAGGCCACTTTAAAGAGATGGGGTTTTCAAAGCAGACTTCAATCTATCTACCGACTCTGATTGCCCTGATTTCAAGTGGAAAAGCGTTCCATAGCTTGGGGTGCCACGCTAACAAAAGCCCGATCGCCAAAAGAACACAAACCTAGAGACCTGGGAGTGCTGAGCAAGTCATGAGAGTACAGATGTTGGTTTCACTGCAAGGCAACCACGTGTTCGAGGACCTTGGATAGGATAGGTGGATTGGAGATTGAGCGATAGTTATTTGGAACCTCAGAGTCGAGGCCTGTCTTTTTCGTGAGGCGAGTGACAGCTGCAAGTTTAGAAGTTTGAAGGAACAATACCAGAACTGAGAAATTGATTGAATTTTTTTTATTTTTAGGCCGAGGAAATATACATTTTGGAAAATGTATTTAGATACATAAATGTCAGTTTTAAAAACATTTTTAGATAAAGCCTGAATATTAACCATGTCCCATCAGGATGGCGTGTGCAGTGGCCTCCCCAATACTTGAGCCGAGCGGGGACTTCCCGGCGTGGCTGGAGGCGCAGGGCGTGAACGCGGAGGTGGCCCGGGCCATGGACTCAGAGCTGGGCATCCGGGACTACGGGGTCCTGCGCGCCTGCGTCAGGGACGGCCTCGTGCGTGCCGAGCTGCTGGCCACGGCACGCGACCGCCTGCCCTTCGGCTTCTACGCCGTGCTGCGGCAGGTGGTGAAGGCCCTGCAGGGTGCCGAGCCCCACGACGCTGGGATGCCGTGCTGGGACGACGCCGCCGCTTCCTCCCCAGGCGACGTGACCCTGGGAGGCCTGGTGGACGTGCTGCTCGCGCTGTTCAGCGGCTTGAGCCGGGAGCTGCTGTTGTCCGTGCAGAGACTGGGAGACATTGATAACACCGGAGTGTACGCTGTTGGCTCCCCTTCAGCCAAAACGGTCATCTCCCCTGAGAACAGTGTGATTAATGAAATTGACGATTACACACTGAACGGTAAAGTTGTTTCCTATTCGCTGAACTTATTAAACACGTGAAATATTTATTTTAAGCAGGCAGTTGGTCGTGATATCTCAATTCTTATATAGCGGTAGATCCTCCCAAAATCAGACTAATTAACAGGACCTTTTCAGTTATGGGGGATGTCTGGAATAATGCAAATAAAATCATACTTAAGGGCTACATTTGAATGATATTTACACGAAATTAACATATAATATATTCAAATATCTATTTACGAGTACATTTTTACAGTGTAATGCAAAATTACATCACTAGGTACAGTTTAACCGGCGTCAACGTCACCATAAAACAGAGGTGGAAGGCTTAAGGTTGACTGGCTGTGGAAGGCTGAAAATAATTTCTGACAGGTTTGAATTGATTTTGTTTATTTGCAATATGAATGTAAAATCAAAGTTGGAAAGAGGGGTTCCAAGTGAATGGATTCACCGAATTCCATACATCAGACAAGAACCCAGATTTAGAATTACGAGTGAATTTATGCACACTATTTCCTACCACGCTAGCATGACAGTGTTGTTTTGCTTATATATTTTATACTGTTTACTTTGTTTTCCAACATCTATGATTAGCACGGTTAGCTACGTACGGTGCTACATACGGTGTGTAAGAAGTTGACCATACATCAGTGATTATTCAAGTAGCCTTCTGGCTTACCCCCAATTTCAGCTTACTACAGCTTTTACTCTATGCTATATGTGGATTTAGTGACACATCTGTACATTATTTGATGTCACGTCTGGCATTAGCATATGAAGGAATGCTTAGTTTTGGAAAATAAAGCTGCTGATACATTGTGATTTGATGCAGACGAGGATGGAGAGGACTTGATTCCAGACATGGGAGATTCGAACGCTGTGGATGAATCATCTATAATTAAGACGGAGGCCCTTGAAGGTAAAGCCGAATTATAGAGCCCACGTTTGAACAATTTTGCCAATATTTGCAGTCATATCACAGATATATTTCACACGCTTCATCATCACCATCAGCCATGATCAATCCACTGATGGGTTAAGGTTTTCGAAAGTCATCTCTCAGAGTCTCGCGATAAAACAGTCCATCAAACTTCTGCACACGAGATGATTTCATCGCTGCATCTCCATGGTGGGCATCATCTCGGACGTGTTGTCTGCTTTGGCTGCCACTCTTTTTAGCCTCGACCACCGGCCCTTATACGCTTTAGCGGAGTGTACTGCCCAAGCCCATTTTTTTAACAGTCAATATGACTCGAAACAGGAGGAATTCTCCACGTTTCTGGCTATCGGCTGTTGAAGTCAGTTGTAGTTATCAGAGAAACGTCATACTTGAATTGTAAATGTTGTGGGTTTACTCTCCAACACACCGGTGTGCTGAACTAGTAATGAATTGGCATGTTTTGTTCATGGGACAAATCTTACAAAATGGCTGTGTCGGGTGGTGGCGGGTTTAACGACACATTTATAAATTTCCACGATCTAACCCAAAAATACTTCTTGCGGAAAACATTGGTTGCAAAAGCATACGTGTTAAACTGAATATGACTCCCATTATTTCCATAAGTTATCTGATCCATATTTTGGTCTTCCTATCTCTTTGCGTAATTTCAAACTTATCTTCTCTCCATACTTAATTTTGTACTTTTCAGCTTTTCTATTTTATTCATCTTCCGTGTTTTGGATCCATATAACATAGCAGGTAATATACGTTAGACTTAAAGAAAACTGATTTATAAAAAATATATATATATAATGTATTTTTAAATCGGTGATTTAAGTGGTAGTTATTTTTAAAAATCATCGCAATGAAATTAAATCAGATAATAAAGACATTGTGGATGCACGGTTAGAAACCCACTGCTTGGAATCACTTTCAAAATCGACCAAGTAGAGAATTAGACAAGTCATTGTATCAGGTCGAGTGTCAATGAGGCTGGGTACATTGTAAAATAAATCAAACATTTGCTACAGACGGTTAACTTTAATTGCAGAGTTTACTGCTTAGTTTTCTTGTTTTTTTGTCCTGTATGTATGGACGTTGAACTTCTTTCGCACCGTACGTAGCCAACCGTGATAATCAGAGGTCCTTGGCTCATACCTCCTCAATCCTGTCCTCTCTGTACAGTTGCCATCACCTTTCTGTAAATCCAAGTTGCATCTTCCTTGTTAAGGCTCTTGACATATTCCCAACATCCTTTGAGAACCTATTTCATCAAGCTTTCTCCTCAGAGAATGTGCCCAATCCGTATCTATTTTCTTTTGTCGGTTGTTCCAACTGTTTAACTCTTTTCATTCCACTCAATTTCATTAATCCATTTGACATCAAAACCCACATCTCAACACTTTACAGCCTTCTGACACCTTCCTTTCTCAGAATCCCAATTTCTGATGCTGTTCTGTTAGTAACACATGTATTGTTTTCCCCACACAGGTGCTAGTGGCATTGAAGAAAATACGGGGTTCATCGTGCAAGACGTAGTTTCACTACAAGGGATGGGACTGAACTTCGCACACTCCGAAAGAGTTGCTTCGTGTTCACGGCTGCAGCAGTATCACAATCGGCAGAGGACTGGAAGTGAAATGCGTACGTATAATTCTGAAAAAACTGGACACTATCATGGGCGACAGGAACCACCAAACGCCATCGAGGAATTGCCTAGCAGTCGGCAGGATCCTGCTGTTGAAGAGGCCGACCGATCAGTTAACCAGCTGGACACTTTAAGGTCGCTGGAAACCAACGGGAATGTAAACTTGGTGAACAAGCCATTCGAGTGCACGGTGTGCAAGAAGAGCTTTGCGTGGCTCTCACTTCTTAAGTATCACCAACGCATACACACGGGAGAGAAGCCGTTCCGCTGCAAGATGTGCAACCGGTCCTTTGCGCAGTCTTGCAATCTGAAGGTCCACGAGCGCACGCACACGGGGCAGAAGCCGTACCGGTGCGATATTTGTAACATTAGCTTCTCGCGCAGTCATCACTTAAAAGGTCACCAGCGCACGCACAAGCCTTGAGCAGAAATAGTGGTACAAGAAATGCGATTGTTGATTTGTGCATAATTTATTTGTACCACTGGACATCTGTGAAAACTACTGAACATCTGTGAAAAAGAGATAGCTTATCGAATTCCTCCAGTATAAATACATATTCTGATTTTGATAATTGTGCTATCCGTATCAGGTCATGAGGCAAAGAATCCATTCAGAACTCTCACATAGAAGTACAACCCTTTGAGCCAGCGAACGGCCTACTTGAGCAGATCAAATCCACCCTCGTGACCTATGGTGCACACAGTCGAGGGTAAGGTAGTGCTTTTCCCTACCATCTTTCCACTTAGTGAAACATTTTGATTTTCAGAATTACATTTAGCAAAATTAAGTGCAGAATCTAATTTTACGTGATGATTTTTTTTATGTACAGTTGATGCAGCAAATCTGGCTGTGACGGTCCCACCTGATGACGGAGACTTGTGTTGCCTCCGAAACGTCGTGATTTTTATTTTACTTTACTTTTATTAATTTTAATGTTTTACCTACGTGACTTTACCGAAAAAACCTAAGAATTATGTACAGTTATTGGTGGCTAGACTGAGACCATCTCACTACAGTTGAGAACCCGTTTTAATCACGGCCTGATAAATCCCAGATTCGAACCCAGGTTCTATGGTACCGGCTCAATACCCGGGCTTGTGAGCCACCCGGTGAGCTTGCATAACTGGGATAAAAACTCGCTTGCGGCACACCCACATTGGATATGTATGTATGTATGTTTAACTTCTTTCGCACCGTACGTAGCTAACTGTGCTAATTGGAGGTGCGAGATATCAGCTGTAATGATGAAATGTGTTACTGTGGGCATTTTTCACGATGTTGTGTAAGGTATCTATATATATAAAATCGTTCATGTCTGTGTGTCTGTGTGTGTGTGTGTGGACTGCACTTTCATTGGACGGCGGTTGCCCCTGGCAACGGCTAGCCACGCCTTCGCAGCTTTCATTGGACGGCGGTTGCCCCTGGCAACGAGTAGCAACTTTTCTCCGCGGGGTGGACGCCATTTTTAATAGCGCGGCGGGGGGGGGGGACCGGCACCCGTACCCAGCGTTCGCCGGGTGGGAAAATCAGGCAAGGCGGGAGGCTCTGCACGGTGCTAGGCCTCGACACCCAACACGCCACTCTGAGGTAAATTCATACAAATTTCACGTCCTCTACAGAGTGGCGAGGGAGGCAGAGTGCCGAGGGAGGCAGAGTGGCGAGGGAGGGACTCAGCCTCAAAACGAGTAACTGGTGTGGCGTATTAACATCGCCACTGGGGAGACAAAGGCGGCCGGGCCTGGTGGATACAAGTCCCGGGCAAAGCCGGGTCATGACTATGTGTGTATGTGTTTATGTGTATGTCTGTGTGTCTGTATGTATGTGTGTATGTATGTGTCTGTATGTGTTTGTGTGTATGTATGTGTGTGTCTGTATGTATGTGTGTGTGTATTGTGTATGTGTTTGTGTGTATGTATGTGTGTGTTTGTATGTATGTGTATGTTTGTGTGTATGCATGTGTGTGTATGTGTTTGTGTGTATGTGCGGTTATGTATGTGTGTGTATGTGTGTGTCTGCAGCAAGCGCGTGTATGTGTACCTATGGACGCGCGCGCGTGTGTTGTGTAGGGGGAACGGTAGTGTAGTGCTTAGCGTGCTGCCTGTGTCTATGTGTGTGTGTGTGTGTCTGTGTGTGTGTCTGTGTGTGTGTCTGTGTGTGTGTGTCTGTGTGTGTGTGTCTGTGTGTGTGTCTGTGTGTGTGCGTGTGTGGTGTGTACGAGGAACGGTAGTGTAGTGCTTAGCGTGCTGCCTGTGTGTGTCTGTGTGTGTGTGTCTGTGTGTGTGTCTGTGTGTGTGCGTGTGTGGTGTGTGGGGAGCGGTAGTGTAGTGGTTAGCGTGCTGTCTGTGTGTCTGTGTGTGTGTGTCTGTCTGTGTGTGTGTTCTGTGTGTGTGTCTGCGTGTGTGGTGTGTGGGGAGCGGTAGTGTAGTGGTTAGCGTGCTGTCTGTGTGTCTGTCTGTGTGTTTCTGCGTGTGTCTGTGTGTGTGTCTGTGCGTCTGTGTGTGTGAGGAGCGGTGGGTGTAGTGGTTAACGCTACGCTGCGCTACCAACCCGGCGAACCGAGTTAGATTCCCGCTCATGGCCACCACCGATCAAGATTATTTGAACCTCACATAGGTCGACTCAGCCTCAAACGAGTAACTGGTGTGGCGTATTAACATCGCCACTGGGGAGACAAAGGCGGCCGGCCGTGGTGGATACAAGTCCCGGGCGAAGCCGGGTAGTACAGCTAGTACTACTATGCAGTTGTGTAGAATAAAAGACATGACATCAAATAATATCCTTTTGGCTGTTGAATTTTGTTCAAGGCATACCTTAATGACTGCAACTGGTAAAACGAATAATACAACTGATAATTATAATTAACAAGATCAACATCCACACAGGTAACGAGACCGTTCCATTTGCAGATAAAAGATCATTCTGCAATGCAGGGGACATTTAAGGTGTATCCAGTGTTTCTCCATAGCCCTTTGGGACCCATTCGCTTAACCTTCAACAATGTGAATTCAACCCTGATGAAGCTTGGAAAGCTGAATGGAGTTCATAAGAACTTGCAAACACCTTGTGAAAGACCCAACGCAGATGATCCCCCGGTTTTAGTTTCACCTAAAACGCATTCGCACAAGCCATGGCAGATATTGTTTGTTAGTTTCTCAATCCGCTTGTTCTGGTGAGGGTTGCGGTGGTATCATATTGAGCAGGGCGGTCCAGACCTCCCTTTCCTTGGCGTTCTCAGGCCAGCCGAGCGACATAGTGCCGCCAGCATGTCCTGGGCCGGCCCCGGGGTCTTCGCCTAGATGCAGATACCTGATGCACAAATGGAAAATTAACAATCCTCAGGTGTGCGACTGTGGTCATCCAGAACAGACAGTACAACATATCACGACGCAATGCCCCGATCCACAAATACGAAGAAGACATCACAGCAATACACTGCTGCTCCTAATGCGGTTGTCTGGCTTGACCACCTTGAATGTGAACTTTTAGTTCCTCTGCATCTACATCAGCTGTACAGAAGAAGAAGTAGGCCCAAATTTGATGATGTGCGGTTAGGTTGTGTGCAACTGGTATGTGTGAGTGGTGGTTTATTTGTCCAGTAGACTCTCTACTATCCGCGTGTGGTTTATCCGATTTGCGGATTAATCGCGCCCCTGAGATTTTGACATAAATAATAATAGCTCATGGTGTTTCCCTTAAACCCAAATTAATAATCTAAACACAGTTATATACAGACCAGAGGATGCCAACAGGCGAACAGCACAAAGACAATTTAATACTGGCAAAGGAGGTTTCGTGATGTAGCTGCACACCACGAGCTCTCAATGTCCTGATAGTGCATTGTCTTTGTGTTGTTCGTCTTTTGGCATCCTCTTTTCTAACACCGTTTGAGACTCGGCTTTAAAGAAAGCTGTCTCTGGTGTGGACCAATCAGTTTCAAAGACAATGCACATACTGTCAGAGCATTTTTTGTTTGCATTTTCACCACAAGTATATGTGGTACAGGCAGGAACAACAGTTCCACACTGCCCACCAGGGATTATTTGTCTGTCGTGCACAGCCCCTCCCAAACATGTACGCTCCCGGATTGGTTGAAGTGCGTCACGTGACAACGAGCTTTCTGTCGTGCACGAATGCGCTGTCCAACCAAGTTCCTACCTGCCCACTCCGAAGGAACGTGTTTAATGCAGACATGATTCCTTGCAAAGGTTTCAGTTTTGTGTTTTAACATCTGAACACCTGTTTTATTGCCAGAAAGGGCAAAACCCTATTATCATGGTGGCCGTCCATAAATGACGTCACGCACCTGGGGGGGGTCAGACATTTGTGACAAGGGGGGAGGGGTTTGAGAAATGTGACGTCACATCAAAATGCGCAACTTTAAATAAATATAGACAACACGTTCTACTTAATTAAATATACTTTTTATAAATGGGGGGGGGGGGGGAGCTTTGTGACGTCATATTTGAGGGGGGGTCTGACTTTTTGTAACGCCGTGTGACGAGATAGGGGGGGGGTAAAAAATCGTCCAATATCGCGTGACGTAATTCATGGACGGCCCCATAGACTGACAACTACCTATAGACTCAACACGACCCAACGCTGTGCCTCCGATTATAATTATCACGGTTGGGCTACGTGCTGTGCGAAAGAAGTTCCACGTGCGTCCCTGGGTGTTGGGTTTAATCGACACTGCCGCAGAATCGACTGGGTGTCAAATGGCCGCGGTCCCTGACTTTTTTATATAAAGGAGGCGGCTGTCGGAGCGATTTGGTGATTCGGGTTGGGTTTTTAATTTCGCAACATCGACAGCCTTTCGTGAGTGTAACAAAACAACGTTATCATCCACATCAGCAACAACACCTACTACTACGACAACGACAACAACAAACAAACAACATCATCATCATCATCAGTTACAACAACATCGTCGTAAGCTGCCGGGGCCCGGAGACTAAACGGAATCGCGTACGTAGTCTCTGTGTGTGTGTGTCTGTCTGTGTGTGTGTCTGTTTATGTCTGTGCGTGTCTGTGTGTCTGTCTGTGTGCGTGTCTGTGTGTGTCTGTCTGTGTGTGTGTCTGTCTGTGTGTCTGTGTGTGTGTGTGCGTGTCTGTTTGTCTGTCTGTGTGTGTGTGTCTGTGTGTGTGTGTCTGTGTATGTCTGTGCGTGTCTGTGTGTGTGTCTGTTTATGTCTGTGCGTGTCTGTGTGTCTGTCTGTGTGTCTGTGTGTGTGTCTGTTTATGTCTGTGCGTGTCTGTGTGTCTGTCTGTGTGTCTGTGTGTGTGTGTCTGTTTATGTCTGTGCGTGTCTGTGTGTCTGTCTGTGTGTGTGTGTGTCTGTCTGTGTGTATGTCTTTGTGTCTGTCTGTGTGTGTGTCTGTGTGTGTCTGTCTGTGTGTGTCTGTCTGTGTCTAATTTTGTGCAGCCCATGGGCTTGTAATTACCAACACGCTCTTCCGGCATCGGCGCATCCACACAACATCATGGATGCATGCCGGGTCCAAGCAAGAACATCTGCTGAACTACATAGTGACGGACCAGCGGATGCGAGCCCATGTCCTTGACACCAGAACCTACCGTGGAGCTGATCTGCCCTCTGACCATCGACTAGTCATCTGTAAGATGCGCCTGCCATTCTTCCACTCCGGTGGTGGGTGGACACCCAGGACCCCATTCCAACCTAAAGTGGCCTGGTCTCAGTTAGCTGATGAAAGTTGCAAGCGAGAATTTCATCATCGCTTGCAACTGGGGCTGGCATCGTCCCCCACTCCTGATGTCGAGGGTAAATGGGCGACGATTAGGACTGTGGCTCATGCAGATGCAATGGCTGCTTTGGGTACGCGGTCCAGACCTCCTCAGAGACCATGGTTGACAGAGGAGGTGTTCGGGATAGTTGAGAAAAAGCGACAGGTCCACTCTCATCGGCTACAGCATCCCACGTCAGAGAATGAGGAGGCTTACCGCAGCCTTCGCTCGGAGGTTCGGAGAGCAGTGAGGCGCTGCAAGGATGGGTGGTGGTCGCGGGTTGCTGAGGAGATGGAGTCTGCCTCAGTGGCCCATGATCACAAATCACTATTTAACTCCATCAAAAAAGTAACACAAATACAAATCTCGCTGCCTGCTCGGAATTTATTTTCAATTGTTGTATGTAATCAGGCCCCAGAGCACTCCGCTTCTCAGTCTGGCTATCCGGGGTTTTACCGTAGCTTCAAAGACCAATTATATCGATGCTACCTCCCCTTGCCCATTATATGCATTTCAGTTCACCTGTGTTAATATCTTTAACTTTACAATGTTCTAAACCTGATCATGATTTTCAGCTGTTTGTCAATGGCCAGGGACCAGGTTAGACATAATTTGACACTGATGCTGGCAATGGCCTGGAATCAAATTCGGATAGAAGGGCTCATAAGGCCATCTATCTCCCCCTTAAAAGAGACAATTAGTCTCAATGTGCACTCAACATCAGCCATTGTCTATCCACTGCCTGGAGGAATTGATCCCCATGCCGTCGCCATCCCTCGCAGTTCAATGTTGCTTCCATCCATCTTCACGTTAACTGATTTCATCGCTGTATCTCCACGGTGGTTGTGAGAAGTTTCTTGTCCTCGATGCATTCATCACTGTTTTCAAATATTTATGTCCCATCAGAATGGCATGCATGGTAACCACCCCAGTGCTGGAGCCAAGCGGGGACTTCCCGGCATGGCTGGAGGCGCAGGGCGTGAACGTGGAGGTGGCCCAGGCCATGGACTCAGAGCTGGGCATCCGGGACTACGGGGTCCTGCGTGCCTGCGTCGGGGATGGCCTCGTGCGGGCCGAGCTGCTGGCCACGGCGCGCGACCGCCTGCCCTTCGGCTTCTACGCCGTGCTGCGGCAGGTGGTGAAGGCCTTGCAGGGTGCCGAACCCCACGACGCTGGGACGCCGCGCTGGGACGACGCCGCCGCTTCCTCCCCAGGCGACGTGACCCTGGGAGGCCTGGTGGAGGTGCTGCTCGCGCTGTTCAGCGGCTTGAGCCGGGAACTGCTGCTGTCCGTCCAGAGGCTGGGAGACATTGATAACACTGGAATGTGTGCTGTTGGCTCCCCTTCAGCCAACACTGTCGTTTTGCCTGAGAACAGTGTGATGAATGAAATTGAAGATTACAAAGTGAATGGTAAAGTTGTATTCTTGTTCGCCGACGTTATTTTATAATCTTGGTTCTTTTGGTAAAGTCACGTAAATAGAAAAATAACAATAATAAGATGCAATTTAAATAATATGATTAAAAGAATACGTTGAAAGTAATAAAAGCAAAAAACCCACAACGTTTCGATCACAACACAAGCGGTCTTCATCAGGCGGAGAAAAAAGTGGGGGCAAGCCTCCAAATGTAGCTGCTTATGAGGCTTGTCCCCACTTTTCTCTCCGCCTGATGGAGACCGCTTGTGTTGCGATCAAAACGTCGTGGGTTTTTTCTTTAATTACTTTCAATTCATTATTTTAATTTAATTTTTATTTTATTAGTTTTTATTTTCATTTTTGTTTACTATTTACGCGACTTTACCGAACGAACCAAGAATATGAATTCTTGCAGAAACGAAAGTTTTAAGTCTAAACTTATTTTGTAACATTAAATATCTAATTTATGGTATTTAGCCATTGGATTTAGCAAACTTGTAAAATAACGCATAGGTTTGGAAAATAGACCCGCGAATGCATTATGCTTTACACAGATGAAAGTGAGAGGAACTTCATCCCAGATATGGGAGAATCGCAAGCTGTGGACACATCACCTTTAATAAAGACGGAAGCCCTTGAAGGTAAAACCAAATTATAAACCCAATTTTAACGTTTCCCATTCCCCTCATATAATAATATTCATTCTTTTGTCAATCTACTTCTGTATGAAGGCCTCCCCACCCCACGTTGGTCATGGTAATTGTTGACCATACCTCACCAAGCTGCTTGATGATCAGGCGGAGAGAAAAGTGGGGGCACGCCTCCAAATGTAGCTGCTTATGAGGCTTGCCCCCACTTTTCTCTCCGCCTGATGAAGACCGCTTGTGTTGCGATCGAAACGTCGTGGGTTTTTTGCTTTCATTACTTTCAATTTATTATTTTAATGTAATTTGATTATTTTTATTTTATTTTTTTTAAAAAATGTATTTACGTGACTTTACCGAAAGAACCAAGAATATGAATTCCTGCAGTCACGAAAGTTTTAAGTCTAAACTTATTTTATAATATTAAATATTACGTTGATGGTATTTAGCCATTGTGGAGTGCTGAACTTTACGCAGACAACTTCTCCTTTTTTCTTTGTCACTTTTATTACAAACTCTTCACATTCAACATCCGTAACTTCGGCGTGATTCCCCGCCCTCCGCCGTTTGTTCGCCGCGCTCGCTCCGCTTCGCCCCGTCTCTCCCCAACTTTCCGCTCTCTCGGCTCCGACTGACTCTGCTCTGACTGTCTCTCTCTCGGCATCTCCGTCTCGCTCTGCTCTGTCTCACTCTTCTCTGTCTCACTCTTCTCTGTTCACTCTGCTCTGTCTCACTCTTCTCTCGTTCCTGCTCCACTGCTAGCCTGTTCTATCTCTCATATCTTCTTCTTGTTCCTGCTCCACTGCTTCTCCCCGACCATCTCCGTCCAGCTCCCAGCAACAACTCCCTGTCCCTCTCTCACGCTCTCGTATATATCTCCGTCTTCATTCATTACCAATTAATTAAGCGGCGTCCCCACCGACGCCACCGCTCCCATCTGCAGACTTGCTGGCGCCACCCTGCACCTGCTACCTCCACCATCCAATCACCGCCACGCATCTTACAACCGCTTAATGAACCGTCTCCCTCCGGCCGTTATCCTCCCAGCAACACCTGTTTGCCCTGACGCAACCCCACTGTCCATAACACACACATGTTTCCAATTCCCCCTTTTGGCGCGCGTTAATCCACTAAAATTGGATTTAGCAAACTTGTAAAAGAATGCATAGGTTTAGAAAATAAACCCGCGAATGCATTATGCTTTACACAGATGAAGGTGAGAAGAACTTCATTCCAGATATGGGAGAATCGCAAGCTGTGGATGCATCACCTTTAATAAAGACGGAAGCCCTTGAAGGTAAAACCAAATTATAAACCCAATTTTAACGTTTCCCATTCCCCTCTAATAATAATATTCATTCTTTTGTCAATCTACTTCTGTATGAAGGCCTCCCCACCCCACGTTGGTCATGATAATTGTTGACCATACTTCACCAAGCTGCTTGATGTAAGTTGGGGAAGGTGGTTCTCAGGACTGCTTCAGATTTCACCTGCCACAAGTAAAAGCCATGGCCGTGAATCAAACTTAGGGCTGGGTTTTTAGCTTAGTGTGTTAACCCACTGCACCATTGGTGCAACATTCACCTCTTTGTGTTTCTACATCTCTATCTGTGTCTATCAATGTCTGTATCTGTGCTGTGTGTCACTGCTCTCTGTACTGCCGTGGGAATGCATACATCCTAATTTTCATAATGTCGAACACGCAATACAATCTGAAAACACATCGGAGAAGCGCACATTGATTTGAGAGTCCACAGAAAAGTGCACCATTACCGTTTTCTTGAGGGAAAGGTGTGTATGTATGTTTAACTTATTTTGCACGTATGCAGCCAACCGTGCTGATCGGAGGTGCGGGGGAAGGATAACAAACTAAACATGAAAGGCAGTTCTAAAGAAATGAGTTTCCAAGTGGTTAAAACTGGTTTCCCAAATTATGTTTAATAGTTTTTGTTCCTTCGTGAAAAGTAAATTCACTTTGGTTTTTAATAACAGTCCAACTATATCTTGTTAATGGTTGAAGTTTTTAGTTCAGTTCAACTCTCTGGTCGCTACTAAATCAAATGGGAGAATAGAGAGACAACAGTTGGCATGGAGTCCCTTCCAGAACCGGCCACAAGGGTATGAGACGGAAGTTACTGTATCAACTCAAGTGCAAATGTGAAGCATTTTCAAATGTCCGATTTTTTTCGCTTAACTGCCTATTGCTTCTTAATAACATGTTCAATGGTATGCCCTTACAGATTCTAGTGACATCGAAGGTAATTCAGTGCAAGATGTGGTTTCACTCCAAGCAATGGGAAACCATTTTGCGAACGTTGGTGATGTTGGTGACATTGGTGACGTTGATGACGTTGGTGACGTTGGTTCATGTTCATGGCAACAACAGCAGCAGACAGGAGACAGAATGCGAAGCTGTCAAGTTGACGAGGTGGAAAACATTTCTCTGCGCAGCATGTACACGTCCAACCCTCCAGCAAATCGACATGTTCACGGGCGACAAGCACCATTGAACATTACCGAGGCTCTGCCGAGCGATGTGCGGCAGAATCCTGCTTTTTCAGAGGAAAATCCAGCGGAGCGCCAGCTTTTTATGGTGGGGTGTGGTTCGCGACAAGCGAGCGTGAACGTCAACTCGCCGAAGCCGTATGAGTGCACGGTGTGCAAAAAGAGTTTCGCGTGCCTCTCGCTCCTGCGGTACCACCATCGCGTGCACACGGGAGAGAAGCCGTTCTGCTGCAGCGTGTGCAACCGGTCCTTCTCAAACTCTGGCAATTTGAGGGTCCACGAGCGCACGCACACGGGACAGAAGCCGTACCGGTGCGATATTTGCAACAGCAGCTTCTCGCGCAGTCATCACTTAAAAGGTCACCAGCGCACGCACAAGCCTTGAGCAGAAATAGTGGTAGAAGAAATGCGATTGTTGATTTGTGCATAATTTTTTTGTACTACTGGACATCAGTGAAAACTACTGAACATCTGGGAAAAAGAGATAGATTATCGAATTCCTCCAGTATAAATACATATTCTGATTTTGATAATTGTGCTATCCGTATCAGGTCATGAGGCAAAGAATCCATTCAGAACTCTCACATAGAAGTGCAACCCTTTGTGCCAGCGAATGGCCTACTTGAGCAGATCAAATCCATCCTCGTGACCTATGGTGCACACAGTCGAGGGTAAGATAGTGCTTTTCCCTACCATCTTTCCACTGAGTGAAACATTTAAATTTTCAGAATTACATTTAGCCAAATTAAGTGCAGAATCTAATTTTACGCGATGAATTTTTTTTAATGTACAGTTATTGGTGGCTAGACTGAGGCCATCTCACTCCAGTTGAGAACCAGATTTAATCACGGCCTGATAAATCCCAGATTCGAACCCAGGTTCTATGGTACCGGCTCAATACCCGGGCTTGTGAGCCACCCGGTGAGCTTGCATAACCGGGATAAAAGCTCGCTTGCGGCACACCCACATTGGATATTATGTATGTTTAACTTCTTTCGCACCGTACGTAGCTAACTGTGCTAATTGGAGGTGCGGGATATCGGCTGTAATGATGAAATGTGTTACTGTGGACATTTTTCACGGTGTTGTGTAAGGTATACTACTATGCAGTTTTGTAGAATAAAAGACATGACATCAAATAATATCCTTTTGGATGTTGAATTTTGTTCAAGGGATACCTTAATGACTGCAACTGGTAAAACGAATAATACAACTGATAATTATAATTAACAAGATCAACGTCCATACAGGTAACGAGACCGTTCCATTTGCAGATAAAAAGATCAGTCTGCAATGCAGGGGACATTTAAGGTGTATCCAGTGTTTTTCCATAGCCCTTTGGGACCCATTCGCAGTAACCTTCAACAATGTGAATTCAATCCTGATGAAGCTTGGAAAGCTGAATGGAGTTTATAAGAACTTGCAAACACCTTGTGAAAGACCCAACGCAGATGATCCCCTGGTTTTGGTCGACCCTAAAACGCATCCACACAAACCATGGCAGATATTGTTTGCTAGTTTCTCAATCCGCTTGTTCTGGTGAGGGTTGCGGCGGTATCATATTGAGTAGGGCGGTCCAGACCTCCCTTTCCTTGGCGTTCTCAGGCCAGCCGAGCAACATAGTGCCGCCAGCATGTCCTGGGCCGGCCCCGGAGTCTTCGCCTAGATGCAGATACCTAATGCACAAATGGAAAATTAACAATCCTCAGGTGTGCGACTGTGGTCATCCAGAACAGACAGTACAACATATAACAACGCAATGCCCCGATCCACAAATACGAAGAAGACATCACAGCGATACACTCTGCTGCTCCTAATGCGGTTATCTGGCTTGACCACCTTGAATGTGAACTTATGGTTCCTCTGCATCTACATCAGCTGTACAAAAGAAGAAGTAGGCCCGAATTTGATGATGTGCAGTTAGGTTGTGTGCAACTGGTATGTGTGAGTGGTGGTTTATTTGTCCAGTAGACTCTCGACTATCCGCGTGTGGTTTAACCGATTTGTGGATTAATCACGCCCCTGAGATTTTGACGTAAATTAATAATATCTCGTGGTTTTTCCCTTGAACCCAAATTAATAATCTAAACACAGTTATATAGAGACCAGAGGACGCCAAAAGGCGAAGCGCACAAAGACAATAATTTAATATTGGTGTAGCTAGCACCCTTGGCTTACCCGCAGGGGGCTGTGGGCTTTGGATCCCCCGTGTCCCTCCCAACGGGTGGGGGCTGTGGGGTGTGCTGTGATCCCTCAGAACCCCGCCCCTCGGTGGGGAAATGAGTATAAAAGACGGGGAGCCAGAGAGATAGGGGCAGTGTTCGCGAGCCGAAGTCCGAAGACCCAGTTGAAGACTGAAGACCGGCTAGATAGACCCTGGGACTCCTCTGACCCGCAGTCCTTCTCAGGGCCTGGCAGAGCAAGCCAGCGGTGTGACCCCAGAGCCTCAGAGCATGCTTTTTGTTTGCATTTTCACTGCAAGTATATGTGATTAATGCAGACATGATTCCTTGCAAAGGTTTCAGTTTGGTGTTTTAACATCTGAACACCTGTTTAATTGCCAGAAAGGGGAAAACCCTATTATCACGGGGCCGTCCATGAATGACGTCACGCACCTAGGGGGAGGGGTAGGTCAGACATTTGTGACGATGTGTGACGAGGGGGGAGGGATTTGAGAAATGTGACGTCACATCAAAATGCGCAACTTTAAATAAATATAGGCGACACGTTCTACTTAATTAAATAGACTTTTTAATAAATGTTTTCTCCTACAACATCAGAGTGCAGCGCCACATTAAATACGCACTACAATGACAATAGTTTAAAGCGATCTGAAGCATGTCTTATTTGGGGGGGGGCGGTGGCAGAGCTTCGTGACGTCATATTTGAGGGGTGGTCTGACTTTTTGTGACGCCGTGTGACGAGGGGGGGGGGTCAAAAATCGCGTGACATCATTCATGGACGGCCCCATAGACTAACAACTACCAACAGACTCAACACTGCCCATCAACTCAACACTGCCCACAGACTCACACTGGCCATAGACAACTCAACGCTGCACCTCCCGATTATAAACACATTCCTGCGGAGGGAGCTGGTAGGAACGTTGGGTTGCTCGGTCAATGGCCAGGGTCAACGGCGGCATGGTATATTCCGCAAATATGGTTGACTATGAGGGCGGGCACAAGCCGGCGTGAGTAGGTTAAACGTTGAGTTTTATAAGGGCACCACGGGGTGACCAGCCCCTCCCCACCCAGCCCCTCCCCACCGTCCCCTCTCCACCCAGCTCCACCCCTCCCATTTTTGGATGCACGACGGACGGACGGACACAATAATCCCCTGTGAGCAGGTGGAACCAGGTGGTTCCTACCAGTGTTATCACGGTTGGGCTACGTGCTGTGCGAAATAAGTTCCACGTGCGTCCCTGGGTGTTGGGTTTCATCGACACTGCCGCAGAATCGAGTGGGTGTCAAATGGCCGCGGTCCCTGACTCTCTTTTCTTTATAAAGGAGGCGGCTGTCGGAGCGATTTGGTGATCCGGGTTGGGTTTTTAATTTCGTTTTGAGGCCGCCGCTTCCAACATCGACAGCCTTTCGTGAGTGTAACAAAACAACGTTATCATCCACATCAGCAACAACACCTACTACTACGACAACGACAACAACAAACAAACAACATCATCATCATCAGTTACAGCAACATCGTCGTAAGCTGCCGGGGCCCGGAGACTAAACGGAATCGCGTACGTAGTCTCTGTCTGTGTGTCTGTCTGTCTTTGTGTGTGTCTGTCTGTGTGTGTCTGTCTGTGTGTGTCTGTGTGTCTGTCTTTGTGTGTGTGTCTGTCTGTGTGTGTGTCTGTGTGTGTGTGTCTGTGTGTGTCTGTCTGTGTGTGTGTCTGTGTGTGTCTGTCTGTGTGTGTGTCTGTTTGTGTCTGTCTGTGTGTGTGTGTGTCTTTGTATGTGTCTGTCTGTGTGTGTCTGTGTGTGTCTGTCTGTGTGTGTGTGTCTCTGTGTGTGTGTCTGTCTGTGTGTCTGTCTGTGTGTGTGTGTCTGTCTGTGTCTTCGTCTGTGTGTGTGTTTGTGTCTGTCTGTGTGTGTGTGTCTGTCTGTGTGTGTCTGTCTTTGTGTGTGTCTGTGTCTCTGTGTGTGTGTGTGTCTGTCTGTGTGTCTTCGTATGTGTGTGTGTCTGTGTGTCTGTCTGTGTCTTCGTCTGTGTGTGTGTTTGTGTCTGTCTGTGTGTGTGTCTGTCTGTGTGTGTCTGTCTTTGTGTGTGTCTGTGTCTCTGTGTGTGTGTGTGTCTGTCTGTGTGTCTTCGTATGTGTGTGTGTCTGTGTGTCTGTGTGTGTCTGTCTGTGTCTGTGTGTGTCTGTCTGTCTATGTGTCTGTCTGTGTGTGTGTCTGTGTGTGTCTGTCTGTGTGTCTGTCTGTGTGTCTGTCTGTGTGTGTGTCTGTCTGTGTGTACCTGTCTGTGTGTGTGTCTGTGTGCGTGTCTGTCTGTGTCTGTCTGTGTGTGTGTGTCTGTGTCTGTCTGTGTGTGTCTGTGTATGTGTGTCTTCTCGGCCACAGTCATTCCCTCCGTTCTCTACGCTTGCGAAACGTGGACCCCCTCTAATGGAACATCTTCGCCGGTTAGAAACATTCAGGCTGGCCTGCCTTCCGATCCATCCTGGGTTTAACCAGGCTGGATTGTGTGAGGAGCTCACAAATCCTTGAAAGATCTGGACAAAGTCCCATCGGTGAGCACCTTTGGCAGGCAAGGCTGCGTTGGCTGGGTCATGTAGCCCACATGCCCAGCCACCACATGCCTAAACAGCTTTTGTTCGGTCGGATCGAGGGGGCTAAACGGGCTAAAGAAGAGATGGAGTGATGTGGTACAGGAGGACGTGGAGCTGAGTGGACTTGCCGACGACTGGTACCAGCGGTGTCAAGATCGGCCTCAGTGGAGGAGGCTCGTGAAGGACGCTACTGGGCAGTTGGAGGCAGTCGCCCTCCAGCAACAACGGAGGGCGGAGGAGCGACGCTCACAACAACGAGCGGAGCGCATGGTGGATAAAGCACAGCAAGTTGGCACAGTAGGGGGCACAGGTGGTGCATCAGCCAGTCATCTCGGTCATCTCAGTCAGTCGACCCGTGGCACCTGCTGGGTCTGTCCCGTGACATCCTGCCAGCGGGCTTTCGACACTTCACGTGGCCTCAGGGTGCACATGGCCTGGCACAAGCGTCGTGGTGACGTCACCGCCACTTAGTGGCGAATGGCGGTTGTTGTTTTGTGTGTGTGTCTGTGTGTCTGTCTATGTGTGTGTCTGTGTGTGTGTGGGGAGCGGTAGTGTTGTGGTTAGCGCTACGCTGCGCTATGAACCTGGCGACCCGGGTTCGATTCCCGCTCACGGCCAACAACCAGTGAAGATTATCTCGAACCGGTGCAGGGCATCCCCTAGATCGACTCGGCATCAAATGAGTACCTGGTGCGATGTGTAAACATCGCCACTGTGGGAGACAAAGGCGGCCGGGAGTGGGTATTGGCCACCCATCCCCTCTTGTGCCGTGCCGGCCTTTATAGGTGCTCGCTAACAGCACTTGCCCCTACAGTCTTTTAAGGGCTACACGGGGGATCTTTGTCTTTGTGTGTGCTCGGTCTGCCCCCCCCCCTTAACGTGCACCTTGCCTGGCACAGGTGCCGCTGTGACGTCACCCTCACTGAATGGCGGGCATTGGTTTTGGGGTACACGTGGCCCTTAGTAAATGTTTCACTCGATTAAGGACTGGGTGCACCAGATGTCTTTTGACCCCTCCCCTCCCCCTTTTCATTCTCTCAAACTTATTTTGTTATTATTTGAAACAAGTGAACGTGCAAAGGGTGGAAATATATTCGGGGTCAGTGAATTGGGGAGGTCACAGAACATTTGGCCCCACCTGTAAACCAAAAAAAACACCATAGGGGCATCTCTTCACGGTTTCTCTCGTGGTCTCTCATTTTTTATTATCCGATTCCCAACGGGATTGCGTAAATTTCGGCCTTGAGGCCACCAAACAAACCCGCGCCCTCGCAAAGATCCACCGTGTAGCCTCAACAGACTGTTGGGGCAAGTGCTGGTAATGAGTAGAAGCACCTACCTATGAAGGCCAGCACTGTGTGACACACGAGGGGGTTGGTGGGTCAGCACCACGCCCTGGCCTTTTGTTTAACAGACTGTTAATGAGCATCTCTGAAGGTCGATTACACCTTCAACACGCACCTTTTCACGCAAAGTAACATGTTTGACCCAATCAAGTGCACTCGGACACCACGCATTAAACAAATGCACGCAAAATCGCACGTGTTAACTTTTTTGTTCATAATAGAAGTTTTTGGGTTAGATCACGTAGATATAAACGTGTCGTTAAACCCGCCACCCCCCAGACACAGCCCATTAGTAAGGTTTGTCACTTAAACAAAACATGCCAATTCATTACTAATTCAGCCAGGCGGTCCGCCTGACGCTAGTTGTAATTGCTGGCGAAAGCTCACGGTACTCGAATTGTAAATGTTGTGGGTTTTACTCTCCAAACACACTGGTGTGCTGAACTAGTAATGAATTGGCACGTTTTGTTTATGTGTGTAGCTGTGTCATCGGGTGGTGGCGTGTTTAACGACACATTTTTTAACGCGATCCAACCCAAACATCTCTTGTGGATAATATTGGTGGGCGAAAGTTCACTACGTGTTAAACTGACTTTGTTAAAAAACAAAACCAACTGACTTCACCGGGGGCTATGTCGCATTGGGTTGGGGACTTGGTGCATCAACAGCAGCCATATTACATCAGGATGACTTTCCTGGCAGCTAATTGGCTGGTGTAGTGATGATGTAATCCCTAGCGACCACTGTGTGGCTTAGACGCACACAAATACAAATATCGCTGCCTGCTCGGAATTTATTTGCAATTTTTGTATGTAATCAGGCCCCAGAGCACTCCGCTTCTCAGTCTGGCTATCCGGGGTTTTACCGTAGCTTCAAAGACCAATTATATCGATGCTACCTCCCCTTGCCTGTTACATGCATTTCAGTTAACCTGTGTTAATATGTTTAACTTCACAATGCTCTAAACCTGATCATGATTTTCAGCTGTTTGTCAATGGCCAGGGACCAGGTTAGACATCATTTGCCTCTGATGCTTGCAATGGCCTGGAATCAAATTCGGATAGAAGGGCTAATAAGGCCATCTATCTCCCCCTTAAAAGAGACAATTAGTCTCAATGTGCACTCAACATCATCAGCCATTGTCTATGCACTGCTGGAGGAATTCATCCCCGTGCCGTCGCCATCCCTCGCAGTTCAATGCTGCTTCCATCCATCTTCGCGTGAACTGATTTCATCGCCGCATCTCCACGGTGGTTGTGAGAAGTTTCTTGTCTTCGATGCATTCATTACTGTTTTCAAATATTTACCTCCCATCAGAATGGCATGCATGGTAACCACCCCAGTGCTGGAGCCAAGCGGGGACTTCCCGGCGTGGCTGGAGGCGCAGGGCGTGAACGCGGAGGTGGCCCGGGCCATGGACTCGGAGCTGGGCATCCGGGACTACGGGGTCCTGCGCGCCTGCGTCGGGGATGGCCTCGTGCGGGCCGAGCTGCTAGCTACGGCACGCGACCGCCTGCCCTTCGGCTTCTACGCCGTGCTGCGGCAGGTGGTGAAGGCCTTGCAGGGTGCCGAGCCCCACGACGCTGGGATGCTGCGCTGGGACGACGCCGCCGCTTCCTCCCCTGGCGACGTGACCCTGGGAGGCCTGGTGGAGGTGCTGCTCGCGCTGTTCAGCGGCTTGAGCCGGGAACTGCTGCTGTCCGTCCAGAGGCTGGGAGACATTGATAACACTGGAATGTGTGCTGTTGGCTCTCCTTCAGTCAACAATGTCGTTTTGCCTGAGAACAGTGTGATGAATGAAATTGAAGATTACAAAGTGAACGGTAAAGTTGTATTCTTGTTCGCCGACCTTATTTTATAATCTTGGTTCTTTCGGTAAAGTCACGTAAATATTAAGAAAATAATAATAAAAAATGAAAATAATAAATAATAAGATAAAATCAAAATCATAAATTGAAAATAATGAAAGCAAAAAACCCACGACGTTTCGATCGCAACACAAGCGGTCTTCATCAGGCGGAGAGAAAAGTGGGGGCAAGCTTCCAAATGTAGCTGCTTATGAGGCTTGCCCCCACTTTCAATTTATTATTTTAATGACATTTTTTTAATTTGTATTTTTTTATTTTATTTTCATTTTTTTATTTTTCTATTTACGTGACTTTACCGAAAGAACCAAGAATATGAAAGTTTTAAGTCTCAACTTATTTTATAACATTAAATCTCATTTATGGTATTTAGCCATTGGATTTAGCTAACTTGTAAAATAACGCATAGGTTTGGAAAATAAACCCGCGAATGCATTATGCTTTACACAGATGAAAGTGAGAGGAACTTCATCCCAGATATGGGAGAATCGCAAGCTGTGGACACATCACCTTTAATAAAGACGGAAGCCCTTGAAGGTAAAACCAAATTATAAACCCAATTTTAACGTTTCCCATTCCCCTCTGATAATAATATTCATCCTTTTGTCAATCTACTTCTGTATGAAGGCCTCCCCACCCCACGTTGGTCATGATAATTGTTGACCATACTTCACCAAGCTGCTTGATGCAAGTTGGTGAAGGTGGTTCTCAGGACTGCTTCAGATTTCACCTGCCACAAGTAAAAGCCATGGCCGTGAATCAAACTCAGGGCTGGGTTTTTAGCTCAGTCTGTTAACCCACTGCACCATTGCTGCAACATTCACTTCTTTGTGTTTCTACATCTCTGTGTCTATCACTGTCTGTATCTGTGCTTTGTGTCACTCTGCTCTCTGTACTGCCACGGGAATGCATATGTCCTAATTTTCATAATGCCGAACACGCAATACAATCCGAAAACACATTGGAGAAGCGCACATTGATTTGAGAGTCCACAGAAAAGTGCACCTTTACCGTTTTCTTGAGGGAAAGGTGTGTATGTATGTTTAACTTATTTTGCACGTACGTAGCCAACCGTGCTAATCGGAGGTGCGGGGGAAGGATAACGAACTAAACAAGAAAGGCAGTTCTAAAGAAATGAGTTTCCAAGTGGACTTTTTATAGTGCAGATGCACACCATGGCATGCAAGACAGCTGGTGACAACAACATTTAGATATCCAATGCATGAAATGGTTAAAACTGGTTACACAAATTACATTTCATAGTTTTTGTTCCTTCGTGAAAAGTAAATTCACTTTGGTTTTTGATAACAGTTCAAAATCGAAAGCAACTATATTTTGTTAACGGTTGACGTTATTAGTTCAGTTCGACTCTCTGGTCGCTACTAAATCAAATGGGAGAATAAAGAGACAACAGTTGACATGGAGTCCCTTCCAGAACCGACCACAAGGGTATGATACAGAAGTTACTGTATCGACTCAAGTGCAAATGTGAAGCATTTTCAAACGTCCGATTTTTTTCGCTTAACTGTCTATGGCTTCTTAATAACATGTTCAATGGTATGCCCTTACAGATTCTAGTGACATCGAAGGCAATTCAGTGCAAGATGTGGTTTCACTCCAAGCAATGGGAAACCATTTTACGAACGTTGGTGATGTTGGTGACATTGATGACGTTGATGACGTTGGTGACATTGGTGACGTTGGTTCATGTTCATGGCAACAGCAGCAGCAACAACAGCAGCAGCAGCAGACAGGAGACAGAATGCGAAGAAGCTGCCAAGTTGACGAGGTGGAAAACATTTCTCTGCGCAGCTTGTACACGTCCAACCCTCCAGCAAATCGACATGTTCACGGGCGACAAGCGCCATTGAACATTACCGAGGCTCTGCCGAGCGATGTGCGGCAGATTCCTGCTTTTGCAGAGGAAAATCCAGCGGAGCGCCAGCTTTACATGGTGGGGTGCGGTTCGCGACAAGCGAGCCTGAACGTCAACTCGGCGAAGCCGTACGAGTGCACGGTGTGCAAAAAGAGTTTTGCGTGGCGCTCGCTCCTGCGGTACCACCATCGCGTGCACACGGGAGAGAAGCCGTTCCGCTGCAGCGTGTGCAACCGGTCCTTCTCAAACTCTGGCAATTTGAGGGTCCACGAGCGCACGCACACGGGGGAGAAGCCCTACCGGTGCAAGATCTGCAACAAATGTTTCAAGCAGAGTCAACACTTAAAAGGTCACCAGCGCACCCACAGAGCTTGAGTAAGTTGGAGCGAGAAATGCGACGGTAGTTTCGAGCTTAATTATTTTTTGAATGCCACGACGTAAATGGTGAAGTTGTTAAATCTCCGAATCTTTATTTAGTTACACTGGAGGAATCCGATGAGCTATGAAGCTCTTTTTTCACATGTCCAGTAGTCACAGATGATCTCGAGCACGTTAGGGCAAGGTACCACACAGTACGCAAAACGGGATTGCCTATCAAGAAGTTGGGTACGCTATAGCGAAAGCACAAGATGGGAGGGCCTAAATCTGGGTATCACTGTAAAAGAGAACTTCCTCCCAAGATGCCTTTAAGTGACCACTGATACACACAGTACGGGGGTAGTACTTCCCCAACACACACATTATTTTATACACATTAATTCGCACAAACAGATGTACATGTGCACACAGTCTCCACTCGGGATGAGTTTTCAAATAACATTTTCTCAGATATTGGTTTCTGAGACCAAATCCCTATTCTTGTTTTGTGTTTTTAGATTGGATGCCTGCCCTCTGGTGTTTAGGCTGCACCTCTTTCTCTTCAGGCTCTGCCCCTTCCCTCTGGACACGAGCTTGACCTTGTTTTGGGGCTGCTTTGTAAAGGCAGTGCTGCTTATTTTCCCACGAGACTTTGGAACTCTGGGCCAAAGTCAATTTGATTTTGTAGTTTGACAATGTAACTCTCATGTGCTGCGGGCCACTGGCGGCCCCTGGTGGCCTCTGGTGGCCTTTAGTGCGGCCCCTGACGTGCGGCCCCCAGCAATACACAACATTTGAAAACACCCCTTAGTGTTGTCGAACCCAATGGTTTAAAATGTGTGGTGGCTCTCACACTGATGTCATATCTGCGAAAGTGGCTCTCTCCCTCTGAAAATTAGTGAAGAACACCGTGCTATACTGACTCCTTGAAGACAGCGAGAGCGCGCGGTGGAACTTGTGCTAAGTGTACTGCACAGCAACATTGCATCTCTTGCAAAGCACCAGGGTGGTAGGACGCCTTGCGTTGAGGCTTTGGATAGCTGGCCATGACTAATTTGTACTACCACATCTACAAATAAAATTAAGGAATCATGAACAGTAATTTTAATTTATAAGGTGCATTTTATCCATAGATTCCCAGTGCATAATACATTTCGCAGCTAGTACATTTATCGTTAATTAAAGTCAATCGGAACATACTTGCGTGATAAAGACTGAAAAGATTGATGTGGTCTGAATGAGGCCCACCCAGAGGGAAGGCAAAAGATAACAAAGAGACTGACAACAATGAAACGCAGCAAGAGCCGGCTACGATCATTGGCTGTTCACCAGGACAGTGTTGTCGCTCTGGAGATAGATGATCGATGTTCGATGGTTGCCACGTTGAAAGCATTCGTTGCGATTTCCCACTTAACAGTGGGCCTCGTGAAGGCAACCATCTTCCATTCCCACCAGGGCAGTAGGTGACAGGGAGAGGGGGGGGAAGATCCACAGAGCTTCCACAGGCCGAGCTGAAATCCTCTTTTCACGAGTGGCCACACGGGCACGACTCTATGTAATACAATACTGCGAGCAAAACTGGTTTTTCGACAAGCCATTTCATTGCGAGAACCGGTTGACTGACTTTAAACTGCCGGGAGCGCTGTGCGTCCTGAGTGCTTCCTGTAATCTCCTGGACATCTGTGGAAAAGAATTGCTTTATAGCTCATCGAATTTTTCCAGTTATAAATATTCTGATTGTGAATTGTTGACGCTCATCCACGACAACTGCTGCTGCTGCTTGCCGTTCACTAATGTTGGGTGCTTTTCACTGTTGCTACTGCTGGTTTCCTGATGCATGTTCCTCTTACAACTGCTGAATCCACTGCTACCTGGTATTCGTTGGGATGCGTAGATTGTGCTCGCGTAGTCTTGACAAATGTATGTAAGTTGAACTTCTTTCGCACCGTGCATAGCCAACTGTGCTAATGAAGCTCACCAACCGGATAGTATTGGAGTCACAGGCTATTACTTTACCCACTCCCATGTGCCTGCCTATCAAACAAAATCCAACTTTACTCCAAAGTACAGGGTCCCCTTTCCATATGCGAGTTTGGTTTGTGCGATTTCTCGTATATGCGGGTAACTTATTTCTTTTAGAACTGCTTTTTGTGTTTAGTTTGTTGTCTTTCCCCCGCACCTCCGATTAGTACGGTACGAAATAAGTTCAACATGCAACATAAAACCTATTTCCACGCAAAATTCAGAATTAGCAATTTAAATTCACCCATGCGGCTATGGCGGTCGGACTTGGGAAATTGTGTGCTATATGCGCTACCGGGCAGGTAGCTTCTCTCGTGCGGTTTCGCGTTGTTGCGTCCTTTTTTAAAATGCATCTACTGCATGTATCGTATGTTGAACTTCTTTCGCACGGTACATTGCCAGCCGTACTAATCATAGGTGGTGGGGGAGGACAACAAACGAAATACAAATAATTAAAAGTGCATAGCTCCAGCGGCTTCCTATCGGAAAAAAGAGCGTTCCAGAGGCATCTGAAAGCGCGCGACGATGGGGTGACCGTCTTTGTTCGATCGCTTAGCCAAAAGACACTGCTGCGAGGACGACCGGAGTTTGCGTGATGGTTTATGCTCCTTGACCAGATCAGCAAGGTAAAGCGAAGGAAACCTCGATAGTCCGTGGGTAAAACGTAGGAAAAGTGGATGATTTTATTTAGTTGGGAGCTCACTTGTGGAAGGTGGGGGGGGGGGTTACCCTTTGCGGGTATCTGTGGGTACGCTGGAATTGAGGTAAGGTACCCCGCCCTGATCCAGGACTCTACCCCAGAGGAGAACTACTGGAGTCCAATTTAGAACTGTGTTCTTCATTGCAAGGCCACTGGCGATCCTGGGTGACCTTTAGTGCGGCCTCTGACAATAACCCTAATGTGAAAACACCCTCCACAATCGTGCTGTGAAACCCAATGGTTTCAAATGTGTGGTGGCCCTGACATTGATGTCTTATCGGCGAAAGTGCTCCCCGCTCTTAACATTTGTGAAGAATGCTGGAGATAGAAACACTGGGCTACCACTCCTGACCTCTCCTCAATCGAGCAAAACAAAGCAATCGCTCACAATGTGTTTGGCGCCTTTGCGATGTTGCTGTTTGTTGGTTCGTGGTGATGATTGGCTTTCATCTCGCCAAGGTAGGTAAGTGTCGTACTCGGAGTAATACAATAAACGTTATACCTTTTGTCATCGAGATTGCCTTGCAACACCGAGAAAATAAGTTGAAATGCATAGAAAATATACACGAAATAGATCCGGACGTTTGGCAATGGTCATTATTCGGAGCAGAAAGGGCAGAACTATTGATTGGCTCTTGAATATGACCCTTAACATGCGTTGACTCGCTGCATCTTTAAGTGCAATCGCAGTGGTTTGTGTACAGCAGTGGTTCTCAACTAGGAGAGGGGGTACGTGAGGTTGTGTGAAATTATAGCACATACTAGTCATTGGTGAATATTTTTTTTTCCAATATAAACAAACTATGATGAAAATTTAAATCCATATGGTAACCTAGAACGATATAAAAGACCTAAACTGATTAATCATAAACAATGTGGTTTCCAAGAGTGGAATGTCTGTTCAATGTCTTTTATTCACTTGCAGTTACGAGCTAGTTAGGATACCTCCCAAAATGAACAAGTGGTCTAAATATTGATGTTCATTATTCACTTACATTTTTCAGAATCATGGAGGGCCAGGTAAGGGGGTTACTCTGTTGAAACAAAAGTCAACAAGGGGGTACAATAACCAAACAAGGTTGAGAACTGAACTAAATGTTTTTATTTTACCAGGTAAGACCCACTGAGCTATGTAGGTATTTTTTAGAAGCGAAAATTGAGAACCACTGGTGTACACAAATGTCCCGTGGCTTCCACCCAGCACACCCATCACCACCGGTAATGGCATAAAATGGACTCGGCCACCCCTCTAAAGAACAATCTTTATTGAACAAGCCAGTAAATCTAAAGGCAAAAATCCATCGTGAAAAACATGGAATAAACATCAACGTGTGCATGTGTAGCCGGTCTGCCATGCCCCCTCTCCTCCCATCGTGAATCCTTGCGAGGGGGGGATCGGTTGGCTAAATCGCCAATACAATTAATCAAGTTCTGAAACGGATGCGTTGATGCGTCCTCTGCGTCGTGGGCGACTCCACAACAGCTGACATACCTCTTCTTGGTTCTTTCGGTAATGTCACGTAGAAGGGAAGTGATAAAATAATAAAAATAAAACAATAAAATAATTCTCACGACGTTTCGGCTACAACGCAAGCAGCCGTCTTCAGGTGAAGCCGAAACGTCGTGAGAATTATTTTATTTTTATTTTTATTATTTTATTACTTTCCCTTCTACGTGACATTACCGAAATAACCAAGAAGATGAATCCCTGCAGTCACGAAAGCTTTAAATCGAAAAAAGCTGACATACCTGTCAACCCATACGGGTTACCCGTATTTTTGTACAATAAATGAGTTTTCATGTCCATATGGCATACAACCGTTTCAATCCGGACACTTTTTTGACCATTTGTGTTTCTTCGTTGTGATGGGACTTCATAGAATGAACGTTGAGATTTTTAAGGAGTACTGTGTGACCAATAATGTCTGAATTGGTCTTGCAATAAGGTAGGCACTGATGAGGGGTTGACAGGTATGAGCTGAGCACCCGGGTGGGATTTGTGAAAAGGTGAAACTTTATTTCAAAGCGTTCCTCAGAAGGGCAGTTGTGCTCTCTGCAATGGCGATCAGAAACACCACTCCCCACAAACACCGCAGCTCAATTTCTCAGTCCGAAATTAGCCCAAATCCTAGCGTGGCAGTGTCGTACACAGTGAACGTAGGGCTTTGGATGCAATCCCTGATCACCATTGCATTCACTTTAATGATAAAACGCACCTAGCGACCCCGTGCTATTAGCAGCAGCGCAATTATTCGTGATTAAATTACAGGTGAGCTCACACCGGCTGCATGTGCAAACGGGAACCTGTAGCCGTCGGACAACTTTCAATATCAGCATCACCAACAGCGTGTTCAGTGTCTGCTGGTGTACAATACCGCCGCCATGAGCACATGACACGCAGAGGTTGGCCAGGTGGCTCAAAGGGACTCGTTAACTGTCGGAAGCACCGAATCAGCACTGCTCAGACCCTGGGTGTGAAAGTCGGGCAATAGCCACACGAGCCTGTGACTAAAACTGGGTTCTCAAGTGTAGCAGGTGGATGGATTCAGGTCGGTCACCGTTGACTGAAAAATACCCAATTTATTACATTTTCAGCATTGCAGCATATTCCAGCTCTCAAAAGGCACACTTTTGGTGTCATCTGGTCCAACACAATGTGAGACTAGGCTCTAAGAAAAGCTGTCTCGGGTGTGGACCAATCAATTTCAAGGACAGTGCATACATTATCAGAGTTGTGTTTTTTGTTTGCATTCCGACTGCAGGTATTGTGGTCAATGCAAACATGACATCCTTGTAAAAAGGTGTCAGTTTTGGTGCCAGATAAAAGGGTAAAAAAACAACATATTTTGCGACTGGCAAAGGAGGTTCCAATGGTGTAAACGAAAACTATTTGGTTTGTCATGCGATGAATATACTCTGCTTATAAAAAGTAACCCTTGTGTGGACAAATGTCATCTTCTCGGTCCCGTTCTATAAGTTGGTGCGCCGACAGCTGCACGAGTTCCAAGTGGAATATTATCACCCCGTGACATGATGCCAACAGAATAAGTGTGTACACAAATCAGAATAAAACGCAAAAACTTAAAAATACTTTAGAACAGTAACCAAGCGTTAAGTCTCCAATCCAGCTCAACGAGGCCCGCATTTGCCCACTTTCCGCATTCGCTTGTGAATCAAATGGTCTTCGGTTTAACTATTCTGCAGTACAATTAGCCCGACATCCTTCACGAATGCTACGTTGGTCTTACATCCATTCGCTCCTTCGTTTAAACCGCTTGTGCGAGTCCGTGACATACGGTGCGGGCTGTTAGGTGTGTAATAAACGACTTCCACGACGATTGTGAAAAGAGTGCTTCTTTATTAACTGTAGCACTGCAACGGTTCTCTTCTTCCCTCTCCAGGTAATTTCCCTTCATAATATAGGTTTTTGGGTCAGATCGCGTTATTTATAAATGTGTCGTAACCCTCCACCACCCGACACGGCCAAACAGTAAAAAAATGCGTCACGTTTTCAAAGGACAAATTAATTGACTTCTTTAGCCCACCGGTGTGCTGAAGAGAGAATCAACAGCATTTAAAAATTTGAGTACGACGTTTCGTTGATAATTACAATCAGCTTCATCGGGCAAGAATAGTGAAGCTCTCCTGTTGCTTCCGGTCTTAAATAGAGCAGCATCATGGTGACGTCATCATTTAATTCAATTCAATCTGGTACAGTGATTCGAGGCAAGGAGGGGGAGGGTATTGTAATTATATAATAACAACACCATGGACGAGGCGTCTCTCTCCGGTTCACCAGCGAGGTTCGCTGCGCTCCCCCGGTCTCGCTGGCGGCGTGCCGAAGAGAAGAGGCAAGCTTCACTGGAGAACCCGGCACATGGTCGGTGGCGAAGAGGAGATGACAAGCAGCGACGCAGTCCGGACCGCAGGCTCCCCACACCGACCGAGTTCTCCCCTGCTTATATTTTCCCCTGGCGGAGCAAGGCTCCGCCTCTATCCATGCCCCCTCGTGGAACCTTCCCGATGGTTCCCGAAGCATCTCTCTCGACTCTGCCCGTCACCTTTGGCCCAGATGTCATTCCCTCTTAGGACTGGATGGCGATTACCTAAGTGCCTGTACCCAGTTATCCTCTGGCACCCACTGGATGGCGCTCATCTAATTACAGGTGTTTAAAACTGTACCGTGCAAGAAGGTTTGAGTGGGCGCCTTGCATCATAACTTGTCCCCACGGCGTGCATGAACTGGTGGATGTTAAGACTTTGGCTACGGGAAGCTCTAATCGCCCACCCTGCGCTTGTAGGGCTTCTCGCCCGTGCGTGTGTATGCTGGTGGGACTTCAGACTATCGCTACGCAAAAAACTCTTACTGCACAAGTTGCACTTGAATGACTTCTCGCCCGTGTGCATGCACTCGTGGACCTTCAGGTGGTAATTTTTCACGAAGGTCTGGTTGCACACCGTGCACTTGTATGGCTTCTCTCCCGTGTGTTTGCGCTGGTGGGTCTTTAGGCTATCGCTGCGCAGGAAGCTTTTGCTGCACAGCTCGCACTTGTACGGCTTCTTGCCCGTGTGCGTATGCTGGTGGGCTTTCAAATTGCGACTGCGCGAGAAACTCTGACTGCACAGACTGCATTGGTAGGGCTTCTCGCCCGTGTGCGTGCGCTGGTGTGCCTTCAGGTGGGACGACTGGGTGAAGGAATGGTCGCACATCTTGCAGCGGAATGGTTTCTCGCCTGTGTGCATCCGCTGGTGGTACTTGAGAAGGCAGTTCTGCGCAAAACGCTTTTCGCATACTGCGCACTGGTAAGGCTTCTTCACCGCTGCCACGTCTACTCCCTTGTTCAGGGAACCGGACGTTGTGGGCCACTGCGCGCAGGACTGGAAATCAAATGGTTCGTGATTTTCAAAGGCAAAACCTTGCTCGTCGCTTGGCAGAAAAGCGTTTCTGTTCGGCATCTCTTCCTCGGAGCAATGGCCGCTGAACGCCTCAGTTGAACACTTGGTGCTGTGAGACCTGTCAAATACGTCGGTGTTGTCTTGCGTTTCGTTGTCCATTCGCTGCTGCTGATTCACTTGTGGGTGAGTGCCAATCTTGGTGGAGTTTTCCACACATATTCCCAGCCCTTGAAACGAGGTCTCCTCTTGATGGACGAATCTTGGAAAATCTTCAATAGTATTTTTACCTATAGTGCGAATACAAGACAAATACTCCATCAATAAGACAACCAAAATTCAATTCGGCTTGTAAGAAGATACATCTAAATGGGACTGGGCCCTTGGACTGTACCTAGGAGCAATGGACATCATAACATATATAATTACCGAAGTGTAATGGAATGTTACCAAAATTGTTTATTTATTACCTAGAAATATTCTGAATGGCTCTCGAGAAAACAGTCAAGATCAGAATTGTCCTAATCTAGAATGCTGGTTCAGTTCCTTTTCGGAGTATTATTTGGGTTTGGGAAGATATAGGAGTGCCTGGAAAACAAGCTGAAAATGTATATACATGCCTTAGTCAATCGACTGCTGGATGAAGGCCTCACCACACTGTCAACCATGGAAAGTTGTTTGACCATACTTGGTCTGTGTTAGTTGATAAAGGGAGGATATTTAGGATCGGTTCAGATGTTATTTGCCACTGATTCTTCTCACCCAGTTGTGACCCGTCCAGGTATCAACCAGGTTAAGACCTGCTGAGCTTCCAAGATCCAAACGAGATTTGGCAAATTTAGGGTGATTTGGTCATAGGCAATATGAATGGTGCCGTGGTGGTAAGATGTTAACTACCTCTTCTGGTATACAGTACATGGGTTCAATCCCCACCCTGACACCTGTATATTTGGAGTTTGCATGTTCTCCCCTTGGTCGTGTGGATTTTTCTCCGGGTCCTCCAGTTTTTCCCTCCACAATTAGAATCAACGTGCATTTAAGAGTATTTGGCTACTATACATTTCCATGTGATAACCCACTTAGTTTAGCTATAATATTTGGCCAGGTCGCTTCTGAAAAAGCGCTACATAGTTCAGTGAGGCCTTACCTGGTAAAATAATATTTTTTATAGAATGTGTGGTCAGTGAAGATAATCCAGCTCTACCATCAAAGGGCTCCGTCTTTAAATGACGTAGCACCGTGATGGGGTCCGAATCCTCCGCGCTTGATGTTGGCCTCTCTCCATCGTAATCTGGTAAAAAGTCCCAAAAAACATCGCACCGTTCTACTTGAATTCGCCGTAATATAGTCCCATCGCTGATCTAGTCGCTGAAACTCTGGTTTCGAGACCTATTTGTCCAATCTGAACAAATGTCTGCGGCCTCTGAAAAAAATAACACCCAATACAGAAACAGGAACTCTTGGATTAAGAGAAAAGGCACATTAGAAACAATGTCCATCTAAAAAGTGGGCTAGGGAAAGTTGCCGTGCGACAAAGGATATCCAATGGACGAGACTGGTGACAGCATGGAACCCAGAGAAACATGCCTGAGAGTGTTAGTATATGCTGTACCAGTTAAAAACGGAAGATCATAAAGCTTACAGTGTTTAAAGGCCTTATTGAAGAATCTGCTAGCCAAGCAGATGATTTATGGTGTTTTTTTTTTTGGTGCAGCCTTACCTGCACTTGCCTCTTCTTTAATCATTTGTAATGTCTGCCTTGGGCTGATGACTTCTCTCTGCCAGTCTGCATTCCCCCCAGCCTCATCTGGGAAGATTCAAGAACACAACAGTGACATCTTAGAAAAGGTAACCCAAACAGGTGATATTATTTATATGCCACTAAAAATTAATAGATACATACAGACAGGTTACACGTTAGGCACTTAACATCCCCCCTTGCAGATGCAGCCAGTTTACCCCTCATTGAGGATGAATTACGCCTTGATAATTTACACTGGAAAATAAAATGCAATACACTGTCTAGAAAGTAGTGTTTTGTTAAGAGCATGGGGATCGAGGGGATAGTGAGTGAATTGTTAAGTTAATTGTGTGAACATGATACGTAATTTTTTTTTATGAAAAGCAGATCATCGTGTGTTTGAATGAAGCCAGGATGTTACCGAATGTGGGTTACCCCACATTCGGAATTGACTAGGGACAGCGAGTCAGCTGCACAGATGACTGGCGGGAAGCGAGTTGCAGACAATAATGGGAGCAGAGAAGAATGAGTGACCTCTCAATGAGGGACGGTTGACTGCAATTTCTAAGTCTGGCTGTGGCAGAAATATGCATTTTAGAAATCTACCACTGCAATATTATTTACACATGGCTTATCTTAAACATTTATGATAGGATAATCAGTATGCCACATGAGCATTCACGAAGCACCTCCGCGAACTGAACGACTTTACCATGAGCCGCATCTTCATCTGTATCGTCAACCACATTGTCCTCAGGAGAAATCAAATGCGAATCCACATCGACAGCTCCGACATTGTCCATAGTTCCTAGCCTCCGCACGGACAGCAGCAGCTCCCGGCTCAAGCCACTGAACAGTGCGAGCAGCACGTCCACCAGGCCTCCCAGCGTCACGTCGCGAGGGGAGGACGTGACGGCGGCGGTGGCATCGTCCCAGCGCGGCGTCCCGTCGTCGTGTTGCTCGGCGCCCTGCAGGGCCTTCACCACCTGCCGCAGCACGGCGTAGAAGCCGAAGGGCAGACGGTCGCGCGCCGTGGCCAGCAGCTCGGCCCGCACGAGGCCGTCGTCGACGCAGGCACACAGGACCCCGTAGTCCCGGATGCCCAGCTCCGAGTCCATGGCCCGGGCCACCTCCGTGTTCACGCCCTGCGCCTCCAGCCATGCCGGGAAGTTCCCGCTCAGCTCCAGCACCGGGGTGGCCACCGCGCACGCCATTCTGGTGGGGCTTGGTACACGGGCAGCAATTTTATCAAAAATACTTTTACCACATAGACTCATACAAAACAAACAACATTTCAGCTGCAAAGTGAATTAATTTTTCATTTTAAATGTGGACACTATTCTTTCGCGATTCTGGCATACGGGAGTTACATAAGAAGATTGTGGGAGTAACCCAAACACCACGATGTCTTCCCCGAGGTGTTCAGAGCTTTGTGGCCAGACCACATTGATTCACCATGGGTGAGTGTTGTGGGTTATAAAGCTTTAAGGTATTCCCGATTCACGTTTCATAGATGTGGTACAAGTTTCAGGCTTCACGTCATACAGAAACACTGGCCTGCCATCAACAGTGAAAATTAAATAAAAAAATATGTACTGTATAGCACACTATTTTGTGATGCTGCACTGACAGTGGTACACAAGCACAAATAAAAAAATACCTTAACATGTCAATAGCACCGCCTTAAAATTAAATTATATAATAGGCGACGTTTGGGCAAATGACCCTTCCGTTTAACACAGAGGTTTTCGCGAGCCATATTCACAATAGAGGTTTTTGGGTTAGATCGCGTAAAATATAAATTAGTCGTTAAATCCGAAACCACCCGACACAGCCCATTATAGTAAGGTTTGTCACGTAAACAAAACATGCCAATTCCTTACTAGTTCAGCCTGATGCTAGTTGTAATTACTAGCGCAACAACGTACTCGAATTGTAAATGTTGTGAGTTTTACTCTCCAACAACATCGGTGTGCTGAACTAGCAACGAATTGGCGTGTTCTGTTTACGTGACAAACCTTTACTAATTGTCTGTGTCGGGTGGTGGCGGGTTTAACGACACATTTATATTTACGCGATCTAACCCCAAAAACCTCTTATGGACCCTTCCTCAGCGGCCTCTGTGTGCTTGTGAAGGGACATCGCCCGAAACGTCGCCTATTGTATACTGTCATGTAGGTCCCATGAAATTAACACCCTTGTGTTTTTAATAACTTTCACTTTATTAACACAACAGTAGTACACGCACGTGTGGAGCAAAACGCGTGAAATTTTAATTTTAATTCACAATTCTGCGTTATTACTAACATAAAGAAGGGCCAGAGTTTGCACTGTTGACCAGAGCATTACAACGGGACGATTTCGCCACTCAACGCGGCCCGCCGTTACATGTACAGCCGTGATTAATTCGTAATTAATTCGCTTACTTAATAAGGGGGTTAAGTTTACCAGTAAACTCACTTTTGATGCTTGCGTTCTGCAGCCGACGATGTCGATGATACTGTATTCTTAGGTTTTTTCGGTAAAGTCACGTACGTAAACATTAAAAAAGTAAAATGAAATAAAAATCACGACGTTTCGGAGGCAACACAAGCCTCCGTCTTCAGGTGGGACCGTCACAGCCACGACAGCTGCATCAAGTAAATGAGAGATTACAGGAGCTACCACTACGTTTATATAATGGTTGGAGAAGGTGGTAGCGCAAGGACCGCATACTTTTTATTAATATGGTAAGGTGAGGCTTAAGAGGGTGAGCTTTTGTTATGGAGAGGTGCGGTTTGTGAATCAACCTGTGACAGGGAGACAACCACTAAACATGGTAAAACTGTAATAGTTATCTGTCAAATAAGATTGGCAAATAAGTGTAGTTAAATCAATTTTGTACGGTTATTTTATTTTACTTTTTTAATGTTTTACCTACGTGAATATGAATCCTTGCAGTCACGAAAGCTTCAAATCTAGAATCGATGATACTGGTTGAATATCGCCGTTGTACGCCGCTGCTGTTAGCCGATGATGTTGTTACTTTCCGTACCTGATGTTGTTGTTGTGGATGTTAACGATGCTGTTGTTGTCGACGATGATGTTTGGAGCCGCGGTGTCAGAATGGGAAAAAACGGAGGCCAAGATGCCCGCTGCTGCTTCTTCTTCACGTGCCAGGCGCCGTTCCCAGACCCAGCGAACTTAGGGAACGCGGCAATTTGACCACAACTGCACGGGCGGCACTCTTGACGCGCCGGATGTTGCGGGATTTTCCCTTTGGAGCCGTACATAAATGACGTCACGCGATTTTGGACGATTTTTGACCCCCCCCCTCAAATGACGTCACAAATCTCTGCCCCCCCATTTTTTTAAAACATGCTTCAAATCGCTTTAAACTATTGTCATTGTAGTGCGTATTTAATGTGGCGCTGCACTCTGATGTTGTAGGAGAAAAAAATATTTAAAAGTCTATTTAATTAATTAGAACGTGTTGTCTGTTTATTTAAAGTTGCGCATTTTGATGTGACGTCACATTTCTCACCCCCCCCCACCCCTTGTTACAGTCACAAATGTCTGAACCCACCCCCCCCCTAGGTGCGTGACGTCATTTATGGACGGCCCCTTTGCTATTCGGTGAAGGGCTTCCCCCCCCCCCACCGACACCACCATGCCGTGTCGGCCACGTGGGGTTGTTTGACCATAGTTCAGCACGTTGGTCACAGTGGGTTGGAGGAGGAAGGGGTGGGGAGTGGGGATTGTTCAGGACCGGCTCCAATATCTCTCGCCACTGATTGTTCAGCCATGGATGGAAGTTGGCCGGATTCATAACACAGGGAGGAGGCTGAACCATGTCGGTGACGGTCAAACTGACGAGCACACAGTCTATTAATCTACATTAATAACATTTTCGTAACTTTAATTTGGCCAAAGCAAATAAAAAACTATATTTGTGTTGGTATACCATCAACTCACTGCACATGAGAAGCCGGTTTAACCATGGGCTGTTGCTGCTGCTGTCCAGACTTGAACCCAGATTCTCAGCGGTTGCTAGCCGTCACCTTACTACTGTAGCAGTCTACAATTTTTTATGACTAATTTAACAACAAAAAAGTTACAACCGGTACAAACACACGTCAGTTAAAGTATTTATTTAACACGCGGCTAGAAAATCTAAACCTGGACATAAAATGTACATACACTTTCTTTTTGTGGCTATTTTTTCAGAAGCGACCTGGCCACAAATGATAGCTCAACAGTGGCTTATCATGTGGAAATTTATAGTAGCCAAATACTCAAAACGAATGTTTCTAAATGTAGAGGGAAAAACTGGAGGACCCCACAGGAAGATACGCAAACGCCAAATACACAGGCGGTCACCGTCGGAATCGAACCCACGACCTCCTGCATACCAGGCGAGGGAGTTAACATCTCACCACTGCGGCGCCCTTCCCAAACACTATAAGATTTAACACAATGGCTTTCACAACCAATGAGTCATAAGAGATATTTGGTTAATATCGCGTAAAATGTGTTGTACACTCTCTTCCAAACGACGCAGACAATAAATGCGTCACGTGAACATGCCACTGAGTGCTTCTAGACACCGGTGTGTTGGAGAGCTACCCATAACATTTAACAATTTGCAACGTTTCACTGGCAGTTACAACCAGCATTTTAAGTCGGTTTTCGCTGCGTGATAATCCTGTGTAAGGTGGAGTTTTTAACGACTCTCATTTTACTTGCACGATCTGACCCATGAAATCAATTGAATCAAAATGTTTGCATAAAAAATTCATTTTCTTAAAAACTGTTGTATTTAACCTGCAATTATCAATATCAAAGAGATGAATCTGCTACTTGTACTCAATGTAAAAAAACTGGATCAGCCAGGTCAAATCCCCCAAAAACGGAGGCGCACGCCAGACAGAGGACTCCGAGCTGAGATCTCCTCAGTCCATCATCTGACAGACCCCTGGAGGGCCTTGAATTCTGGGGAGAGAGATTACACATACGCTTCTAGAGTGCACGGGACGTTATCAAGGATAGACAACTTTCTGTTGTCAAACACCCCCCTCTCAGTCACAAAAGTAAAAATTCTGGACTTCCAAATGTGTGATCACACCCCAGTCCTTACACAATTGGTATTGGACCCGAAGGAGTGGATGCACAGGACATGGGCCCCAGACGGAGGCCTGCTTAGTAGGGATAAACGGTTGAAAAGATAAAATAGGAAAGTTGAAAATAGGGTCGCTAATGGAAAGTAACACTTTCCCGTTCCAACACGTCTGCAAGTTGTAGGGTGGGTTCCATTTGCCTCCGAGGGATGCTTGGAACGTGGAACGTGGAAGCGGGTCAGCGTAAATTTTATTTCGAGGCATAGCGCCATTGTTTTTAAAAGACATTGTAGTCAACGCAGAGAACTACAGGAACACGACCGCACTCAATTTGGCTGGTGCCAGTTTGGCTAGTGCCAAACTGTGCCACACGCCCTCCTGCATGGCGTTGGGGGAGCCTCGGTACTGATAAAGTTATTTTAGTTTTTCTTCCGGTTTTGTTTTGATGATGTACACGTATGTCATGGGAATGGAATCGGAATAAAAGGTGACGACATACACATACGTCATCGGAATGGGAAAGGGTTAAGTGCGTAACCTCCTACATCGCCTTTGCTCACCTCATAGAGGTCCTTATAGCAAGGGGTGTGTGGCTCAGGAAAGTAAGGGGACAGAGGCTCCTCGATAACTACTATTAAGACACTCCCAAGGTAAGGAGACGTGGGGTTGAGCTCTGTCGAGCAAGAGAGGAGCTAGATAATATTTCTAACGATCAGCCCTCCCGGCCGTTTGAGGGCCTATTTCACGACCCCTCCCACGCCACTGGTGGGATACATGCGAGAATTGGTTGTGGGAGCAAATTGCAAATGGGCCAAACCCCAATCAGACATGGACCCAGATTAGAAATCCACTTCTCAAAGGGAAAAAATCCTTCTACATGAGAACTGTCCAAATCAAACTCTTACATGGGGCCTACAAACAACCAGAGGAGCGCCAAGTTTGGTACAGCCTCATGTCCGAATGACCCCCCCCAAGATATATTACACAATTACAAACGTGCTTTACGGTCATGTCCGACTATTGCTGAGCTCTATGAACATATAATGGTGGTTTTCAATAAGATTAACAATACATCTTGTCAATATCGGTATGGAAACTACCCTGGTGAGCCTAAGAGAAGCGGGGCTAACCCGAGCATAGAAAGTTTTGTTCAGAACTTTCCATATATCGGGCCAGGAAAACCATATTGAGTACGTGAAATAATCACCTACTCCCCTCCCATACTCAATGGCTGAATTCATTAGGCCCAATCTAAATCCTGTAGAATGAGAACTATAAGCTCAAACGGAAAAACCCAGAATCAACCCAGAATGGTAATGTCCAGGCAACCCTCACTCCCCACCCACGGAAAATCTCCCCCCTCCTCCCACCACCTGCTCTGAAGAGTTCACTGTGGGAGTTATATTTTATACCACCGATGCCCCGAGAACCAACACCCGGAACATCAATATATGGTGTGAGGGAGGATGTGAACTCAAATTTACTTGTGAAAATAAAACTGCATCGGCTGACAAATGGGCTCAATTCTTGGGGGTTGTCAGAGGAATAGCTTTGCAGTGTGCAGGCAGTGCAACTGCACAAAGGCCAATGGGGCAGAAAGGGCCCAGGTTTGAGGCTACAAAGAGGGAAGGGTGATTGAGACAGAGGTTCCCATTTCTCTTCTTTCACTATGGACCTGTGCCATCCACACTACGCCACAGGGGCTGGTACTCAAGAAAGTCAAGAATTTGACGCACTTCGTTCGATTGCCATCACTGTCCACAGTGTTTGCGCTCGTGGACTTTCAAGTGGTGACTACATATGAAGGTCGCATTGCACGTCTTGCACTGGTAAGGCCTCAAGCCTGTGTGCGTGCGCTCGTGAACCTTTAAATGATGACTACGCATAAAACTTCTCGTGCACACCTTGCACTGGTACGGCCGTAAGCCTGTGTGCGTGCGCACGTGCATTTGCAAGTGATCGTTACGGAAGAAGCTGCTGTCGCAAATCTTGCACTGGTAGGGCCTCCACTCCGAGTGTAAATGCATGTGGTCCATGAGCATCGATTTGTATGCGAAGCTTTGATCACAGAACTTGCACGGGTGCGTCTCCTCTTCCTCCTCCTCCTCATGCATCTGCTCATGGGCCCCAAATTCGGAAGACTGGGGATAAGAAAGGTCGCACATGGAGTGAATCATCTTCTCCTCACCCGTGTGCACACGCTGGTGGGTCAGGAATTGGTATTTCCGTGCAAACTTCTTGTTGCACACTGTGCACTCAAAGGGCTTCTTTTCGGATTTTTCATTCACGTTTCTCATCGAGCTAGATCTTGAAGATTTCGGTTCATCATGCTGGAGCTCTAACGGCATATCCTTGTCATTCAAGGGAGTAAAATTATGATTCAGGTTCTCCTGGCTTTCAGAAGTGTGTTGTGTATCAGCTGGCATGTGCGTGTTCACTTTGCACGAAGACATTTCTTCAGCGTCGGCGATGATTTGTATTTCGTCACCAGTCTGCTGCTCAAGCTGCTGTTGGTGGATCTGTGGATCTTCCTTAACGTGTTCGAGGTTTGATTTTCTCTCGACGAGCGAGAGCACGCCTGTGATGGCGAGTCCTGCATCACCTTTCATTTTATTTTGAGATATAGAAAAAAAACAATAAAAACCAAGTTAGTTATGGTATGGGGGATTTCAGTTGTTAAAAATCAGACCTCAGCAAAGACATTGCCACTCTTTCAATGTAGCCTGATCTCACACACTTGACTTGATGCTGTGGGTAAAAATGTATCACTGTGGTGATCTGCCATGTTGGTGATGTAGACATTCAGTCAGCATATGTGGAAAAACTGGATAGAGAAATTCACAAACACTTGAATTGGGGATTAGAAAAAATGTGTCTATTTTTCTAATGTAAATGCAAATGTATGGCCCTTTGTCAAATCCACTCCTGGATGAGGACCTCCTATGGTAAGTGCGTCTTGGTAATTATTGACCATACTTCACCACAATGGTCAGTGTGAGTTGAATGCAGGCAGCATAGATGATGAAGTACGATATATTTTACTGCACTTCCCTTTGATTACATGTGGGGGTTAACTGAAAGTGGTTCCATAAAAATTGAAGGTCCTGTAAACTTGCATCCTTTGCTCTGTATGCTGTAATTTGACCTTGTTGTGACTGTTTCAGATTAGCACTACTTCCTCTCGTTTGTCTGGCAGTGAGGTCACATGAAACATGTTGAAATTTATTGTTGCAATCCTGATTCACCTTCACAGCAATTCAGTCTTTAATTTGTGCAATATACGCTCTGGGTCAGAATTTCCCATGTCCATACGTGTGTTCCTTTCATCTACCGAGTCAAAAGTTACAGTATCAACACGATCAAACCACTGAAGTGGCCCAAGCTATTTGTTCATAACACATTTTCCAAACAAATTGAACCATGAATCAACAGTCAAGACAGCTGTATAAGCCACTATCCTAAACCTCACTTATTTTCCCGTGCAATTTAAATGCAGTTGTACGTTGAATTTTTTTCTGCACCACCAGTAGCCAACCGTGCTGAATCTGTTGGGTGAAACAGAACAATTAAAATGTTTAAATATAGATCATTATGTAAGGTTTACCTCTGAAGTGCTCCGTTTTAATCGTGTGCAATGTCTCGCTGGGGCCATCCTCTTCTCTTTCCGAGTTTTGGTTCTCTCCAACCTCATCTGGGGAAATTCAAGAACACAGCATCAATTACGAGAATAGGTTTTTCCCTTTTTTCTGGAAACAAAACAGGTGTTAAGATGTTAAAACACCAAACTGAAACCTTTCACAAGGAATCATGTCTGCATTAACTACGATACTTGTGGTCAGAATGCAAACAAAAAACATACTCTGATAATATATGCATTGTCTTTGAAACTGATTGGTCCACACCAGAGACAGCTTTCTTTGGAGCCTAGTCTCAAAAGGTGTTACCTTTTGATGAAGCAGCATCAGTCAGGTTCAAGGCTACATCTTCGGATGTCCATATAGCCAAAACTCTATACCCTTCTACAACATTAAAACATTTTCTCATTGTGCTATCTACATCAGGTCATGGGATGAATACTCCATTTGGGACGTAGATCTAGAATCCTACTTGATAAGTATGACAATGTAAAGAGATGCGCCTAGTTCTAAGAATGTAAATTTACCATTGATGTTGCAATCATCAATTTCATGCATTGCACCGTCTTCCAGGGTGACTGCCGTAGTAGGTGAAGGGGAATACTCGGTGCACACTTCATTGCCATCCATGCCTCCCAGCCTCTGCACACACAACTGCAGCTCCCGGCTCAAGCCACTGAACAGTGTGAGGAGCACATCCACAAGGCCTCCCAGCGTCACGTCGCCAGGATAGGAGGGGGCGCCGGTGGCAGCGTCCCATCGCGGCGTCTCAGGGTCGTGGGGCTCGGCACCCTGCAGGGTCTTCACCACCTGCCGCAGCACGGCGTAGAAGCCAAAGGGCAGGCGGTCGCGCGCCGTGGCCAGCAGCTCGGCCCGCACGAGGCCGTCCCTGACACAGGCACGCAGGACCCCGTAGTCCCGGATGCCCAGCTCCGAGTTCATGGCCCGGGCTACCTCCTCGTTCACGCCCTGCGCCTCCAGCCACGCCGGGAAGTCCCCGCTCGGCTCCAGCAATGGGGTGGCCACTGCACACGCCATCCTGATGAGATGTGCAATACATTCATTGGACACCGACATAAGTTTTAACAGTTACAATGCGCAGTTTTCATTTGCCTCCAAAATGCATTTGCATTAGAGACACCATTGCTTCACAAAACCAATGATTAGAAAATGTGAATGCATTTGCTGGTGGGAAGAAACCCTGTTAAGAGACGATATAACGAATAACCCTACTGCTACCAGTGATTTGATGAATACAGTTGTCACGATTTGGGATTGAGATTTAATTCGAACAAATGGCCCTGAATCCTACAGTGATTGAAAAAAAATGGCTAAATATGTGTACGCACAAATTATTAAACAAAATATGAAACAATAGTCATCAGTGATGATTAGCCATATAATCTGCGCCCTGCGGCAGTCCTACCGCCGCTCGCATTCGTCAATAACATTTGCCATTAAAGAAAATTGAAAAGAGCACATAGATAATTACCGTATTTTCCCGCATATAACCCGCGGGGTATACCACTTTTTACAAACAAAACAAGACCCTGCGGGGTATATGGAGGTGCGGGCTATCTGAAATTTGTTTAAAACAAAACGCTATTTTTGCGGGGTCTATGCGTCTGCGGGTTATATGCAGGAAAATACGATAATCTATGTGCCTTCTATTGACAATGTACAGCATGCAACTGTGTGCACTATATGCACATGCATTAATAGAGCAAAAAAAATACGATTAAAACGAGACGAAAGAGAATGGGATTCTTGAACCGAATCGCGACCCTGAATCTTGACAATTACTCGAATCGGCAGTAAGCCCCTTCCTGCAAAAACTTGATAGGGCCCTTCTGAGTGTTGAGACGCAGTGAGGCTTTCCTGGGTAAACAAGTGTGGTTGATACTAATGAAGGGTCATAGCCCGAAACGTGGCCTATATTGCTTCCTTCTAAGGCGGTGAGCGATGTGCCATGGGCAAATGTGTTGAGCGATTGCAATTCGTGCTTATTGCGCCATGTCCAACGCAGCACCACAAGACAAATGGATTGGGTGCAACTTAACAGTCAACGTTGTACAAGCTACCCAACCAAAGACGCAGAGTAAACAACATTTGAATTCAACACCGCCACAATGTCTCCCACCGATGTCAAGCGCTTTCCCAGCCAGAAGTCACCTGTTGTCATCAATTACCGACTCGGCCATGAAGACTTCAGTGGCCTTATCGATAGATGGATTTTCCTTGGTTTTTTCTGTTTGCGCATAATCACTTGAAGTTGTTTTCTTGTTCGTGCTTTTGTTTTTTGTTTGTTGCGGTTGAACCCAATTCAAGAGCCGAATGGCTCACAGGGTTATACCAAATAAATGCAACTGAAAACTGAAATCTCTCCCTGTGCAATACGAACATGTATGCTGTACAACCCTTATTGTCAAATCAACTACTGGACGACGGCCTCCACGTGCTGCGCAGGTCACGGGGGAGGGGTTATTGATCATACTTCACCACGTTGGTCAATGTAAGTTTGGCGAATGTGGAAAAGCACGTGGGACTTGGGAGCACAGAACAATGGGATGTGGGTGCTGCTCTGCGCACCACTCACACGTTGTTCCACTTACGGCCCCTTGCAGCCTGTAACACCTATTATGCACAGTGGTTACCCATCAAAGCTCTCAACCAGACTCAACAGAATGCCTTTTAAGCACCCGAGATCTGACGTGCGCTGTAATTCGTGGTCACAAGACGACACTTTTCATGTTGTCGTTGTGTATATTAAAAAAAAACCGGAACGCAATGAACCCAACACGTTCACACGAAAACACGGGTATTCATCCAGCAGTGGACCGAACAAAGAGCTGTTCCCCATCCGTATTATCATTTATTTCACGGCTATACATTTAAGAAACACAACTAACCCACGCAAACACGTGCTTTGTACAGGAACCTTTGTCCCAACTTGCACGTGAGCGGACGAGTGACCGCTCCCCCATTGCCTCTCCACTGCTGGATGAGTGCCCCCCCTCCCCCCCGTCGCACCGTGCCGCAAGTAAATGGGTCAAGGGTGGTCATTCGGACATACTTCACCACGCTGGTCAATGCAGGCTTCTTGACGGGTGGTCCAAGCAACCAGGATCAAGGTTTTTGTTTTGTTCTCCACGGAGGCTGTGCGTGTAAAGATCTCGCTCTCTCGCCAGCGATGTTCGCTAACCACGCGATAAATCCCAACTCCGATGGTGATGATGGTTGTGGTGGTGGCGGTGATGATGGTGGTGGCCCACGATTTTCCAAGTGCAAAGTGCACACCCCACCAACCAAACCGCAGCGTTACCGCTCCAACCACCGAATACTATTGAAGTTGTTCTTTTAAAGCTGGCGGAGAGAGAAGGGGGGGGGGGGAGAGGTTGGGGAGATGCAGGGGGGGGGGGGGTAGAGCAAGTTTATAAAAGAAACAAAGTTCGCTAAAATTGGCTGCTTGCTGCTGCCGTGTGTGTGTGTGTGGTGGTGGTGGCGTACGTTCGCTGTGGGCCGCAGTAGCCAGGAGAATGCGGATGGCGAAGTCCAAAAATAGCGACGACTTCGCCGCCGCCGCCGCCGCCTCCTCCTCCCTTCTTCTTAACGAATGAAAGAGGGGGCTAAGGGACCGCGGCGATTTGCACGCGGGGCAATGGGCGGGGGAGGGAATTTAAAAGAGATGTGAACTAATTTCGATTTAAAGCTTTCGTGACTGCAATGGATTCATATGCTTGGTTCTTTCGGTAAAGTCACGTAGAAGGGAGATAATAAATACTAATAAATCTGGACTACATTTTGGTGTTTTATTTTTATTATTTTATTTACCGAAAGAACCAAGAATAAGATGTAAACAAGATAATTGGTTCTTTACCCTTCTATCTGGCAACAAAACTGACACCTTTTTGCAAGGAGTCATGTTTGCATAGACCGCAATACCTGCAGTCATAATACAAACAAAAGAACATAACTCTGATAATGTGCACTGTCCTTGAAGTTGATTGGTCCACACCCGAGACAGCTTTCCTTCGAGCCTAGTCTCATATGGGTTGGACCAGATGACGCCAAAAGGCGCACAACTCAAGGACAATGCACCATCAGAGTATGAGAGCTCGGGGCAAGCATCTACACTATGGGGACCTCATTTGCCAGTAAAAATATGATAATTGGTTCTTTACCCTTCTATCTGGCAACAAAACTGACACCTTTTTGCAAGGAGTCATGTTTGCATAGACCGCAATACCTGCAGTCATAATACAAACAAAAGAACATAACTCTGATAATGTGCACTGTCCTTGAAGTTGATTGGTCCACACCCGAGACAGCTTTCCTTCGAGCCTAGTCTCATATGGGTTGGACCAGATGACGCCAAAAGGCGCACAACTCAAGGACAATGCACCATCAGAGTATGAGAGCTCGGGGCAAGCATCTACACTATGGGAACCTCATTTGCCAGTCAAAATATGATAATTGCTTGCCCCGAGCTCTCATACTCTGATGGTGCATTGTCCTTGAGTTGTGCGCCTTTTGGCGTCATCTGGTCCAACCCATATGAGACTAGGCTCAAAGGAAAGCTGTCTCGGGTGTGGACCAATCAACTTCAAGGACAGTGCACATTATCAGAGTTATGTTCTTTTGTTTGTATTATGACTGCAGGTATTGCGGTCTATGCAAACATGACTCCTTGTAAAAAGGTGTCAGTTTTGTTGCCAGATAGAAGGGTAAAGAACCAATTATCATATTTTTACTGGCAAATGAGGTTCCCATAGTGTAGATGCTTGCCCCGAGCTCTCATACTCTGATGGTGCATTGTCCTTGAGTTGTGCGCCTTTTGGCGTCATCTGGTCCAACCCATGTGAGACTAGGCTCTAAGGAAAGCTGTCTCGGGTGTGGACCAATCAACTTCAAGGACAATGCACATTATCAGAGTTATGTTCTTTTGTTTGTATTATGACTGCAGGTATTGCGGTCTATGCAAACATGACTCCTTGTAAAAAGGTGTCAGTTTTGTTGCCAGATAGAAGGGTAAAGAACCAATTATCATATTTTTACTGGCAAATGAGGTTCCCATAGTGACGTTGTTGTTGTTGTTTCCAGTGTCAAAGTGCATAGCTGTGAGCCCATAGCGGTTTTACCCCTACGACACTATACACTACTTTACTGTACACTACTACACAGTACACTACATTACTATACACTACATTGCTATACACTACACTATACACTACACTATATCATACCTGTAAATCCATACGGTTTACCCGTATTCTATTACAGGGAAATTGAGTGTTCAGGTCCATACGGCGTACAGCCGTTTCAATACGGACAAAACATTTGATTGACAGGTATAATATATTGGGGCCTCCGCAAAACATAGGTCAAGCCTTCGAGAGCCACTCTATCGTGGGTATTCTGGCTTACTCTTTCACGCTTTGTGTATTATCGATTATATTAGGCTCACGATTCAAAGCATTGAATCTCATGTAAGAATCAGTTTTCCATTTGTATCATCAGCAAATAAACCGATTAATGAAATGTTGATTCGTATTGATTGGATGCAATGGTTTCACGTGATCCCTGAAACCACAAGATGCTGCCTAGGTTCACAAGGGTGGTAATTATTATTGAATCGAATGATGATATTCATGTAGGTCATGTAAATTTGTAAAAGATCGAACGCAGAAGATTCCTATATTTAATCTTCCACGAAACTCATGGTCCATCCTAAACCGCATCAGTACAAACCTTGGCAGATGCAGATACCCGATTTACAAGAATCGAAAATTAAACTCTCCCATGTTCTACTGTGCTAATCCAGAACAGACCGTACAACTATAAAACGATGCGATGCCCGATCCACGAATACGAAGGAGACATCACGGCGATACACTCCGCTGCTCCTGACGAGGTTGTCTGGTTTGACCATCTGAATGGGAAATTGGAGTTGTTGCTCTGCATCTAATGAAGAGGTCATGGGGATTGTTAGAGGTTGCATTGTCACACAGACCAGTCAGTGGGGGTTGGTGAAAAGTGCACCCAGGAGACTTTTCAGGATATTATCACTCGCTACTGATGTTAGCTGTGGCCGGAATCAAAACCATTGTTCCACCAATCCATCCCCAATAATTCACTGGGATTCATTTGTTACTGTATTTGTTGATGTGAGTGCATGCACACTACTCCGAATTAGTATTTGAGAACTGTGAGTCACTTGAAGTCTTTCGTAACGTACATTGTCACGGGTGGCTACGTACGGTGCAAAAGAAGTTCAACATACATACAAATCGTGCGTATGAGTATTGATATTCAGTGTCGATGCCGCAGGCATAATTGCAAAAGGAAATTACATCAAGTCGGCCAAATTAAAACATTAAACATCCTAACAGTAACGGGGGAAATATCCCAAGCCACCCCAGAAAGGCTGCCTTGTGAAGTAAGTCATTTGCACAGATCACGAGACTTGTAAGGAAGCACTTAACAACGCTCAAACGGAAGACAAAATATTTATAAAAGTGTGTCTTAAATATCTTAGCAGCTTCTATCTCAATGTGTGAAAATTGCAATGAATTTTGTCAGTGTTTGGTGACGAAAAAAGTACTTGTGTCATTCCAAAACAATCAGCCATTCAAGTGTCACGCAATCATAGTTTGGAGATAAAACTCCTTTATTTAAAGTTCCATTGTTTAAAAATGTCATAGTGTTGAATTAGTAACGTTAAAATATTAACAATCAGTAAAATACACTGTTCATCACCACCACCACCACCACCGTACAAGCGTAACTCCATAACTATTGTTAATATTCTTGGTTCTTTCGGTAAAGTCACGTAGAAGGGAAATAATAAAATAAAAAAATTTAACATAATAAAATACAATTCTCACGTTTCGGCCACAACGCACGCAGCCGTCCTCAGGTGAAGAACAGGTTATGTTTTATTTGTATTATTTCCTTACTACGTGACTTTACCGAAAGAACCAAGAAGACGAATCCCTGCAGTCACGAAAGCTTTAAATCGAAACTATTGTTAATTTAACTTGTGTAAGCTTCTGCAGAAACATGCGTGGTCTTCGAGGTTAGGGTGGGTGTTGAACATTTGTTCCCTCAATCTTCCGATTCCCTACGGGATTTATGCAAGAGGAATACGTACATTTCCGTGAGAACATAGAAAGATATGGTTTTAAAAAAACACAGCTACCACCTTTTCCCACCTCCAGCTGGCGTTTCCCACTGCAGAGGCATCTTGCTTTCATCAAATTCTCTCCACCGCGTCTTAAAGTATTTTCTCATATAGCCTTTTAACATATTGTTAGCGAACACATATTAAGGCAGACACAGCACATCATATACACAGGCAAGTTAAATAAGTGTAAAAACACACTTTCTCACACACGCAAATGGACGTTCCCACGAAAAGAAACAGACATAAGTAATTACATATATGCATTCATACACTTGCACAACTAAATACAAAATCACACGTTATTTAAAAAAATACACCACTGACATATACCCGGCTGAACGGACGGAACGATTGCCTCATGGTGGCCATTCTTCTTCTGTGAACAAGGGCCTGCGTCGATATCTTCAATGTGCCGGCATCGCTTCCCGTGGCTGTTCCTGCAAGTTTCTTAATAATATTCACTTGCACAGGGACTTAATGCAACGCTAGCCATGCGACATCAAAATTGTTTTCCTGGCTGCCGATTGGCTGGTGTGTCGGGAGTGGTGACGAAATTCACAGCAACCACTGACGTGCGTCCATCGATGCGAACTGGCTGGGACTCGCAGATACTCTGGGTTTGTTGCACGATGCAAATTTTTGGAGCCTAAGCAAAATTCTTGTCTGTACTCAAGGGCCCCTTGATGTCCACTATTGTCGTGTGCTTTTGTCCTGGTGATCCTGTTGGCTCCCAGGACTATGATTGCATAGAAACTGGATGGTCACCACCCACAATAATAATTGGTTGTCCTGGGCCTGGCTGGACCTATCAGGGCACGTGCAGTTGCGCATCTGGAAAGGTCTGAAACGGAATAGCTGCTTTAGAGTTAATTAAAATGTTATGGTATATTTTCAATTCCAGTGGATTATTTTATTAGACAAGAGAAAGTGTTCTGTTATTGCTAGGGCCTCGGCACTGTTAGACTGTACGTTGAGTTAGACCCAACCAGCTATGTTCCACAATGGCTGATTGAATGCAAACCTGGTGTTCCTTGATACATGTTTTGATCTGCAAGTTTGTCCCACGTAGTTTTTAATTCTGTCGATACACACCCTCTACCTGCGGTGCAGGCAGTTGTCCTTACTAGAGGGCAGGAAGTTCAGCATGCCGAAGTGAAATAGATTGGCTACCACTGGGGAAAGCGAGGACTCCCATGGCAGTAATCTCTTATTGTTCGTAAAAGCACTCAATCCCACGTGAAATATTTAGCCTTTAAAGGATAACTCTGCGAGGTCAGGATAGTTCTTGGGTAGTCCTCTTAGCACGAGTCCATTCCTCATGTTGTCTAACACCTGGATGGGGACTTTGGTTAACACACACATCACAGCTCAACAATAACGCTCCTGTAACGATACTTCTGTAGTATTATTGTGGATTGTGCAGTTCTTCACATGTGATAGTGTCTTGACAATGAAGGGCTATATCCCTCTTGCCAAGTACTGAGCCAATGGGTGCTTACAATGAGCTGCAATGGAACACGCAGTGGCCATCGGCAACAAACGCTGTTGGAGATCTGGAGGCCGTTGATGACCCCATAACTAAGGGTCCTGGTTTCCTTCTGAAATTAGTTGGTTGGGGTCACTCCTTTTTTATTTACTCTTCGTCTGATCAAGCCACTCCTCAATCTTGTTAAAATGACAGATGTAAAATCTTGACTTAATGCTTTTGTGACTGCAGGGATTCATTATTTTTCGGGTCTTTCGGTAAAGACCCAAAGAATATGAAAGCTGTAGTTTGCCTATTCCTAAAATGCGGCCAGGAGGGTTTGTCCATCAGTTCACAGCATTGGCCACAAACTCCTTGCGGTAATTCCTAACCGTCGGGGGGCAGACGTAAACACGAAGAATCAAGACAAGCGCACACACACACACCTCACTGCTGTGAGTCATTTCCGACATGCATGCGCTCGTGAACTTTCAAGTGATGGCTACGCATAAAACTGCTGGAGCACACCTTGCACTGGTACGGCCGGAAGCCAGTGTGGGTGCGCTCGTGCACCTGCAAGTGGTGGCTACGCAAGAAGCTGCTGTCGCACATCTTGCACCGGTAGGGCCTCTCGCCCGTGTGCGAGCGCTCGTGTGCCTTCAGCATCCCCGTCCGTGAAAAACTATGATTGCAAATCTTGCACTGGAACGGCCTCTGGCCCGTGTGCATGCGCTGGTGCGCCTTCAAGTGGTGGCTACGTGAGAAGCTGCGGGTGCACGTCGTGCACAGGTAGGGCTTCTCGCCTGTGTGCGTGCGCATGTGCGTCTTCAAGTGGCACGACTGCACGAAGGACTGATCACACGTCTTACAGCGGTACGGTTTCTCGCCCGTGTGTATGCGTTGATGTTCAACCAGGTGCGAGTTCCACGTGAAGCTCTTGTTGCACACGGAGCACTGGTAAGGCTTCTTTTCCGCGCCGCTGTTAACGTTTGCTGTTAAAAAAACGGGAGGGCTTGTGTTTTTACTGAAAGGCTGCTGCTGCTGTTGCTCTAATGGTGTGTTGTCTTCAAAAATGTTTTGCCCATCATTTGGTAGACGGTCATTGATGCTCAGAGCCTCCACTCTCTCAGGAATGTGCTCTGTTGCCTTGATAAATCTGGTCACATGCACAGTGCTCTTGTCTTCAACTTCAGCGTGGCTCTCTGTCTGCTCCTCAATCTGTGAAACTTTCACAACGTTCATGACGTCCAATCCCACCTCTTTACACAAGAATGCATCTTCGATGATGAATCCGGAGTGACCTTCACTGTTGTCTCTACCTACACAGAAAACAACAATGAAACCAACTTTACACAATTTTAACTTATTAAATCCGACGCCAAAGCACAGCTACAGGCTCACGAACAGTTTAGCATCACAATAACACGTCGTCAATTTGGCAACGGCATCCATGAACTCTATCTTGAGGATGCAGCTTCAGCATTGGTGGCGGCTCACGCCTGTAATCCAGCACTGCAGAGGCAAGGGTTAGTGGATCACAGACATGTTTATCAAACTCCCTTCCCATGGATGTCGAGGTGCCATGCCCTGGCTTGCCAAAAGTATACGTGGAATCCATCCGCTCCAACGGTATGGGATAGAGTGTTGTCCCCTCACAAGTGTCGTTTTTTTATCTGGGTGCTCCTGGTTTTCCTTCCACATGTTCACTCTTATGAAATGGTTGATAACATCTTAATAAATAGACCGCACAGCTTGGGCCATGGTTGGCAACAGCTCACCAGCTGGCTGCCTTCCTGTTTGTTTGTGGTTCCTTGCACCTCAGGGTCGTCTCTCATCGACCAGGAGAAACTGTGCACAACTGCAAGTTGGAATTATTATTACAACCTAAGGCATGCAGTGTGTCAGTTGGTAATTGTTTCCAGGCTTGTGTAATATTCGTGTAGACCAGGGGTCGGCAACCTACGGCTCCGGAGCCGCATGCGGCTCTTTACAGGCTGCTTCTTGACGATATGTACGTATGTACTCAGATGCATTGCGGCTCTTGAAATACTGAATTTTGTACCGAATTGGAAATAAATGGCTCTTCTTGTTATTTTGGTTGCCGACCCCTGGTGTAGACCATAGAGCATTTTCGACAGGTTTACACATTATAAACGGAATTGTTGTGTTACCTTTATCAACCTCTGATTTTACTGGAAAAAATGTATGGTGGGGCTCCATGTCGTCCTTGTCTGGAGATGAGTTCTCTCCACCCTCATCTGGTCAAAACCACAAACACTCCGTCAAGGCAAAATTCTCAATCAAATATTGGAACACTATAGATTTAAAGGGTTGCTTAATCTAGTGTATTTTAACCAGCAGAGGTCACATTTATCATGCAATTTTTTGTTATATGAATAAACATTGGAAGTGCAATAATTGACAATCATGCATTTTAAAGTTTGTACAACTTAGGAGCTTCGTCAAAGGAAAGCATCTTACCATTTACTGCGTAATCATTCATTTCATGAATCTCATTGTCTAAAGGTGTTTCAGCCCCGGTGGCTGAAGGGGAACCAACAGCGCATGTTCCATTTTTGTCCATGTCTCCCAGCTTCTGTGCGGACAACAGCAGCTCGCGGCTCAAGCCACTGAACAGCGCGAGCAGCACGTCCACCAGGCCTCCCAGCGTCACATCACCAGGGGAGGAAGCAGCGTCGTCCCAGCGCGGCGTCCCAGCGTCGTGGGGCTCGGCACCCTGCAGGGCCTTCACCACCTGCCGCAGCACAGCGTAGAAGCCGAAGGGCAGGCGGTCGCGCGCCGTGGCCAGCAGCTCGGCCCGCACGAGGCCGTCCCCGACGCAGGCGCGCAGGACCCCGTAGTCCCGGATGCCCAGCTCCGAGTCCATGGCCCGGGCCACCTCCGCATTCACGCCTTGCGCCTCCAGCCACGCCGGGAAGTCCCCGCTCGGCTCCAGCAATGGGGTGGCCACTGCACACGCCATCCTGATGGGGTGTACAAGACCTTTGTTGGCCATAGCCCTAAATATCCTTTGCACTTTGGTGCATCTTAGGTAAGAAACATATTTTATAGCTCTAAAGCTTAAATTTATTCTGGAATGTATTTGCAATGTGAATACCATCATTTTACAATTGATACATTCATTTAAGCCTGAAGTCCCATTATTGAAAAGGTGTTTTATGCTATGTTCACAGTGGTGCATAAACACAAATAATACTTTCGTCAATAACATTGCCCTAAAAGAAAAATATTTTGTAAAAGGCGACAATTTGAGCAATAACCTTCGTGAAACGTGCTGTGAAGAACATTCGCTGTTCTTATGTAGTTTCCTTGTAGGGCAATCTTATAGTTTAATGTGTTGTTTTTATTATTGCATGGGGTCGGCCTCTCCATAATTTGATTATTTTGATTGGATTTTCCTTTAAGCTCAGTTGGACATCCCTGATGTCATATCCACTATTGTTGTTAATACGGGCTATGTAAATCATACCATATGGCTTCCTCCCCTGCCCCATCTACATTGCGGTTGGATCTTCTATGCTTTTGTGCCAACAAGTTCACCTCCAGCAGGTGCACTGAACCGTTTTAGTTTAAATCAGGACATTTATTTATACTGGAGGAATCCAATGAGCTATAAAGCTCTTTTTCACAGATGTCCAGTAAGGGCAGGTCAGAACGTTACAACAAACAATGCATAAATACGATAGGTGTGCAAGGTATAGCAAAGGAAAACAAATTACTTCAAAAAATATCAAAATAAAACTAAAGATATGTTTTTTAAAATCTAATAGCTTAGTGTTAAAGCCCACTGAGCTATTAGCTTCTTTTTCAGAAGTGACCAGGCCACAAATATCACGTGGAAATTTATAGCAGCAAAATCTAATCGCATGTTTCTTGATGAAGACGCCTTTGGACAAATGTCAGAGCTAAACACTGCACGACTGCTCCCACTGTCATTACCGTAATTTTGCTGTATCATTCATAGTACAGTGCGATTATAATCACTCCTCGACCGCGACACCCAAGCGATGTTTATATTATCCCACTCAAGGAGGGAACACGCCTCGTGGTTGATCGCACCTTGAAGTGGCCGCTCAATACAACTTCAGGCTGTCAGCTGAAGACCGTATCCTGAGCTTAAGCTCAGTATTGAGCATCAGAGTGAATCTTTGCCATGCATGGTGGCGCAACGGTTAGCGCGCTGCGCTACGGACCCGGCGACCTGAGTTCGATTCCCGCTCACGGGCCACCAACACCAGTGACGATTATCTGAACTGGTCCTGGGCCACCCCTAGGTTGACTCGGCCTCGAGTAAGTACCATGGTGCGTGGTGCTGGCCACCCACCCCCTCGCGTGTCGTGCCATTCCTTCATAGGTGCTTGCTAACAACACTTTCCCAAAAAGTCTGTTAAGGCTACACGGGGATCTTTGTATAATAACATTCATTTTAAAAAGCCAGCCATTCTCAACACACAGCATCAGTCATGGTAATTTTTTTTCTTTTACCACACTTTACCACACACTAATCAGCGCAAGTTGAAGGATGGAACGGCATGACCGGTACAGCTATCACTTGCGACTGATTGTTAGCTGGTAATCGAACTCAGGTAAATGGCTTCGTAGAGCTCCAACCACCACCGTTTGAAAATAATAATAAAAATTTAGCCATTCATAATTTACTGTTGAATGAATGCCCTCTCTGGATGCACAGCGACAAACTGCGATATCGCTTCACCGATTGCACTGAACGCAATCGTGTATTTGTCTCTAGCACAGCGCGGTAACAACTGCACCACCGCTCCTCGCTAAGAAATGTTTAATCCCCCCCAAATTGGGAGGGTCACGCACGTGTAAGGGTCACGCAAGGATGGGCCGGCAGGGTTCAATTTGGGATAAAAAGCGGGAAAGCAGGAGGACGTGGTGGAGGACTGGTTCGGGGTGGCAGAGGAGGGAAGGTGTAGATAAACGAAACTATACATATTTATTTTGACCAGGTAAGGCCCCCTCCACTAAGCGATGAAGCTCTGTTTTAGAAGCTACACGGCCATCACAAATGATAGCTCAACGAGTTGGCTTATCGTCACGTGGACATTTATAGCGGTAGCCAAATAGTACACTCAAAGTATGTTCCTAGATGTGGGGGGGGGGAAACCACGGAGGACCCGGAGAACAACATCCACGCGACCACGGGGAGAGAGAGAGAGAGACACGCAAACTCCAAATATACAACAGCAGGCGTCAGGGTCGGGATCGAACCCACGACCTCCTGTATACCAGGCGAGGTAGTTAACATCCCCTAGCCACCGTAGTGATGATGATGAGAGACACCGCAAACTCCACATATACAGCAGCAGCAGGCGTCAGGGTCAGGATCGAACCCACGAATCTCCTGTAAACCAGACGAGGCATTTAACGTCTCCTAGCCACGGCGGTGCACATGAGAAGATGCGGATGAACCAGACGGAATATTTTAGGATGGAGGAAGGAAACGGGGGGGGGGGGGGGTGTGTGGTTGAGAGTGGCGCTAAAGCTTCCTATGGAACAATAACGTAGCTTCTTCACCTTACCGGGACGACTCGCGTGGACTTTACTTTAAACGGGCAAACAACTGGCTGACACACAAAAGAAACAACTGCGGAAAACCAAACAAACACGCGGCACACAAATACATTGGCGTACGAGCGATTTCCCATTTTTTTTTTTAAACATTAAAACTTTCAAAGCACAACTCGCTTCAAGACTTACGGTAATCGCGACGACAACCTCTTTGTGTGTCTTTTTTTTTTAAACCGCGAGGACTTTAAGACCGGATTCCCCGGAATTAAACGCGATCGGCGGCAGGCTGCGGGGGGTGCTGACGAACACGTGTTTCCGCAACGCGCTGCAGTCAGGGGGGAGGGACCGCGGCGATTTGCAAAAAAATTGCAAGCGCGGTTTCAAATGTTGGTGCGGGATAACGACGTTTCGGGACTTTACCGAAAGAAGTAAAGAGTATGGATCTCTGTAGTCACGAAAACTTCAAATCTAGATTGTTCTTGCGGGGTTTTAAAAAAAAATGTTAACTCGAGCCAATCACTAATTCATAAGAATGTTTTTGTTTGGTTTAGATCGCGTAAATATGTGTCGTTAAAGCCGACGCCACCCGACACAGTCAATCAGTAAAGGGGGTTGTCACGTAAACAGAACGTGGCCAATTCGTTACTATTGTATACCAAAGAGTATGGATTCCTGCAGTTACGAAAGCTTCAAATCAAGGGTGACACCTGTCGGCCAGGAGTGGTAATTACGGTCGTAGCTGCATTACATAATGTCTTATTATAAAGGGGGCGTATCTGGGGTAAAGGTAGAAGGCGGAGTCAGTCGAGAAGCTCCGGGAACCAGCTAGAAGGTTCTGGAAAGGGGGCGTGGAAAGAGGTGGAGCTTGGCCGCGCCGGGACAGATATAAGGGGGACCGACCAGAGGTTCGTGGCTGTTACGGGTTTTGGCTGCGTCGATGTTTGTCGTCATCTTTTCGTCATCTCTTTGTCTCCGACCATGTGGCTGATCTTCTGAAGACTCACTCCGTCGCCTATGTGTAGCTGCGTTACACAATGTATCGCCCAGTGTGTTCTTAATAAATAAGAAGCCTTCTTCTACTCGACGTGTCTGAGAAGTCGCTCAATACACTAGTATAGCAGCACCGGTTGTGTGTTGGAGAGTAAACTCACAACAACTACTTTTCGAGTACGACGTTTCGCCAGTAATTACAACTCGCATCATCAGGAAATCTAAATGTGTCGTTAAACCCGTCACCACCCGACACAGCCAATTAGTAAAGTTTGTCACGTAAACAGAACGTAGCCAATTCGTTACTCATACAGCACACCGATGTGTTGGAGAACAAATCCATAACATTTACAATCTGAGTACGACATTTCGCCAATAATTACAACTAGCTTCATCAGGCGGACAACCATCATGCTGGACAGTCAAATCTGGCCAATTAGTAAGGGGTTTGTCACGTAAACAGAACGTGGTCAATTCGTTACTAGTACAGCACACCAGTTGTGTGTTGGAGTGTAAACCCACAACATTTACAATCTGAGCACTCGGGTGTGTTGGAGAGCAAACCCACATTTACAATCCGAGTACGACATTTCTCTGGTACTTACAACGAGCATCATCAGGCGGACAGCAAGATTGGTTTAACGACACATTTATATTTACGCGATCTCACCCCAAAAAAACCCATATATTATGGACAATTGAAAGCCTGTAAATGTTGTTGCGGGTTTTACTCTCCAACACACAACCGGTTAGTGCTGTACTAGCAATCGAATTGGCGTGTTCTGTTTACGTGACAAACCCCTTACTAATTGGCCGTGTCGGGATTGGGTGGCCAGCAACCACGCCCGGCCGCCTTTGTCTCCCCCAGTGACGATATTTGCTACACACCGCACTAGGTGCTCATTTGAGGCTGAGTCGACATACGGGGGAGGCCCAGGTCCTGGGGGAATCGAACCCGGATTACTGGGTTCGTAGCACAGCGTGCTAAACTGCTACACTACCGCTCCCCACTGACAAGAAGATACATATATACACACAGTAACAAGGCGACGTTTCGGGAAATGGCCCTTCATAGCACATAGAGAGGGCCAATAGGTATTGCTGTATAGTGGATAAGAAGAAAGACCCAAAGAGTATGAATAAGACGAGTTGAAGGATGTACTGGGATGCTTTGGCCAAGAAGAGTTGCATTGTATGTTTTGTATGTACCATGTTGAACTTCTCTCGCACCGTACGTAGCAAATTGTGATAATCGGAGGTGCGGGGAGCAGGGGGTGACAAGAAACCGAAGACAAAAAAGCAATTATCAAGAAATGAGTTATCCATGTAGATGACTTAAAAGTGCACCGGGTCTTCCAAATTGCTTTGGCGATGCGTGGAAATCGGATAACCGAGGCACAAGCATTGTTTTCCTAAAGCGGTTGTTGTGGTGATCATAATTATTATTTTCAATTAAACTTTTTTTTAAAGCGAGGCCCCCTGTGAGATCCCCCCCCACAAGTGTCAACCACGGCGATCACGAGGATTTGCTTCTGCATCGAGGTCTATAATAAGGTAGGCACTGATAAGGGGTTGACAGGTAGGTATGCTATACACTACATTATTATACGTTACACTACTATACATTATGGTACGCTACACTACACTACTATACACTATACACTACATGATTCCATACCCGTCAACCCATACGGTTTACCAGTATTCTTTTACAGGATAAATTTAGTTTTCAGGTTCATACGGCGTACAGCCGTTTCAATACGGGACATTTGTATTTGTGTTTCTCCCTTGTGATGGGACTTTGTAGGATGAACGTTGAGAAAAATCCACGCGACCACTGGGATAGAAAGAGACACCACAAAGTCCAAATATACAGCAGCAGGCATCGTCAGGGTCGGCATTGAACCCACCACTCCTTCATACCAGGCGAGGTAGTTAACATCTACTAGCCAAAGTCCAAATATACAGCAGGCATCGTCGGAGTCAGCATGGACCCCACGACCTCCTACACACCAGACGAGGTAGTCAACATCTCGCAACTGTGATGATGATGAGAGAGAGGGAGACACCGCAAACTCCAAATATACAGCAGCAGACATCATCAGGGTCAGGGATCGGCCCTACGACCTCCTGCACACCAGGCGAGGTAGTCAACATCTCCTAGCCACCACTACTGCTGCCCACCACGTTTCAGTTTCATTTATTTGGTATAGCCCTGTGAACCATTTGGCTCCTGAATCGGGTGCAACAGCAACAAGCAAAAACATGAACAAGAAAACATCTTAAAGTGACTATGCGCAAACAGAAAAATCCAGGAAAAAACAGCAAAATTTTCCTTGAAAAGCACCGTACACCAACGCTGTGTGCAAAAATCCCAGTGGGATGAAAGTCAAACATCAACAACCACAAGACAACTTAGATTAAAGCCATCAGTCTAACTCCGTGCTACAACAAACATGGCCAAACCAAAAAACGTAGCACCCCACCCCCTCCTCCGCCCCAACAGCAGCCCTGTAGCAACCCGAGGTACACTGGTGGGGTCACCCATCCCAGGCACGACCCAGGCCCTTGAAGGAACCCCGCAGCTTCACAGCTTTTGGCGGAAATTTCTCGCGAGGCTTTTAAATCCCAACCCCCACCCCCGCAACACGGAGTTGTTCGCGGACCCTAAGTGACGAATCTCGCGCGAGAGAGAAAGAGGGGACAGGGTTTTGTCCACCCTGTTCGTAGAGTCCTGGACATTTGTTAATTTTTATTTTGTAACATTTTTTATTTTATTTTTTTATTTGTTGTTTAATTCTTCTTCTTCTTTTAAGAATCCGACAAAGTCTAAAAAAAACCGACCCGAACCCAACAGAACCCATCAACGCGGAGTCCCCTGGACACGCCACACAAAAGCGCGGTGAGGTTTACCTGTAACAGTACTCGCATACAATTGTTATTGTGTTTTTAAAAATATTAATCTTTAACAGTCAAAAGTGTTCAATATGTGTTTTTTTGGGATCGTTTTATTCGTGATACATCCTCGCTCGCTCTCTCTTAATTTGTGTTGTATCGTTGCTTCTGCGCTACAACACAGCCAAAGAGAGCGATCTAAACTAAACCGTTGTTGTTATTGTACCACGTGTAAGGCCCCACTGAGCTACAATAGCTTCTTGTTTTTATATAAGCGACCTGGCCATCACAAACGATAGCTTGACGAAGTGGGATCATCATCGTCGTCGTGTGGATATGTGAGAGCAAGCCAGATGCTCTAAACGCCTCGTGTTGATTATAAACGCCTCGTGTTGATTATAAACGCCTCGTGTTGATTATAAACGTGGAGGGGAAACAACAATCCACGCGACCACGGGGAGTGAGAGAAAGAGAGACACAAAGTGCAAATATAAAACAGGCGTCAGGGTCGGGATTGAACCCACGACCTCCTGTACACCAGGCGAGGTAGTTAACATCTCCTAGCCACCGTGATGATGATGAGAGAGACACACAAACTCAAAATATACAGCAGCAGGCGTCCTGTATACCAGGCAAGTTGGTGAACATCTCCTAGCCACCGTGATGATGATGATGAGAGAGACACACAAACTCAAAATATACAGCAGCAGGCGTCCTGTGTACCAGGCAAGTTGGTGAACATCTCATAGCAACCGTGATGATGATGAGAGAGAGAGACACAAACTCAAAATGTACAGCAGCAGGCGTCAGGATCGGGATCGAACCCACGACCTCCTGTACACCAGGCGAGATAGTTAACATCTCCTAGCCACCGTGATGATGATGAGAGAGAGAGAGACACGCAAACTCCAAATATACAGCAGCAGCAGGCGTCAGGATCAGGATCAACCCCACGACCTCCTGTACACCAGGCGAGGTAGTTAACATCTCCTAGCCACCGTGATGATGATGAGAGACACACAAACTCAAAATATACAGCAGCAGGCGTCAGGATCGGGATCGAACCCACGACCTCCTGTACACCAGGCGAGGTAGTTAACATCTCGAAGACCACGTGGCGCCCCGATGGAGACCAGCAGCGCGCTCTGGGTCGTAAACAAAACGGATCCTCCCCACACCGTGACCTGCGTTTTGATGAATATTAATTCATCAATTATAATTGATGCATAATTATACGTGGTATTCGAGATGATTATTCATATGTATAATCATGCATAAATACTTTTTCATAAATTATAATTGATGAACCATTATTCATCAATTATAATCGATGCATAATTATTCATCAATTCTAATTGCTGCATAATTATACGTGGTCTTGGATATTATTAATCAATTATAATGTATGTATAATTACGCATAATTATATGAATACTTTTTCATATATTATAATTGATGAATAATTATTCATCAAATATAATTGGTGGTGTTGGGGGGGTTGGGCCGGCCCCCTCTTTGAATTCTGCTCCCTCGCCCCCAGCCAGCAGCGTAGTAACGACGACAATAACAGTTCAGGGGGGCAGTCGATCAGGTGCCCCCCCCCCCCCCCCAATATTTTATTTGTCTCGCACGGCCGCCAAACGTATGACGTAAATGACGGCATTTTGATTACAAAAATAATGTAGTTTAAACTGCGTTATAAATCATTCGTTTTGTTCTTTTACACTGTTGTTGAAAACGTGGTGGTTATCAAGGGGGGCCCGAACTCGTAGCTTTGGCCACCAGAGGGGGGGGCAAGGCACCCCCCTGCCCCCACGCTGGTTACGCGACTCCACCCAGCCCAAAGAACCTTCAGGAACCATTGGGCATCCCTGCTTGCACAAATACTTGCACTTTGTGTGTGGCGGTTAAGTAAGGTTGATATGTTTCACACGGTCAGATAATGTAATGTTGCACTGTTTTTGCTTAAATGTAACGCAGTTGAACACATAGGCTTTCGCAACCAATATCCATAATATAGGGGGGGGGGGGTTGGGTTAGATCGCGTAAAAATGTCAACGTGTCGTTAAACCCGCCACCACCCGAAACAGCCAATTAGTAAGGTTTGTCACGTAAACAGAACATGGCAATTCGTTACTAGTACAGCAACACCGGTGTGTTGGAGAGCAAATTAACAACATTTACAATCTGAGTACGACATTTCGCCAGTAATTACTGAAGTAATACATAAGTAAACTATAACATTCTCATCACTTTATCTCTCATCACATTCTCTCTCATCACTTTCTTTCTCTCGATGCAGTCGTGTAGCGGTACAGATGCGATTCGCGGATATCCACGAATAACGAGGGAACATTGTATGGTAAAAAACAATATTCCGGTGACCTCTTGGCACTTCGCTGCTCCTGACGCGGTTGTCCGGCTTGACCACCTGAATGTGAATTCGTAGTCGTTGCTCTCTGCATCTACATCAGCAGCCATACAGAAGAAGAAGCCTTCCTGGCAGAAACTCTTCCTCAACTGGCGACGTGACGCTGGGAGGAGACCTCTCGTGGACGTTCTGCTCCGCGGTGTTTGCCGGCTTTGGCTGAGAGCTGCTGCTGCTGCTGTCCGCGCAGGGACTGGGGAGCGATGGACGGTTCGGCGATGTGCGCCGAGACCTCTGCTCTTCCCCTGACTCGGGACAGTCTTAATAAGGCTATTAAAGTGGAAAAGGAAGAGTTCCTGGAGAGTGGTAATAATATAAACAAGTGAACACGTGCAGTCAACTTAAGACGTACATAACACATGATGTGATTGCTAAGTACTTGCATGGTGTTTGTGGTTTTCCCCAGATGCTTCTTCGGCCAAGACCAGCTTCATCCCTTTCCTGACCGGTTATAGGATTAAAACCGAAGTTTGCGATGGTGAGCGTCTCATCAACATGTTAAACGCACGCTTCTGTTGCACTCTACATCAGCAGTCGTGTTTCCAGCTACTTTATAGTGATAAGTGATAATTGGGGTGCTGCTGTGGCGAGAAGTTAACTACCGCACCTGGTATACAGGAGGTCGTGAGTTCGATCTCGACGATGACCCCTGTATATTTTGAGTTTGAATTTTCTCCCTGTGGTCGCATGGATTTTTCTCTGGGTCCTCTGATTTTTACCCTCCACATTGAGAATATTTGGCTGCAATACATTTCCACAAGATAAGACACTTCGTTAAGCTATCATTTGTGGCCAGGTCACTCCTCAAAAAGAGCTGTATAGCTCAGTGGGCCTTACCTGGTAAAAAAAACAATAGTTTAGTTTTTTAATTAGCATTTACAGATATTATTGCTCAACTAGAATATGGCTGTAAAAATTTGCAGACTTTGTTCCCTCCCCTCCCCAAATAACTCCCATTTGTACCCTCCCACAGACTTAAACGTAGAAATACATGTATAAATACAAGCTCAAATGCACAAAGACAAAGATCCCCCGTATAGCCTTTAACAGACTGTTGGGGCAAGTGCTGTTAGCGAGCACCTATGAAGGCCGGCACGGCACACAAGGGAGTGGGTGGCCAGCACCATGCCCGGCTGCCTTTGTCTCCATAGTGGCGAAATTTACACACCGCACGAGGTACTCATTTGAGGCTGAGTCGGCCTAGGAGAGGCCCAGGACCGGTTCAGATAACCGTCACTGGTGTTGGCCATGAGCAGGAATTAAACTCGTGTCGCTGGGTTTGTAGCGCAGCGCGCTAACCACTGCGCCACCGCTCCCAAATGCATACACATATACATAGACATATATAATATACTTGCATAAGGATGAGCGGACTGCTGTATAAACTTGGTGACCTGAGTTTTAATTTCTAAATACCACTCAGTGGCAGGTGATGTCTGAGCTGGTACTGCCCCCCCTTCACCAACTCACACTTATCAGAGCAATGAGGTATGATCATATAACCCCAATTACTACCACAGTTTGGAGAGGCCTTCATCCAGCAGTGGATTGATAAAGGGCTGTAATTTAATATTATTAATAGGAAGTAATGAATATTAATACATACTGTATATTCATCAGTAGGCAGCTGAATAATGATGATTAGGAAGCCAATGGAGTTATGCACTTTTTAATCTAGATCGAAAACTAATTTGTTTAGAACTGCTCTTTGTGTTTAGCTTCTTGTCGTTCACCCGCATCTCTGTTTAGCACGGTTGGCTGCGTACGGTGCAAAAGAAATTCAACATATATGCGGCTTCACAGTCTTTTGTTTGGTCATGTTCTACTTTAGATGGAGAAGACTTGGAGAAAAATGTAGATTTCGTCATCGAATTCGTGACCTCATTGGCCCACGAGGCACGAGAGACCTCACATGCTCCCAAAGCCGGCACGTCAAAGTTGCTGCAGCGTGGAGCATCTGACGCGGTGAAACGTGAAAAAGCAGATGTCGGTTCCAGCACTCGCCGCATGTCTCTAGCATGCACAGTGGGAAGATCGATTTGGATGAGTGCCGTGCGCCAGAATGCGGTGCGGCAAAGGAAATGTAACTTGGCGCTCAAAGAGATTGGACTGCGCTGCGCCAAACCGTACAGCGTGAAGCTCACCAGGGATGTCTTTAAGAAGCATAAAGCGCTAGGCAAGAGAGCTTATCACTGCGAACGGTGCGGACGAGGCTTTTTACAAAACGGTGCCTTTAAGCGCCATCGACGTATGCACACGAAAGGAAATCTGTATGGCTGTGACTTTAATGAGCGCATGTTCAGGATCTACGGGAGTCTGAGTTACTATTGGAAAAGAGACAAGGGCGGAATGTGGTATCTTTGCAAGGGCTACGGCAAAGCCTACTTGCGCACAAACCAGCTGGGATATCACCAGGGTACACAGAGCAGTGAGAAATCATTTGGGACTTTTAAGCAGTCAAAATCCTCGCTTTTCACCCAACTTAAGAACGAGCAGCGAATACACAGAGGGGAGAATTGCCACCGCTGCGAAAAGTGTGGTGAAACGTTCTCAAAAGTCACAAAACTTAACGGCCATCAGTGCATACACAGGCAAGAAACGCCCCATTGCTGCAAGGTGTGTAACAAAGTATTCTCGCTTGCCAAGCATCTGAACAATCATCAGCACATACACATGAGAGATAAGCCTTTTATTTGCAAAGAGTGTGGAAAAGCCTTCTCACAAGTAACCCAGCTCAATAATCACTGGCGCATTCACACTGGGGAGAAACCCTTTCACTGCAAGATGTGTGACAAAGCCTTTTCGCAGGTCACCAATCTTAACAATCACTATCGCACGCACACGGGGGAAAAGCCCTACCGGTGCCAGATATGCGGAAAAGCCTTCACACAAGTGACAAATCTGAACAATCACTACCGCACACACACAGGAGAAAAACCTTTTCGATGCAAGATGTGTGACAAGGCCTTTTCGCAGGTTGCTAATCTTAACAGTCACCAGCGCATACACCACCCAAAGTAGTAGCCTTTTCAGAGAAAGATGTGCTACATTGCTTTTTCCACACCGTAGTAATGTTAAGTGTTCACAGCATTAGAATTACCGTGTTATAATTCTCCAAAAATTATTTGCTGTAAACTTAACACTTTTTGTGCTGTGACTGAAAATTAAAATTGCTTAGCATACTGACATGTTGACAGCATTTGGGGGAAATTGAGTTTGTAACCAAGTGGTACCCCAGAAGTCAGAGGGCTAAGCTGGCCTCGCTGAGTTTCTGGATTCTCAAGATTCTCAAGTGTATCGATTTCATGGTCTCAACATAGAGACTAATGACTAGGTGCCACGGTGGCGAGATATTAACTACCTTGCCTGTTGTACAGGAGATCGTGGTTTCGATCCCGACCTTGACGCCTGTGGATTTTAATCCGGGTCCTCTGGGTTTTCCCTCCAAGTTTAGAAACATGCATTTTAAGTATTTGTCTGCTATAAATACCCACTTGATAAGCCACTTAGTTGAGCTATTATTTGTGGCCAGGCCGTTTCTGAAAAAAAGAGCTATTATAGCTCAATGGGCCTTGTTTGATAAAATAAAAAATAGATAGGTTTAGACTGCACACACACCCCCAGCACCTCTGATGAGCACGCTTGGCTACGTACGGTGCGAAAGCAGGTTAACATACATACACCATCACATTACGTTTGGTTCTGCACGTAATGTGACTCAAACTCTAGCTCTGAGAAGGAACACATCCTGTGTGTAATCGTTTTAGCCCAGCCCAGGGGTAAAGCGATGCCCACATCCGTGATCTGTTCTCGAACATCAATCGTTGCAACTGCTTTGCTTGAGATGCGAATTCTGTGGAAATGCTTCACACTCTTTTCAGGTAACAGCGTTACATTTGCATGAATCGTAAATCAGAACCGGTTAATCCGTGTGTGTATGTTTAACATGTGTCGCACCGTACGAAGCCAACCGTGCTTATAGTTAAATGCATCAAGCAGTGGTTATTAACCTTTACTCCAGCCTTCACTCCTTCGCTTCTCAATCGTAAAAAAACAATTACAATGTGAATAAGTACCTAGGTTTGATGAAACTAAGTAGTTGTACTTACGTGCCCGTGATTAATTTGCGTCTTTGATGATTTACTTTCTAAAAAGATCTGGCCATGACTCACACCCCCAGAAAAGGCCATGTCGCACCCCATGGGGTGCCTACATCCCAGGTTAAGAACCGCTGGCCTAGAAATAACCTTAAAAAACACATTTGCACAAACATTTGCATTCCTAGCATGTACTGTATATATATATGTGTGCTTTGGCTTAAAAAAAATATCTTCCCATTTTGTAGCTTATCCAGGTTAACGGCGGAGGAGGTGGCCTATGTGTTCTAATATTTTTTTTTCCAGCGCGGTTAATACACAACCCAGATATTTGAGTTCACTCTATGAACCTTATGGCGGGACCCCGGGGTCCCGAATAAACGAAAGTCAAAATCGTAATTAATCAATGGATTTTTGGCGACTCCGTCCCACCGCCCAACATAAACGCCGCGACCCACCTGGCGCGGATCATTCTGTTATGTCATGTCGTGTCCAAGCAGCAGCAGCAGCGAGGACGAATGCGCACAAGAGCTGAACAAGCGAATGCACTCAATGCTCGGGTATGGGCAGGATCACAAGTCTTATCCAAAGCTTCTCAAACTTAAGTCCTTTATTTGTCATCACGGTATGCATAATACAGTGAAACTGCTCTCTTACCTTTATTATTTGTGACCTACCAATGTCTCCAGCCAGGATCAATCGATGACAATCCTCTTACCTGCAGATATTTAACAGATGAGATGCGTTGCACCGTGAATTCCTCCTGTTTGATAATACTTCTCTTGTCCGTATGCATTTGTGCAGATAGGTTTTTTTGCGGTTAAGCTATAGTCCCCATATACCGCTCGTATCAATGCGGATAAGAGGAGTGGCGACCTACTACTCTGTAGAGTAACATTGGTATAAACGCTTGTTACAATATGAACAGCGCATTGAAAACACGTACTATTGTACGTATTTTTACAAAGTGTGTTCACATATCCACACTGAGAAACACGATGATTGACAGAGGGGTGTAAATTATTTTTTCAATAGTGTTTTTAACTAGAGGTACTGCAGGTAAGTAGTTTTCAGTTTTAAGGGCATAGTTTAACAATACAACATTTGCCACCATCCTTCAAACCCATTGGTGAAAAAGAGCAACGTTTTTGTTTACATTTTAATGTTTTATGCGAGATCCGGGGGCTTATGGGTTTTCGGGGTCCCGCCATAAGGTTCCTATATACCCGTGTTACGTATTGTGCATTTACCAGGACAGTGTCTGTGTTTATTTGAGAGGTTTGTTTTCATACTCTTTGGTTCTTTCGGTAAAGTCACGTAGGTATAAAATACATTAAATCACGACGTTTCGATTGCAACACAAGCAATCATCAGGTGGGAAAACCACACAAGAAAATGTTTTGCTGTGAGCTGATGGACAAACCCTCTTGGCTGCATTTTGGGAATAAGCAGGCAACAGCTTTCATATTCTTTGGGTCTTTACCGAAATAACCAAAGAGTATGGATCCCTGCAGTCACGAAAACTTCAAATATAGATTTGTTTTCGTTTAGTAAAAGCATTAATCTAAATATACTTTCCTCTATAATATTCACAATGCGATAGGATGTTAATTTTCGGGATGTGACGAATATTGTGATAACAGTTGTCGCATTTTCACAATTGTATGATTTATTTTAATGTGCTGTACTTCCAGTATAAATAAATATTACTTAAAAGTGCCTGAGCTGCTGTTCTCTGAACATTCACTTTCCATAAATCCTTGCAACTTTACAACCTACAATGCTCACAACTACGAAAATAACGAGGTAATATAATCACCATGGTGTGAATTACTTCGGATAACAATTTGCAAATCACTCATCTAAAGTGAACTATTTGTTCATAAGGATAACTTTGTGGCAGTTGTTTAAAGCAAAGATTTTTTGTCAGAAATAAATACTATATTAAAAAACGAAAAGTTTTCTTGGCTGGATTCCTAGCTGCCTGGCTGGATTTCCCGGCGCGTAAGATACGCAATCATATACCGGTGCCACAGTATACAGGATGAGAAAAAAAATTTGCTCGCTGGCTGGCTGGAGGATGCACAGACAGTCACGTCCAAAAGGATGTGCGGTGTTGTTCGTATACTACATTACGCAAAACGATTATCGGAGGACGTTATTTAGAAGAATCGCTAATATCGCGTCAGCCCGTTGACAGTAAATATTCCCTCGTGGTCAGGAAAAAATATAAACTCTATTCGGAAAAAAAACAATTTGTCTGGATTCCTAGCTGCCTGGCTGGATTTCCCGGCGCGTAGGATACGCAATCATATACCGGTGCCACAGTAAACAGGATGAGAAAAAGTTTTGCTCGCTGGCTGGCTGACTGGAGGATGCACGGACAGCCACGTCCAAAATGACGTGCGGTGTTGCTGGTATACTGCACTTTAAAGGGGGAAAAAACAAGTTGCGACAATCGCAATGCTCTTGTTACGTTATGCAAAACGATTATACGGGTGACGTTACGTTGCAGCATCGCTAATGTCTCGTCAGCACGTTGGCAGTGAACATGCCCTCGTGGTCAAATCCCCACGGTCCCTAACCCCCCGCGGTATTTACCATTAATGTGGGTGGTGGTGTTGGGGGTGTCTCTAGACGGACACACACCGTACACGTGACAGCACGCACGGTCACAATCACAATCTTTCGCATAACATTTAGTGCTCGAATTGTCTGCATTTTTACAGTTTCTTCGTTGTCGTCGTCGTCGTTCACTACGTCTCTTGCTGTAAACGCACCCACCTCCTTCCACCACCCCCACCACGTGCGTCTTCAAGAGGTAATCTCACCCACGCATCGATTTTAACTTCTCTGTCCTCGGCATTAGAGAGCTTAACCACCCTCCCAAAAAAAGCACAAACAGCCACCCATGGAGCCTCCACCGAAGCGACCGAAGACCTACCACTCGAAGTTCTTGCCCCAGTGGACAACTCAGTTCGACTGCATCGTCGCGTCGCGCTTGGGCGAGCAATTCGCCTTCTGCACCGTGTGCCGACGCGACATCAAAGTGGCGGCGTCCGGCGTCTACGACCTCACGGTTCACTTCAGGACGAAGCTGCACAGCGACAACGTGGGACGCGCCGAGAGGACGACGACGAGGAGCGGAGACACGTGGAGGGGGTGCGGGGGGTGGGGTTTATGTTTAAGTTCCATTTGTTTGTGTAAAAAAAAAATCATACATTTCGTTTTTGCGCGTATAAATGCGGTTGAGTGTTGAGCCTCCGATTGGCTGGGTACGGTGCGAAAAAAGTTCAACATACATGTGGGCAGGAGTCGTAAATGCTGTGCTCGTTAAGTGTTGTGCCTCCGATTGGCTAGGTACGGTGCGAAAGAAAGTCAACGTACATACGGGTAGGAGTCCTAACTGCGGTGCTTATTGAGTGTTGAGCCTCCGATTGGCTAAGTACGGTGCGAAAAAAGTTCAACACGTACGGGTAGGTGTCGTAAATGCTGTGTTCGTTAAGTGTTGTGCCTCCGATTGGCTAGGTACGGTGCGAAAGAAGTTCAACATACATGCGGGTAGGAGTCCTAACTGCGGTGCTCAGTGAGTGTTGAGTCTCTGACTGGCTAGGTACGGTGCGAAAGAAGTTCAACAGACACGCGGGTAGGAGTCCTAACTGCGGTGCTTATTGAGTGTTCAGCCTCCGATTGGTTGGGTACGGGGCGAAAGAAAGTCAACATAGGTACGGGTAGGAGTCCTAACTGCGGTACTTATTGAGTATTGAGCCTCCGATTGGCTAGGTACGGTGCGAAAGAAGTTCAACGTACATGTGGGCAGGAGTCGTAAATGCTGTGCTCGTTAAGTGTTGCGCCTCCGATTGGCTAGGTACGGTGCGAAAGAAAGTCAACATAGGTACGGGTAGGAGTCGTAAATGCTGTGCTCGTTTAGCGTTGAGTCTTCGACTGGTTAGGTACGGTGCAAAAGAAGTTCAACAGACATGCGGGTAGGAGTCGTAAATGCGGTGCTCAGTGAGTGTTGCACCTCCGATTGGCTAGGTACGGTGCGAAAGAAGATCAACATAGGTACAAGTAGGAGTCCCGCTGATGTGTGAACACTTTGGGGTTGACATGTATTCGGGACTACATGCTGTCACGTGCTATTAAGATTATATATTCTGTCCTTTTAAGGCTACAGTTGATGAATGTATTTCGGTTTTTGTTTATCTGTCTTGTTGTTCGGTGCATATGTATGTTGAACTTCTTTTGCGCCGTACGTAGCCAAACCGTGTTAATCGGAGGTGTGGGGGAAGGACAACAAACTCAACAAAAAACGCAGTTTTCAATAACTGAGTTTAAAAGTGCAGAGCTCCAGTGGCTTCCTAATATCGGAAGAGCGGTTCCAGATGGTCGCAGAAGCGCATCTGAAAGCGCCGCACGATGCAGTGACCATCTGTGTTTGATGGCCAGCCGAAAAAGAGAGATTCATACAAGAGTTGAGTGTGAGACTAAAAAATTGTCACTTTTATTTTACCCGGTTATAGCCCAGTCAGCTGTTCGCTCTTGTTCAGAGGCGACCTGGCTACACACGATAGCATACCTGTCAACCCTTTATCAGTGCCTACCTTCCATAATAGAGGTTTTTGGGTTAGATCGCGTAAATATATAAATGTGTCGTTAAAACCCGCCACCACCCGACACAGCCAACTAGTGAGGGTTGTCACGTAAACAGAACGTGGCCAATTCGTCACTAGTACAGCACACCGGTGTGTTAGAGAGCCAAGCCACAACATTTACAAACGGAGTACGACGCTTCGCCAGTAATTACAACTAGCTTCATCAGGCGACAGCCAGATTTGTGGAGAAGTCTTCCTGATGACGACCGCTTGTGTTGCGATCGAAATGTCGTAGTTTTTGTGACCCAAAAGACCCAAAGAACATATATTTAAAATGTCAGTCATGCCTCGTGAAGAAACATACAGGTTATCTGCACATCCCATCAGGATGACGGCTACAGTGGACACCCCGGTGCTGGAGCCGAGTGGGGACTTCCCGGCGTGGCTGGAGGCGCAAGGCGTAAATGCGGAGGTGGCCCGGGCCATGGACTCGGAGCTGGGGATCCGAGACTACGGGGTCCTGCGCGCCTGCGTCAGGGACGGCCTCGTGCGGGCCGAGCTTCTGGCCACGGCGCGCGACCGCCTGCCCTTCGGCTTCTACGCCGTGCTGCGGCAGGTGGTGAAGGCCCTGCAGGGTGCCGAGCCCCACGACGCTGAGACGCCGTGCTGGGACGATACCGCTTCCTCCCCTGGCGACGTGATGCTGGGAGGCCTGGTGGATGTGCTGCTCGCGCTGTTCAGCGGCTTGAGCCGGGAGCTGCTTTTGTCCGTGCAGAGGTTGGATGACATGGACAATCGTAAATATGTGGTAGCTTCTGCTTCATCGACAGATGCTGTCAATTCTGATGGCATGGAAATGGAAATGCATCCAAGTGAAGAAAATGGTAAAGCATAACTCTGTCAAATGTGTTTTTACATACATTGAGGTTTATGCATAGACAATTACAGGACCGTTTAACTCATGCCACTTTACATCTTTGGCTTGAAACCTCTTACCATGTTACAATTATTATCCCCATGCTCCCGAGCGCTGGGCGATACACATTCTTCGTGGCAATCTTGATGCAGTGATGGATATTACACATTATAATGGCGTTAGCACCACTTTATATGACAGCCACAGTCATCAGCTTAGTGTTCTCAAATGAGTTTCACCAGCTGCTTGACCACATGATACACTACGTTTTAGTTCTGTCACAGGCCAGATTCAATGCAAGGACTGAATAATGCTTAAAGTTATAGCACACACGATCGACATCTAAGGTTTTATTTCACTTGGTCTTCTGATTTATATAATTGTTGGTAATGCAGGTATTAAGGTAAAACGGTCATTCATTGATCCCAAATATAGTGAAAGAAAAATATTGAGGCAATGACTGCTCACAATGGTAATCTCGTGGTTTTATTTATTTGTCCAGTGAAAGCAAAATTCATGGAGAACCTCATTAAAAGCGAGCCCCCTGAAGGTAAAGTTTTTATCCTTAATTCATGAAGCTTTACGGACCATATTCCACATTTTTCTCCCCATGAATTCAATTGTAAATGTATGCACACGCATCGGCTCTAAACGTTTTGTGTTCGGGTTTGTGTTTGGATGCTATTCAATCACATTTGTGTTTCCCAGATACCACCGCTGATGTTTCCAGTTACGTGCTGCCATCTGAAGAATTGGAACAAGGCTCAGTTGAACGCACTTCAAGTGAGCCTATGTTATATTTGAATTCATGTGTTCGTGGAAAAAAAATGCATTGTTAATTGGCGGCTGGTGACTCAAGATTATAAATCTTCACGAAGAACCAATTGCGCACCTACTGAGGTGCTCCCCATTTGCTATCATGTGATAAGGCATCGTGTGATAAGACTTAGGTACCATTCAGATGTCCGGTACAATAGCAAGGGCGCAATTATGGGGTACGTGGCATTCGTTATGAGACACGTAGGGGCCCAGTCGGCCACAAGGGGGGCCTTGAATAAACGAATTAACAAGTAAAGAAAAATAATCGAAAAAATATTCCTAAAATTAACCATAAATGGCAAAAAACATTGTTACGCGTCAAATACACCATGTAAAATATAGTAGTGCTACTGGTGTTTGTTCCTGAACACCAGGCATTTTTGCTAACTGACATGCGCATGAAAGAAAGACGCGTGATTACTTAATTGTGAGTATTGTGTCCTTACATCTCTTTATTAATACTGTCACTGTGAGTCTGTCTTTTTCTACACCCAATACATGGTGCAACTAAAATAAGATATAGTTATAGCCTACATATTACTGTATACAGGTTAAAAACATCCATATGTATTTCACTAAAAGTGAGTTGGGAGAAAGTAGGGGGCTCACAGTTGTACCTTGCATACGCCCGTTAAAATAGGCAGTTGTGCCCTTTGCACAGTAGCGCAACCTTCACGTTCGTGAATGGCTCACCGAAGTAAACATCATACCTCTCAGATCTCTTAAAGTGACTGTGGTCAATATGCTAATGACAAGTACTTTCACAAGACAGTTGAAGTCAGAGCTGGAAATTAGTTAAATGAAGTTCAGAATCAAATGTAAAATGATGATTTTGTTGCGCAGTCATTAATGATCAGGCTGCCAAACAAATCACTGCACTTTAGAAGCCAGTGTTATACCAGGCAGTTGCCTGCATTCGAATCCAGGATCTCAGCGGTGCCAGCTCATTGCACTGATATTTGAGTCAACCCACCACCTCTAAAAGACTTGTTCTGTTTTAAGAAATTAATTTTATAATGCTGATGATAATAAATATACTGTTTTAAATATAAGACCTTCAGTTAAATATTACACTTTCAGTTATAGAGCCTTGACTTATATCAGTACACAATGCACATTAATTACGTATTGCAAAACAAACTTATATATAAAGTTTACTGGCCGTTCTTAACACGTGACGATGAACTGCCTTGTATTCTCTGAAGGTGATCCTCTCTTGAACTTCCACCCACATCTCATCATCCAAAGAAAAACCCCTCTTCCTGATTCAGGGGAACACCTCACATGTGCAGCTGACAATGAACCACACTCTTTACCACGAGAGGGGTCGGATGGAACACAACAGGAACCATCAGCTGCCATCTCTATTATTAATAGCACATTACACAAACTGGACAACCGACACAGAAGGAGTGTATCAACAGACCAGAAGCAGCCGCCTCCTTTGAGTGAGATTGAGTCACGTGAGTTTGAACTTGATGAAGCTGATCGCGGAGGAAACGCTCAGGCGAAGAACCATGGAGCGAAGCCGCATTGGTGCGAGGTGTGCAAGAGTAGTTTTTCGTCACCTAGCGAACTGGAGGCCCACCTGTGCAGGCACACAGACAAGAAAGTGCATCGTTGCCAGGTGTGCGGGCGCGTCTTCTTGCAGGCCACTGGTCTAAACATCCACCTGCGCACGCATTCGGGCAAGGCGCCATACACCTGCGGCGTGTGTGGTGATGGTTTTTGGCAGTCTAGCGACCTGAAGATCCACTTGTGCAAACACACGGGTGAGAAGCCATACCAGTGCGAGGTGTGTGGGCGCGGCTTTCACCGGGCCTTTGAGCGGAAGGTCCACATGCGCACGCACACGGGCGAGAAGCCGTACGTCTGCCAGGTGTGCGGGCGTTGCTTTTTACGATCGGGCGAGCTGAAGGCGCACACACGCATTCATACCGGCGAGAAGCCGTACGTCTGAAAAGTGTGCGGGCACGAATTTACGAGCTCACATGGCCTGGAGACGCACCTGCGGACGCACACGGGTGAGAAGGCGTACTCTTGCTCGGTGTGCAGGCAGTGCTTCACTCAGCGCTCGCAGTTGAAGAGTCAAGAGTGAGCAAAGCATGGCTTGGGCGAATCCCAAAAAGTTGACTGACACAGTGTTCCACTTACATGGATTACACTGGTCAACAAAAACATTTTTTTTTCTGGCCTGGACTTTTGCAGCTGTTTTAGACTAATTTCAGGGTGCTGATTCCAAATCTGATTTGCTCTATCACATCATTTTTATGCTATCGGCATACCTCATTTTCATTTATTTTACCCGAAATTAACTCTGTCACTTATGATTGCAAGTTGTTGCGAGTCAGTGACTGCTTTAGTGTTAAAATATGGTGCTGTATTTTTAGGATAGTGTGTTTATAATTTCATTTTATGTAGATATCCACATTTATTTAATATTTTTCTTCTGCAGTTTTTTTTATTGAAAATGCAATATTTGATATCTCAAAAACCTGATATGATAGACAAAAACTGATGCCAGATCAGCACCCCAAAATTACCTTAAAACCGTTGGAATACCTTATGCCAGAAAAAGTGTGTTGACCAGTGTTATTGAATGTCTCAAATGTTTACCCTGAAAATAATTAAAAAGCAATACAGACGTGGATAGCTTAACTACTAATTGCACATGAAACCAATACCGTGTTTTCAAAATGTAAAAAAGATGGATATTCCACATTTTTAGTTGGTGCTACTGGTTTGCAGTTTTTAAGAAAGCAGGAATCTGGGAAATGCATGTTGTGATATCCAAATGGTGAAACTAGCAATGAGACTTGAGTCTGACAGAAAAAGGCACAGATTTCTGGAGACATTTCTTTCAACAGAATCAATACAGCACGTGATCCCAAGCTGGTGCCATGTCAGTTGCACTTCAATGTAACCAAAGAAGGAGCAGAACTAATTTTATGAAAAACGAAAATGCTTAACATATGCTCACTCGTATATGCGCCAGAGCCGAGGGCACTGCACATAGACAAATCGCGAGAGTGTACGATCTTTCGTACATATACCTGTTACATGTAACATGGGGGTTTAGTTTCTTGGGATTTATGGAAATAATTCTAGATTTGAAGTTTTCGTGACTGCAAGGGTCCATACTCTTTGTTTTTTTCGGTAAAGTCACGCAGGTAAAAAAGAGAAAATAATTTAAATCACGACGTTTCGGAAGCAACACAAGCAACCGTCATCAGGTGTTGACTGCTCCAGCAAAATTACTGAGGCGTGTGTTTCTCGTAATAACTCTCTTCACACGCCTAAGTAATTTTTCTGGAGCAGTCAACACCTGATGACGGTTGCTTGTGTTGCTTCCGAAACGTCGTGATTTAATTTATTTTCTCTTTTTTTACCTACGTGACTTTTATGGAAATAGTTATTTTTTTTTTATTGTTGGGTGATGAGAGTTAGTGATCATCCCGGCTCTTTAGCATCATAAATTTCGCGTACACATTGCGGATTTAGCTGGGAGGCTCCATTCTAGTGGTTGTGTCCGAAAGTGCAACGGAGTATGCTGAGCAAGAAAGCAAAGTCGGTGTTACGGTACGGGCCTTGGTTATTCACATGAAAAGCTTCTGTCTGGAGCATGAATAAAGTACTGCCACCGTTCATTACTTGCTCACAGAGTTCTCTTGACACGACACGGTGACGAGAAGGAGCAGAACACAACTTAGAGCTCATCTTCTTGGTTCTTTCGGTAAAGTCACGTAGAAGGGAATTCTCACGACGTTTCGGTCACAACACAAGCAGCCGTCCTCAGGTGAAGAAACAGCTGTCGGAAAGACTGCTCCAATGAACACTGCTAAGCTTGGCAGCGTATTTAAGCTCAAGGTTATGTGGAATCCCTCCCCGTAGAGGCGGTTCAATTTCGATTTCAAGCTTTCGTGACTGCAGGGATTCATCTTCTTGGTTCTTTCGGTAAAGTCACGTAGAAGGGAATTCTCAGGACGTTTCGGCCACAACACAAGCGGCCGTCCTTGTGTTGTGGCTTTCTTTTGAGCCTCGTCTCAAATGGTGTTAGACCAGAGGACGCCAAAAGGCGTGTTTTTTTGCATTCTGTGGTTAATACAGACATGGTTCTTTGTAAAAGGGTTAAGTTTGGCGTTTTAACATCTTAACACCTGTTTTGTTGCCAGAAGAAAGGGGAAACCCCTATTATCATTGGATAATGTCATGTATAGTAGTGTACAGGGGCCGTCCATACATGACGTCACGCAATTAGGGTGGGGGTCAGATATTTGTGACGATGTGTGAAGAGGGGGGGGTGAGAAATGTGACGTCACATCAACATGCGCAACTTTAAATAAATATAGACAACACGTCCTACTTAATAAAATAGACGTTTTAATAAATGTTTTCTCCTACAACATCAGAGTGCAGCGCCACATTAAATTCGCACTACAATGACAGTAGTTTAAAGCGATTTGAAGCATGTGTTTTTTTTTTGGGGGGGGGGGCAGAGCTTTGTGACGTCATATTTGAGGGGGGGGGGTCTGACTTTTTGTGACGCCGTGTGACGAAGGGGGGGGGGGTCAAAAATCGTCCAAAATCGTGTGACGTCATTTATGGACGGCCCCTAAGGGGAAAAACAGAACCTCAATTTGCCCTGTACAATAATAGGGTAAGCCCTATGTGTTGAACAGCTGCGCTTCACCGCCCATTGAAAGCCATAAAATCGAGTCGCTTCGGGTTGTGTCCCCAACAAATCCATCATCGTTCGTTGGCTGATATTGGGTTAGGGGCCGTCCATAAATGACGTCACGCGATTTTGGACGATTTTTGACCCCCCCCCCCCCCCCTTCGTCACACGGCGTCACAAAAAGTCAGCCCCCCCCCCTCGAATATGACGTCACAAAGCTCTACCCCCCCAAAACCATATTTCCATTTTGAAGATAAAACATGCTTCAAATCGCTTTAAACTATTGTCATTGTAGTGCGTATATAATGTGGCGCTGCACTCTGATGTTGTAGGAGTGCCGTTATAACAATTAGCGTTGTTATAACAATTTTATATTTATTTAAATTTGCGCATTTTGATGTGACGTCACATTTCTCAACCCCCCCCACCCCGTCGTCACACATCGTCGCAAATGTCTGAACCCCCCCCCCCCCCACCTAGGTGCGTGACGTCATTTATGACCGTCCCCTTATGGCACGGGAATTTATTTATTTCCCACCCACTTTGATTTTCTCAAATGACCGCGGTCCCTAACCTGTGCGATTCGCAGCCGAAGGAGACCGGCGAATTGCGACGGGTCGGCGTGGAGACGGCTGCCCTCAATGATTTTGGTTGTCTTATCGAAAGGTTTCCCTCCACTTCTATATATTTTTAAAATATATATACCGTGTCGTCCGCCGGGCCAAGCCAAGCCAGGCAGGGCTGGGCTGTTTGTGAAGATTCAATTATTTTTTGTATTCCTGAAAAGTGCTGTTGTTGTTGTTGTTCGAGGCTATACGGAAGAGATGCCCTTTTATTCGCGATTATGCCAGAGGATTATTCTTCCAGTCGAGGATCTTGACAAACGCCACGGCTCACTCTTTCGGAGCGACCAATAGACGTAGGAGGAGGAGGAGGAGAAAAAGACGAGTTGGGGTCTTTGTTGCGTCGCACTCCTAATCTCAAAAGTGTCTTCCTTCACAACAGGGTAAGCGTATTAAAAAAAAAAAAACCCTGTATTGTGGATGATATTGTTCGCGAAAGCCTACGTGTTAAACTGAGGGTAAGCGTACTGGCAAGAAAAGCTATCCCACAGATGCTCTGAAACGTGGCATTGTCTTTGTGCTGTTCGCATTTTGGCGTTGTTCTCTGGGTCTTCTAACACGTGGTGAGACCAGGCCATAAACAAGAACGCTGTCTCTGGTGTAGACCAATCAGTTTAAAAGTCAATGCATACATTATTATTAGGGGCCGTCCATAAATGACGTCACGCGATTTTGGACGATTTTTTTACCCCCCCCCCCCTTCCTCACACGGCGTCACAAAAAGTCAGACCCCCCCCCTCAAATATGACGTCACAAAGCTCTGCCCCCCCCCCCCCCCAAAAACATTTCCATTTAGAAAATAAAACATGCTTCAAATCGCTTTAAACTATTGTCATTGTAGTGCGTATTTAATGTGGCGCTGCACTCTGATGTTTAGTTGATAACATTAAAAAGTTTATTTAACTAAGTAGAACGTGTTGTCTATATTTATTTAAAGTTGCGCATTTTGATGAGACGTCATATTTCGCACCCCCCCCCCCCTCGTCACACATTGTCACAAATGTCTGACCCCCCCTTCCCCCCAGGTGCGTGACGTAATTTATGGACGGCCCCTTACGTGACAACCCTTACTAGTTGGCTGTGTCGGATGGTGGCGGTTTTTAACGACCCATTTATATATTTACGCGATCTATCCCAAAAAAACCTCTTATGGATGATATTGGTCGCGAAAGAATACGTTGGAACACTGCACGCCAGAGGCCGCTAACGGGTTTTGATTCCTTACCCGTACCCGTACACGGCCGCACCAGGGTCGCAAACGGGTACCCGTACCCGGCCGGGTACGGGTACCCGTACGCTACCCGTACCCTACCCGAAATGAGTGACAAACGGTTACTCACCGGTGACTCATGGCCTACCCGTACCCGTACCTGGCTGCACCAGGGTCGCAAACGGGCCGGGTACGGGTAGCCGGGTATCGGGTAGGGTACGGGTACCCGGTTGCGACCTCTGCTGCACGCCAATGAGCCTCTACGCACAGCATTCCGCGCATTCGCTGTGCATCATACACCCAAGCTGTTTTCATTCAACCTCCGGACTATACGGCAGATGACTTCAGCCAAGCGCCAGCAAGACAAAAGTTAGCATTGTTATACCTGTCAACCCATACGGTGTACCCTGTATTCTTGTACAGGGAAATTTAGTTTTCAGGTCCATACGGCATACAGCCGTTTCAATACAGGTTGAAAAAAGTCTGTGTTTCTCCCTTGTGATGGGACTTTGTAGGATGAACGTTGAGATTTATAAGGGTGACCAATAAGGTCTGAATTGGTCTGTAATAAGGTAGGCACTGATATAGGGCTGACAGGTATACGTTATGTTCACACATATACAACAACATCAACGAAGCCACCTATGACCTCGAAACACACATGAGTGGACCAGTTGCTAAAGCGTGACCCAGAGTCTATCTTCCTCGGAGTTGACGTTGGACAGGAGTCTTTGATATTCCATCGGCACCCCGAGAGAAGATGTTCCAGCGACTGGCGTTTGCCGGAGCTGTCTGCCGTCTCGACCGGCTGTAGCTCAACGTGGGTCGTTGATGCCCGGACGTAGCAGCTACCGATAACAACCAGCCAAATTGTCCACAGCCACTTTCCCAATAGTCAACACAAAAAGATCGTCATAAACTCCGGCATCCAGGTCCTGTTTATTATCTCGAAACCCAAACACTGATGAAACTTCCAGAAAGCGGATTGGCAGAATTTTTACGAAAAAGCATCAAGTGCATCAACCCTTTCCCAGAAAACGATGATATCTTTGTTTCCACATTAATTATGGCCACTGCAAAGAACATCTTGTGCGGCCATTTTCCTGGTTCAGGAACAAAGCACTTGTTGGCACCTGATGATGTAGCGTGCTCTTTACCACGAGAGCGGTGGGATGAAACATAGCACGTTTCCCTTATGGAATCAGCTACCACCTCTGTCACCAAGATCACCACCGATTAGCACGGTTGGCTACATACGGTGCGGATGGTCATCTCCACCAGGATTATTGGTGTAATGATGACCTAGACAAAGCAGTGGCCCTTATGAAGTCACTGAACTCTCCCCACAGGCAGCAGTGGTGCGAGACAGTCCAGAATCTGGATTTCACACATTCAAGCACTGAAGCTTGGAACTTTCTCCATCGTCTTGGCATTGCAAAGCCGTAAAAGCACAGGCTGCGCAAAGCAATTTAACATGTGAAATTACCACCCAATGAAAACATTTGCACATTCTCTCTCCCAATCAGAATGGCGTGCGCGGTGGCCACTCCAATACTGGAGACGAGCAGGGACTTTCCGGCGTGGCTGGAGGAGCAGGGCGTGAACGCGGAGGTGGCCCGGGCCATGGACTCGGAGCTGGGCATCCGGGACTACGGGGTCCTGCGCGCCTGCGTCGGGGACGGCCTCGTGCGGGCCGAGCTGCTGTCCACGGCACGCGACCGTCTGCCCTTCGGCTTCTACGCCGTACTGCGGCAGGTGGTGAAGGCCCTGCAGGGTGCCGAGCCCCATGACGCTGGGACGCCACGCTGGGACGATGCTGCCGCCGCCTCCACTTCCTCTCCTGGCGACGTGACGCTGGGAAGTCTGATGGACGTGCTGCTCGCGCTGTTTAGCAGCTTGAGCCGGGAACTGCTGCTGTCCGTGCAGAGGATGCGTGACATGGACAATGATAAATATGTCATGGCTTCTGCTTTATCAACGGGTGCTGTCCATTCTGATGTTATGGAAGATGAAACACATCCAAGGGAAGAAAATGGTAATGCATAATTACGTCAAATATATTTTTTACAGTTACGTTTTGCATAGATAATTACAGGACAACGCTTTAGTTTCATTCACGTCACATCACTTTTATTTGCAACCAAACCTTTTTACAATAATTGTCCCCCATGCTCCTGAGCGCTGGGCAATGCACATTCCTTTTGGCAGTCTTGATGCAGTGGTGGAAATTACATGTTAGAATGGCTTCATCACCACTTTATATGCCAGACATTGTTGACTTAATTGCACTAAGTGGTAGGGATGTCACTCTTTCCACAGTGCAAAAAATTGTTATGACTTGGATAGAATCCATCATGGTTGCAGTGGATCCTTTATAAGTGGTGTAACCTCATCAGAAGGTCCTCATTTTCCCACAAAATTTCAGTTTATTTTGCTTAAGTGTTTACTAAGCAATAACGTTGGATATTAGATAGTTTTCCTGAATTCGTCTCTGACTCTGGTTGTACAGGTCTCAGTAAAAGGAATATCAGTGGATACGAGGAGAAATCTACTTTTTAAATGTTTTTCACCCGGCGACCTGCGTTTAATTCCCGGCTATAGATGGTGATAAGGTGTTGAGTTTATCCTGGCTAGCATTTCACTTTTGTAGTCACGAGCTTGGTGTTCTTAAATCAGCCTCACAAGCTGCTTGACACTACACCGTGTCATGCAGAATCATTGAATGATGCTTAAAGTTATAGCAAACGTGATCAACAACCTCAGGTTTGATATCACTTGACCTGCCGATTAATATTATTGTTGGTAACAGGCATTAAGGTAAGAAGGTCAATCATTGCCATTGAATGTTCCCAAATATATCGTTGATTCCGTGTTTCTCTTTTTTTGTTGTCCCGCGAAAGCAGAAAGCAACTGGACCACAGTACCAAATGACTCCAGATCAAACTTGACGGGGAACCTGATTAAAAGCGAACCCCCTGAAGGTAAAGTAGTTTTTTCTTCATTCAACAAGCTGCACTCGCCATAGTCCGCACTTGCCATGAGTTTACTTGGCTTAGTTGAGTTGCAAATGTATGCGCATGCATTAGCTCAAACTTTCAGTGCTAGCGCTTATAACAGGACGTCATTCAATTACATTTAGCGTGTTTTTGCATGCACCACTGCTATGATTACTAGATATCTGCTGCCACCTCGAGAATTGGAGCAAGGCTCCGTTAAATACACTTCCAAATATGGAGCACATACAATCGAACTAATTCTGAAACTACTGAGGTTTTCGGCTTGTGCTAGTACATGTTGTACGGCATGTACACTAAACATGGGGAATGGTTTAAAAAGTTGTATAATCTCCTGTAGATGTAGATGCCGCTCGTTCTTCATGTTCTGCAGAGGTAGATGCCAACACCTATTGCGCGGCGGTTGAGCTTATGACTCTCAGTCCGAACAGGAAACTGGACATACAGACAGGTTCTCTTTTAAGGGATTCATTTAGTAATGCTGATGCTGCAATAACATAACACTGTTTTTAATACAAAATCTTCACTTAAAATTACAGTTTAACTGATATAGACTTGAATAACAGCAGCATACATTACACATTAACTATATATTTTAAAAACCAGTGGACATATATATACAGTTTACTTGGTGTGCTTAACATGTGATAATTAACTGCTTGTTTTCGCTGAAGGTGATCATCTCTTGGACTTCCACCCAAATCTCATCATCCAAAATGTGACCTCACTTCTTGATTCAGGAGTAGATCTTGCTTGTGCAGCTGATGGTGAACCGCACACCTTAGTACGAGAGCGGTGGGAAGAAACACAGCAAGAAGAATCAGCTGCCACCTCTATCACTAAGAACACATCGCAGCAACTAAAGAACCAAAACATAAGGAACATCATGATGAACCAGAAGCAGCCACCCCTTGTGAATGAGATTGAGTCACACGAGTTTCAAATTGATGCAGCCGATCCTGTAGGAAACCCTCAGACAGAAAGCTCTGGTGTAAAACCGCATCGGTGCGAGGTGTGCAAGAGTAGCCTTTCATCACCTGGCGAACTGGAGGCCCACCTATGCAGGCACACAGCCAAGCGGTTGCACCGTTGCGAGGTGTGCGGGCGCGTCTTCTTGCAGGCCAATGGTCTAACAATCCACCTGCGCACGCACACGGGCAAGGGGCCATTCACCTGCGGGGTGTGTGGTGATGGTTTTCGGCAGTCCAGCGACTTGAAGATCCACTTGTGCAAACACACGGGCGAGAGGCCATACCAGTGCGAGGTGTGTGGGCGCGCCTTTTACCGGGCCTTTGAGCTAAAGGTCCACATGCGCACGCACACGGGCGAGAAGCCGTACGTCTGCCAGGTGTGCGGGCGTAGATTTTTACGATCCAACGAGCTGAAGGTGCACACACGCATTCATACCGGAGAGAAGCCGCATGTCTGCATAGTGTGCGGCCACAAATTCACGATCTCCAGTGACATGAAGAAGCACCTGCGGACACACACGGGTGATAAACCGTACCCTTGCTCAGTGTGTGGCCAGTGCTTTGTTCAGCGCTCACATGTAAAGAAGCATGAGCGAACAAAGCATGGCTTGGGGAAATCCTGAAAAGATGATTGAGAGATGTTTCGCATACGTGGAATATTGAATGTCTCAAACGTATATGATATTTCTACACCCCCACCGCATTACCTTTGGCACTCTGGACTAATATAATGTTGATGCACTCAGAATCTCTCCATTAGATACTGACTGCCAGAAAGTATTGTGGTTAAGGAAGGAGAGATGAGCTCTGGGAGTAGAATGGGAACAACGGTGAGGCCACGTAACCCTTTCCCGTTCCGAGATGACTGCAAGTGGCAGGGTGGGTCCCGTTCTCCGCTGAATCATGGAACATGCAAGCTTTCTAGCGTAAATTTTACGTAAAGGCATAGCTTTATCTACGTGACTTTAGCGAAAGAACCAGAGTAATTCCTGCAATCACGAAAGCTTCAAATCAAGTTTGAACCACCTCTACGGGGAGGATTTCCACATAACTCATACTTAACTTCAAATTTAGCAATCCTTGGAAGAACGTAATCAACCAGGTAAAGTGTGAACTGTTGTGTTAACCGATTCTCTGTGTTGCATTTCATTGCATTTCTAAGTTTAGTAGCTTTGTTTTCTTAAATTTCCAATTTCTCTCCCCCTGCCGCTCTCATTGACATGCTAATGTATCTGCCCCCCCCCCCCTATATATAATACCTCGTCACAGAGGCGTTCTTTCTCTGTGTGTGTCTCTGCGTGTGTGTCTCTATGTGTCTCTCCTCTATGTGTGTCTCCGTGTCTGTGTTTGTCTCTCTCTGTGTGTTTGTCTCTCTCTGTGTGTCTCTCTCTGTGTATGGGTGTCTCTCTCCGAGCTTGCATTCACACCTGATGACAGTTGCTTGTGTTGCAATCGAAACGTCGCATTCTATTATTTATTTTATTTTATTTCTCCTGTTTTATTTCCAGAAAGGGTTAACCTATTCTGATTTCATAATTTTAATACTGCCACATTGTTCCCCAAGAGGCTAAACATTTTCTCCCTGATCGTAAATGGTCTCAACCGCCCCATCAAGAGGCAATGGGGGACAACTCTTGTACTTACATTTACACTCAGCAGATGTTGCATTCCTTCAGGAGACGCCTCATGCCAGGCGAAGCTGGGACATTAAAACGCCATTGGGTTGGTGAAGTGTTTTCATTCCACACACTCCTTCAGCAGGAGAGGAGTTCCCATCTTGCGGCATAAAAACCTTTATTTCGTGCTCCCAAACAAATAAAATCCCCAGGGGAGATTTGTCTTGAACAATGGACCGATAAGAAGGGAAGGGAAATACGTGTCTTTGCTGAATATCTGCAACCCACCTCCAATCAGCTCCCATATATTAAAAAATCACCACCTTCGGGGGGGGGGGAGGGGGAGAAATAGCATGGCCCAACCGGTAAGAAGCAAGCATAGAGAAAGTTTGTAGGCCCCTCGACCAAGGAGGAAGAGGTGCTGTCGTTCAATCCGGTACCAACCAAATTTGAAATCCCACCTCCATTTCTTTACATATTTACAGATCAGAGACGCCATAACAAAATCCCCCGACAAAAACCTAGATGGACCCCCCCACCCACCCTATCATAGACTGGCTGTAAAAGCCAAGGCCTAACTATAGACTCGCGGGAGCTTACCATTTTCTGGGCATGGAAGGCGCCAGGATCAGATCAGCAGCCAACCAGAAAACTATGGAATAGAAGCCGCCTTCCCTGAGAGATCATACTGCAGAAATGGTCCCAAATCTGGCAAGCCCCTAGATCCGGCCCAAGGTTAACACCACTCAGACTGGTAGTTTAAATTTATGTCTGACACCTACATGACAAGTGGAACAAGGGCAAAATTCATGGCGGCGACTCCTGACTGTCCATGATTCACCTGAAGCACAACATAAACCTACTGGAATGCGTTCTGGTCATGCCCGGACATCGCAAAACTATACAAGAAAATCTCAGGCCTTTTAAGGCTATATGTGGCACCAACCTTCTCTCGAATTGAAACCACCCCGTGAGGCCTAAAACCAGGTACCCTTTCAAAACACCAGCACGGCCTACTCCAATATTTTAACATAGGCAGTGAAACCATCTTGGCTTACTGGAAAGACCATGAACCCCCTTCGTGGGGACAATGGTACAACACCCTGCCAGCCCACGCCGGGATCGAACACCTGTTCCACAAAGTTAAAAGGGGAACGAAAAGGAGTTTGAGGCCAAGTGGTCCCCCCTCTGCCGGAGATAAAAATGAGAGGCGGAGGCGGAGAGGGTTGGGGCTGGGAGACAGGAGCGGGTAAGGGAGGGGTAGAACCCCCAGCCCCTCCGCCACTTTTTTGACAGCTAAGATAAGATTGACAGAATAGAGAGGTGGACACCCCAACATGTAAAGCTGCGTGTATGTTGTATGATTTGTCACGTACATTCTCCCCACCCCTCTCCCCCCCCCCCCCCCCTGACGGAAGACTCCCTCACCTGTACATGGTCAAGTACCGAAAGTCCCCTCCCCTTCCTCCCCACAGAGGTTTTTCTGTTCCCCTCACCAGAAACCATCGAAACGTTGTACCGGGCTCGTGTGATTACCACAATAAAAATATTTTAAAACCCTCACCACCCCTAATCCGCCAATGTGAGCACCCCCCCTCCCCGCATTACAGGAGATGACTATACAAGACCCTCAGATTGATCAATCCCATTCCTCCAAATCAGACAACTTGAGTGCCTTGAGAAGTATGGAAGAAATTAAACTTCGGCACCGGCATATTGACCCCTGGAGAATGAAAAGGAGTACACGCACACATGCAAAGCACACGGTGCCCGATCGAGGATCAATTACATCTTCATCCCAAAAGGTCTGCTCTCACAAGTTACCAAACCTCAGATTTTAGATTTCCAGCTTCATGACTATGCCCCAATCCTGACACAATTCATCATGGACCCAGAAGATGTAGCCCATAGAGCCATGGTTCCTCGACCTTAAATTGCTATCAGACAAAGACTAATGTGGAATAGATCACAGTGGATATAAAGGGCTTCTTTGAGATACAAACTTTTATTCTTGGTTCTTTCGGTAAAGTCACGTATTATTTCCCTTCTACGTGACTTTACCGAAAGAACCAATAATATGAATCCCTGCAGTCACGAAAGCTTTAAATCGAAATAAAAACTCTTGATTCTACCTACCTCCCCATTGATAATCCGAGATACTCTAAAATCCTAGCTGGTCCTTAGCGTGCATGGAAGGAGAGAGGCATGCAAGGACATCCTGACACTAGATCTAGATGAGGGGGGGGAGGGGTGCAAAAATCTAGTGAGAGAGAAAGAGAGGGTGTGGGGGTAACTAGAATGCATGGGTAAGTTTCCACGCTAAAATAATAAACGTGTTGGTATTTAATACCTTCTCACTTGATGCAGAAAATCTGGCTGTGACGGTCCCACCTGATGACGGAGACTTGTGTTGCCTCCGAAACGTCGTGATTTTTATTGTTTTATTTTTATTAATTTTAATTTCATTTTTTACCTACGTGACTTTACCGAAAGAACTAAGAGTATTTAATACCTATTGGTATTCAAAGACTTGGTAGATTTGGCTGTCCATCCTTTCGGTTGGGGCTGCACTACCATACATACTCTTAAAAACACATTTTGGAAAAGGACACATTTTTATTACTGTCTGTCATCTGTGTTGACTATTAAGACACAAGAAACAAGAAGATTGGAGTTACTCTTTGGTTCTTTCGGTAAAGTCACGTAGAAAATAAAATGAAATAAGAGAAAACGACGTTTCGGTTGCAACACAAGCAACCATCCTCGGATAAGAATGGATGATAAAACAAACGCGGAAATAACACAGGCAGACACACATGCAGAGAGAGACACACACAAAGACACACCGAGCGTGACACACCACAGACACGGAAACAACAGGCAGACAACATGCAGAGAGAGACACACACAAATACCGAGCGAGATACGCACCAAGAAAAAAAACAGACACGGCAACAACATAGGCAGACACACATGCAGAGAAAGACACACACCAAGACAAACAGGAGGTTGCGAATGCTTCCATAATCCGTGGCACACCGCGGCCCACAGCAAAAGCATTGAACACCGCACGTAAAACTCTATCCGTAGAAGCACATGCGGAAAACGCAACGTTTTCAGAACGGAGCTGTAGAGAAACGGAGGGAGGATTTTAAATATATTTGCATCTCTGCGGACTGTATTGATGTGATGTGTTTAGTGTACACGCATTTAACATGCCGCTTTGTATTGTACGTTGGTGACGTTGGTTGTGAGAATTGTTCTTTAACTTACCAATGAGCTGAACAATAATTGGTGCACTAAACGCTTGCGCACGTGACAATGTTTGGCTGTGTCAGGTGGTGGAGGGCCTTAACACAAATTTGGTCATACCATTACATGACCTCACCAAAAAATATATTATGAATCAAATATGACGTATTGAAATATTTCACCGCCCATTTTTATAACTTTAATTCGACTGCTTTGTTTCTTAATAAACTCATTGGCTTAACTTGGATGAAAACAGCATTTCATTCGAATTGAAACTCATTAAACTAATTAATTTCTTCAGAACTGCTTTTTGTGTTGAGTTTGTTGTCCACTGACGCGTACGGCCATTTAAATCCAGTAACATTTCTGTGTTTCGACTTACGAACGGGGGCGTAGGGGTCCCAGGACCGAATTACGTTTCTTGTTTAGTTTGTTGTCCAACTGACACGTATGGCCATTTAAATCCAGTAACATAGCTGTGTTTCGACTTACGAACGGGGGTGGTGTGGTCCCAGGAACGAATTACGTTTCTTGTTTAGTTTGTTGTCCAACTGACACGTATGGCCAATTAAATCCAGTAACATTGCTGTGTTTCGACTTACGAACGGGGGTGGAGGGGTCCCAGGAACGAATTACGTTTCTTGTTTAATTTGTTCACTGACACGTACGGCCAATTAAATTCAGTAACATTGCTGAGTTTCGACTTACGAACGGGGGCGTAGTTGTCCCAGGAACGAATTACGTTTCTTGTTTAGTTTGTTGTCCAACTGACACGTATGGCCATTTAAATCCAGTAACATTACTGTGTTTCGACTTACGAACGGGGGTGGTGTGGTCCCATGAGCGAATTACGTTTCTTATTTAGTTTGTTGTCCAACTGACACGTATGGCCATTTAAATCCAGTAACATAGCTGTGTTTCGACTTACGAACGGGGGTGGTGTGTTCCCATGAGCGAATTACGTTTCTTATTTAGTTTGTTGTCCAACTGACACGTACGGCCAATTAAATCCAGTAACATTGCTGTGTTTAGACTTACGAACGGGGGCGTAGTGGTCCCAGGAACGAATTACGTTCTTATTTAGTTTGATGTCCAACTGACACGTATGGCCAATTAAACCCAGTAACATTGCTGTGTTTCGACTTAGGAACGGGAGCGGAGTGGTCCCATGAGCGAATTACGTTTCTTGTTTAGTTTGTTGTCCAACTGACACGTATGGCCAATTAAACCCAGTAACATTGCTGTGTTTCGACTTACGAACGGGGGTGGAGTGGTCCCATGAGCGAATTACGTTTCTTATTTAGTTTGGTGTCCAACTGACACGTATGGCCAATTAAATCCAGTAACATTGTTGTGTTTCGACTTACGAACGGGGGCGGAGTGGTCCCAGGAACGAATTACGTTTCTTGTTTAGTTTGTTGTCCAACTGACACGTATGGCCAATTAAATCCAGTAACATTGCTGTGTTTCGACTTACGAACGGGGGCGGGGCGGGGGAGGGGTCCCGGGAACGAATTCCGTTTCCTAAGTCGGTGACTTGAGAGCAGAATGCATTCAAATGACCGCGGTCCCTAACCCGGCGAATTCACGGGTTGACGAAACTGGCCTGGTGCGTTACTAAGAGAGCGAGAGACGAGGCCAGTTTGACGGGATGGGCTTCAGTTAAAGCTTAAATGTTGTTATTTTTTTGGTTAACACCGTCTCATTTTCTGGACGGGTTGATTGAAGGCTTCGTTATTTTTATTTCTATCTAGTGGTGATTATCATTTGTTTTAATCAACCCCCCTAGACAGAGGCGTTATTCCCTTCGCGAGGTTTTTTTGGTCGAGAGAAGATTTTTCACCTCCCAAACACATCAAGATGTTATTTATATTTCTGTAAAGTAGCGATTTAAAAAAAAATATTCAACCACCCTAGACAGAGGCGTTATTCCCTTCGCGAGGTTTTTTTTGGTCGAGAGAGGATTTTTTTCACCTCCCAACATCAGCCGGAAAACGCCACAGCGCGGTGAGATTGTACCACGTTTCACTCTCAAGCGTCACGGGGTTGTAGACAGACGCGTGGTCGTGCAACAAAGGCGAGTTGAGGCTTTTCGTGGACTTCGCACTCTGTCTAGACCAGGGGTGGGGAAACTTTTTCTGCCAAGGGACATTTGGATATGTATAACATTATTCGCGGGGCCATGCAAAATTATCAACTTGAAAAATTAGCCTGTTATATTTGGTCAAACAATTAATTAACTCACCCCTAATGTGATGGCTGGAACTGCATCTCTTTGGTGAGGCGTGTGATGTTAGCTGGTATTGATGATGTTGCTGCTACTCACAACTGCTTTGCCAGGTTTGCTCCTGAGATTTATTGAATTTCGAGTCATGCCTGCGGTTGCCTTGGCAGGGCCACACCAAATGATTTTCCCACCCCTGGGTCTAGACGAAAAAAACACCTCCCACGTTAACACCCACGGTTTACTTAAAATAAAATAAAAATTATTGCTGTGCTTTTCCCACCTGATGATGATTGCTTGTGTTGCAATCGAAACGTCGTGATTTATTTTAGTATTTTATTTTGTACCTACGTGACTTTACCCAAAGAACCAGATCAACAACTCTGCCGTATGCTCAAACTCTGGTCGGTGAATAGTGACCACGAGGCATTTCATCCGGAAGTGGGTTGGCAAAAGGGGCATCGTCGTACGTGTTGGTTGCCACATGGGCGGGCGAGGTTGCCTTCCACTCCTGCATAGGTGCCCAAGAATTCGAGCCACGGACGTATAAGGGGCCGTCCATAAATGACGTCACGCACCTGGGGGGGGGGGGGGGTGGTCAGACATTTGTGACGAGGGGGGGGGGGGTTGAGATATGTGATGTCACATAAAAATGCGCAACTTTAAATATAGACAATATGTTTTCTCTTACACAATCAGAGTGCAGTGCCACATTAAATACGCACTACAATGACAATAGTTTAAAGCGATTTGAAGCATGTTTTATATTTGGGGGGGGGGGCGGGGGGCAGAGCTTTGTAACGTCATATTTGAGAGGGGGGGGGGGTCTGACTTTTTGTGACGCCGTGTGACGAAGGGGGGGGGGGGGTAAAAAATCGTCCAAAATCGCGTGACATCATTTATGGACGGCCCCTAAATGATGTTAATATTTTACGAACACTAAAGTGAGCCTGTTTTTGCTGTGGACGCGATTGTTGAACTTCTTTGCTGTCCTTCCGATTGGCACAGTTGGCTACGTACGGTGTGAATGAAGTTTCGACATACATTCAAGATATTCTGGGACACTGCATGTTCATGATTCCGCGCACAACGTACATCTGAATGGCCATTTGCTCAAAATGGATGTGAGTGACCATATGCCAAAGTATGTATGACCCATCACCTGTCTTACTTGGAGTGACATTGGACTGACATTCCTCTATTTACTTTACTAGGCAAGGCCCACTGAGCTATATAGCTCTTTTTAAGACGTGACCTGGCTACAAATGATGGCTCAACGAAGTGACTTGTCACGTGGAAATGTTTAGCATAAATACTCTAAACCAGCGGTTCTTAACCTGGGGTGCAAGATGCCCTTTAGGGGTGTGCGAGACATGGCCAGATTTTTTCGTAAGGTAAATCGTCGAAAACACAAATTAAGCATGGGCACGTAAGTACACTTACTTTGTTTCATCAAACCTATGTATTAAAAAAAATACGCTTGAGAACCCAAGGGGTGCATGCTGCAGTAAAGATTAAGAACCACTGCTCTAAACGCACGTTTATTTTAAATGTGGAGTGAAAAACTGGAGGACCAGGAGAAAAATCCATGTGACCACGGGGAGAGAGACATGCTAACTCCAAATATACAGGCGTCAGGGTCGAGATCGAACCCACGAAACCTCCTGAATACCAAGCAAGGTAGTTAACATCTCGCCACCGTGGCACCCTGGCACCTTGAGAAGACGACCGGGAAATTGCGCCCGTGGAACTGTCTGCTAGCTCGGATAGCTGGCTAAACATGGGGCAATGGCACCCATACACTTAAGTCTGGTGGGCCTCCCGCTATGCTCTGTATCAGAGTATATTTTGCACCCGAATGGACTTCCATCAGCCAACATCCAATTAATTGGTAGACAGCTGATTGTCACCATAATAACCATCTCCGGTGCAATGAGGACAACCCCACTACTTTGGCTTCTAGTTTTGTTGGAATATCTCCACACCAGCTGTTAAGCTGCGGTGACCTAGATGCTACTAGACAACGTGTATGCGGCACCGGAGCTACCCCTCCATGTTGATATCTTTATCTGAAAGTCCCAATGCTCCGCTGTGGGTGTTGACACAGCCTCCTAGGCCTGAGGATGCGGGACATCTGCACTGACTGGGGTGAGGAATGGAGGAGACACGTGGATATACCTCGCAAGGACCGCATCGATGTGTCCGCCATAGACCGCTGCTGCTGTAACCTAGGGGTGTGTTACAGCTTCCAAACACCTACTCAACAGCCTGCTTCGTGAACGTGGGGAGCAGGAGACTATGCCGCACTGTGTCCGCTGTGCAATGTGACCGGGCATGTAGAGAAAACAGGCTGCCCTGCAGAAGCTGTCGCATCACTACCATTTTTACGTGGGCGGATATCCTCTCAGAGGACATTTCTTTGTGTTTAATAGCTCATCAGCTTCCTCTTGTCTAAATAAACATTTTGATTCTGCATAATGGCATTCGCTCAGTAAATACGCCCAAGGGTACTGGTTCACCTTCTCACGTGGTCTGCTGGATGTGACCTTGGATTCCATTTTTTTTATGTCTTAATTTATTTACATATTCTGAACATCCAGTGAACATCAGCCGTCGACCCCTGCTTGCATGGTAATGGTGACTCGGGTTGAACTGTGTTGATGTTTGCAGTGTTAAATTGTAAAAAAAAAAGTTCATGGTTACTCGCATTTATACAAATATATAATGTGCATGTACATACCAAGAACAGACTGCCAAACTATCAGCAGAAACTTTCCTAACAACCAACACAGACTCATCATAAAATTTGGCATTGTCTTCCCGTTCATCAACTCAGCACCTGAACACTGATGCAATATGCAGAAAGCGGATTAGCTGAACTATGCCTAACAGCTCGATGATTGCATCCAGTCCATAAACCCAATCCCAGAAAACTCTGAACACTTTGTCTCCACATTATTTTTGGCCACTGTGAAGAACATCTTGCGCATCCACTTCCTGGTTCAACAGCCAATCTTATACCTGCAGTTGAAGAACAGCACCCTTTACCACGAGAGGGGTGAGATGAAACAGCACAAAGAATCGGCTACCATCTGTCACCAAGAACACATCCCACCAAGTCTTTAATGCCATGCTGGGGCCCACAGTCATCACCAGGAATATTGGTGTTATGATGACCTAGACAAAGCAGTGGCCCTTATGAAGTCACTGACCTATGCCCAGAGGCAACAGTGGTGCGAGACAGAGCAGAATCTGGATATTACACATTCAGGCCCTCAAGTTTGCAACCTTTTCCACCAACTCTGCTTTGGCAAAGCATGAATTCACAGGCCATACAAAGTCATTAAACATGTACAACTCCCACCCAAAGTAAACATTCTCTCTTCAAATCTCAATCAGGATGGCGTGCGCGGTGGCTGCTCCAGTGCTGGAGCTGAGCGGGGACTTCCCGGCGTGGCTGGAGGCACAAGGCGTGAACCCGGAGGTGGCCAGGGCCATGGATTCGGAGCTGGGCATCCGGGACTACGGGGTCCTGCGCGCCTGCGTCAGGGACGGCCTCGTGCGGGCCGAGCTGCTGTCCACGGCGCGCGACCGCCTGCCCTTCGGCTTCTACGCCGTGCTGCGGCAGGTGGTGAAGGCCCTGCAGAGCGCCGAACCCCACGACGCTGGGACGCCGCTCTGGGACGCTGCTGCTGCCTCTCCTGGCAACGTGACGCTGGGAGGCCTGGTGGACGTGCTGCTCGCGCTGTTCAGCGGCTTGAGCCGGGAGCTGCTGATGTCCGTGCAGAGGTTGGATGACATGGACAATCATAAATATGTAGTGGCTTCTGCTTCATCAACAGGTTCAGTGAATTCTGTTGGCATGGAAGAGGAAATGCATCCATGTGAAGACAATGGTAATAAATAACTCACTTTTTTATGCAGTTATGTTTTTTCGGGTACCAGGATAAATCTGTTTTCTAAACGTTTTTCACAGTAGTTAACCCCCCAGGTAGGTTACCTGAGTTCAATTCCTGGCCATGATGATGAGGAGGTGTTGAGCTTATCCTGGCCGGGATTTCAGTTTGTAACTTTTGTAGACATAACCTGAACCTGGGTGTTCTTCTTAAATCGGTGTCACCAGCTGCTTTACATTAAACCATGTGATACAGCAGGGAATGCTACAGTTTAACTGTCACAGTTGATGAAATGATTGAATGATGTTTAAAGTTAGAGCTTCTTTTTGTCTTTCGCTTGTTGTCCTTAAAACCTCCGATTAGCACAGTTGGCTACATATGGTGCAAAAGAAGTTCAACATAATACTAAGGTGTAATATTACTTGGTCTTCTAATTAATATTATTGTTAGTAATGCAGGTATTCAGGTCAAAAAAGGTCATTGTCATTCATTGTTCTCAGATATAGGGAGGAAGAAAAAAATAATTGCTGCAATGACTGCTCAATGTTGATCCAGTGATTTGTTTTTGATATGTCCAGCAAAAGGAGAAAAGAAGTCGACCACAGTCACAAATGACTCCAAACCAAACTCGATGGGGAAACTTATTAAAAGCGAGCCCCGTGAAGGTAAATTTATTTTCTTCATTCAACAAGTTACACCAACCACATTCTGTGTTTGCCATGGATTTAGTTTTCTTGAGTCCAGTTTAAATTCTGTGTGCGTGCTTGTACCTGGATGTTATGCAATCACAGCTATGTTTTCCAGTTACCAATGCTAACATTGAGTTGTGTGCTGCTAACTCAAGAATGGGAGCAAGGCTCAGTTGAACACACTTCATGTTAGCCTCCTGCTATTTGTAAATGAATGTGTACGTACAACATATACAGATAGTCCCCGAGTTTCGATGGTCCAACTTGCAATATTTTGATCTTACGATGGCGATACGACAAAATTGTAAAATATTTTAAATTTCGCGCGGCAGGCAAACGCAGCAGCGTACGAATCTTGGTAAGTACAGTCCAATGTGATATGTTACGATACGTTCAATGCATGTATGATACGTAGCTCTAGCGATTTCATTTTAGGGTTACCACGATACGATACGTTCAATGTATGTTAAAAGTTTTTATAGCAGATAGGATTGTTTCCTGAAAAAATTTCTATTAAATTGCAGTTCATATAGGTAGGCTAAGAATTTACCTTGTTTTTTTTACTTTACATTTTACTGTGCAATACAGTATTGTAATTAATAAATCCATACAGTATATAGTTTATACGGTACTGTAAATTGCTGTTTTGCTAGATTATCACCATTCTTTAGGACTCCTGGGTAGGCTAGGCCATCTTCGACTTACGATATTTTTGACTTACGTTGGGGTCGTCATAACGCATCTCCATCGTAAGTAGAGGACTACCTGTAATACATTGTTAAATGGTGACTAAGAGTAGCGAACTTCATGCATTAGAACCAATTCTGCACCTACTGAGGTTTTCCCCTTGTGTTATGTGATAAGGCATCACGTGATGGGACTAAGTATCCATTCAGATATCTCGCAGAGCAGCGCAACCATTCCTGTTTGCGAACAGCTGACAGAAGCAGATCTCCCAGAGCTACCTCCGAGATGCCTTAACGTGATGGTCGAAACATAAATGGGTTACACTTTCACAACCACCCTTTTAAACAGTGTAATATTTGACGCATGACAAACTGACTTTTTCTTTATTTTCAGAGCTGTAATTTAGCCAAAGTAATTTCAGAACCAGAATTAATGTCATTTTTTTGTGCAGTCATTAGTGACTGCGCTGACACCAGCAGCTTCAATATACTTGAGAGCCTGGTTTAATCACGGGCAGCTGCCTGCAATCGAACCCAGGATCGCGGTGCAGTTCAGTAGTCTGATTTTTGAGTCACCCGGCAACCTCTCAAAGGACTTGTGTTCTCTTTTAATGGATTCATTTTATAATGCTAATGTTGCAATAACATACAGTTGAATACAAGTTGTTCACATATATCTTACATGTGAATAAAATGAGTACGCATTCCACAATTGCTAATTGTAAAAAATAAACCCTTGTATATATAAAGTTTAGTTGCAGTGCTTCTTAACACGTGGTAATGAACTGCTTTATTTTCTCTGAAGGTGATCATCTCTTGGGCTTCCACCCACATATCGTCCAAAATAATACCACACTTCCTGAATCAGGAGCAAACCTCGCATGTGCAGCTAGTGATGAACCGCACGTCTTACCACGAGCGCTGTTGAAAGAAGCACAGCAAGAAGAATCGGCTGCCACCTCTGTCACCAAGAACACATCTCCCCAGCAACTGGAGATCCGAAAAATAAGGAACGTCATGACAAACCAGAAGCAACCGCCCACTGTGAGTGAAACTGAGTCCCACGAGTTTGAACTTAAAGCCGATCCTGTACGAAACCCTCAGGCTGAAAGTTCTGGAGTGAAGCCGTATTGGTGCGAGGTGTGCAAGAGTAACTTTTCGTCACCTAGCGAATTGGAGGGCCACCTGTGCAGGCACACAGGCAAGAAGGTGCACCGTTGCGAGGTGTGCGGGCGCGTCTTCTTGCAGGCCACTGGTCTAACGATCCACCTGCGCACGCACACGGGCAAGGCGCCGTACACCTGTGAGGTGTGTGGTGATGGCTTTTGGCAGTCTAGCGACTTGAAGATCCACTTGTGCAAACACACGGGTGAGAAGCCATACCAGTGCGAGGTGTGCGGGCGCGGCTTTTACCGGGTGTTTGAGCGGAAGGTCCACATGCGCACACACACGGGGGAGAAGCCGCATATTTGCCAGGTTTGTGGACATAGATTTTTACGTTCCAGCGAGTTGAGAATCCACACACGCATTCATACCGGCGAGAAGCCTTACGTCTGCAAAGTGTGCGGGCACGAATTCTCGATCTCCAATGACCTGAAGAAGCACCTGCGGACCCACACGGGCGAGAAGCCGTACTCTTGCTCGGTGTGCGGGCAGTGCTTCGCTCAGCGCTCACATGTGAAGAGTCACGAGCGATCAAAGCATTGCTTAGGGGAATCTCAAAAAGATGATTGAGAGGTGTCCCACCCACGTGGATTATCTCAAGTGTATGACATTTATCCAAGACCAATTTAAGGTAATAAAAAAATAAATAAAGGCTTGCATAGGCTTCCATAATAAAAACACAACTGATTAAATACAAATGTAAAGATAAGATTTTCCGTTGTGATTTTTTGTCGCCTCTTGGTTTTTGGTGTTCAAATTTGATTTTTTAAATGTATATGGTGATATCTTGATTTGAAGCTTTCGTGACTGCAGGAATCCATACTCTTTGGTTCTTTTGGTAAAGTCACGTAGGTATAAAATACAATATGGTGATGTCCATTGGTGAAGTTAAGAATGAGACTTGATTCTGATGGACAAACCACAGGTTACCAAAGAAATGATTTTTCCTTGACAAATCGACAATTGAAAGTGTGGTGGTGAAGTTAATGTGAAAAAAGCAAACAGAAGAAATTGTCTGAAACCACAAAATACATGTCAGGGGAGAGGAGAAATATAAAAAGGGACGAAAAATCCAAGCTGAAAATGTAATCTCAGACCTCTAAGAAATCAGAGAACTCAACAATTATTGAACACCGCATGAAAGCAGACAATGGGAGGGTGATAAAAACAAAACAATGGAGACATTTTATGTAGATCTCCACAGCAAAACAAACTCATAACCTGGATGAGGAGGAAAAGAGCTGTCAGTTAAAGTAACATCTGCCCTTTGCAGAATCAAGAAAAAGGAGGGAGGGCGGAGATTGGGGGGAAGACACCCGGACTGGATGGTATATCTGTAAACGTCATCAAGCATCGAGCCCAAATTGTTGGAACAAAACTATCGGATTGTTCGCTTATTGTTTATACTGAAATGAAATACTGCAATAATGGAATGATGGCTCAATCACGCTTACGAAAACAGGTGATGACATTGACTTGAATAACCACAGACCAATTATCCTCATATATATGTACATAAGTTCGCAATAATCATGAGAACAGAATAATGAAATATTTAGAAACCAACTAACCATGGGACAACCAGGATTCTGGAAATATTTCGATAACATCGATGTGATACAAATGAATGGACCACTTAATTATTTCGGACAGTGCTGGCATGACAGGTTTAGTGGGGTTCAGGTAAGGGGAGAGAGATGGGGACAACCTCAACCTCCATCAATTTGGGATGAGGCTGCATTGGTGGGAGAATGAAATTGCCATCTGCTTGGGGAAACGTGGCTGGCTAAATTGGGGAGATATAAAAGGAGATAATGTGAGGTGCGTGGTTCAGAGTAGAATAGGCTCAGCTGCGACGCGTGTGTGGCAGTAACGAAAACGCGTGGCCAAAATCGCCACACGATAGGGTCATGCCGTAAAGGATCCTGAATAAAGTTTTGGCTGTTTAAGAGCTGCTGGAGTTGTCTGTCCATCCTTTTGGTTTGGGGTGACACTCCCATATACCCTTAATCATATTTTTGGAAAAGACCATTGCATTTAACTTATTGTCCCCCGTGTTTGTGGACGATGAATGAGACACGGACGTCACGGTGGCGAGATGCTAACTACATCCTCTGGTATACAGGGGATCCTGACCCTGACGCCTATATATTTGGAGTTTGCATGTCTCTTCCAGTGGTCGCATGGAGTTTTCTCCGGGTCCTCCGGCTATTCTCAACATTTAGAATCAACATCCGTTTTCAGTATTTGGCTACTATACATTTCCACGTGAAAAGCCACTTCGTTGAGATGTCATTTGTAGTTGTGCATCATACGCCCAAGGTGTTTTCAACAAACTTCCAGATTACTTCAGCACAAGCAAGACAGTTGAGTTTATAGTTTAGTGTGTTCACCTATACAATGCCAAAACCACCTAGGAGATCGAAGTGCACCTGAATAGCCAATTTGCCTAAACATGACCCAGCAGCTATCTTCCTTAGAGTAACATTGGACAGAAGTCTGACATTTCATCGGCACCTTGAGAAGACAACCAGAAAGTTTCGTTCATGGAACTCTCTGCTGGATTTGCTGGCTGGCTCAATGTGGGGTACTGGCACCCAAAGACTACATATGGCAGGCTTCTCCCTGTTTTTCAGTTTCATTTATTTGGTATAGCCCTGTGAGCCATTCGGCTCTTGAATCGGGTGCAACCGCAACAAACAAAACATGAACAAGAAAACATCTTAAAGTGACTATGTGATTAGTTATCGCAGAATATTGTGTACCCATATTGACTCGGCTAAAATGCAATTAGTTGACACTTAGCTGATAGGATTTTGTGCATCCAGGCCCGCACATTTTGCAGACTTACAGCTTCTCGCCGGTGTGAATGCGAATGTGGATGCTGAGCTCGCTGGACCGAAAAAAACCTATTCCCCTCTGTTTTACATATGGTCCAGATGTCTTGTGACCCCCCCCCCCGAAATTAATTTACCCCAAACATGTATTCCTTTTCTGTTTTTAAATAAACTCCTTTTAAAAAGTTACGTTTCAGATATAAAAATGGGGGGGTGGGGTCACAAGACATCTGGACCACCCCGTTTATCCCCCTCCTCTTCCATTTTTAAAGACCACAGCATGCATGTGATGGTCTTGACGCGTTGCTTGCGTGGTCCACGTGTGTACGAGCGAGTTGCAAATGACCGCGATCCCTAAACCATTGAATTTGCCGTCGAGGAAACTGGAAGCGAGCAAACGGGAGGCCACGTGAGCGCGCACCCAGCGGTGATGCCAGATCGGAGATTTTCACCCCCTTTTTGTGTAATTTTAAAGATTAAATTTATTTCGTTGGGAGGGGGTTGGACTATTTAACGCGGAATATTTAGGAGTTTCCCCGGAACGTCGACAATTTTCTCGGAGAAAATTCAGAGTTGTGACGTCGGCTTGCTGGTCCAGGTCTCTCACCAAAGCCACTTGGGGTTTGTTTAGTTTTGCTGAGCGGAGCCGATTGAAGAAGCCAACTGGTGTGTGTGTGTATCTTTATACATTTACGTGTATATAAACATCTGTTTAGAAAGCCTTTGAGGAGTTGATGCTTGCGAGGTTGCGACATCGTTTATGGGTCGCTAAAGCAAAGTCTACGCGGTAATGATGTACTCCGTTATACTGTAGAGATTTTACCTCCAGATCTGGCAACGTTGCGCCACGAACTACCAGAATTTCTCCTTTGATGTTAACGAAGCCTCCAAATTTCAGTCGTCTCGGCCTCCTGCTCCTCCTCATTGTTCTCAATATTCTCATCTTTCATCCTTGAGGTCGGTGAAGCGAGTACTCATTTGTGGTAAGTCGATGCTTGTGGTGATGTATGACTGCTCCCCCAAATCAATAATCTTGCCAACGCGAACGTCCAGAGAAGAATGAACGCTTCATTCGGGACCCAAACATCACCGCACCCCTCCTGGCTTTGACATTCAGCCTCGCACAATCTGATGGCTTAAACCATGGGGTGGGAAACCTTTTTGTCTGCCGAGAGCCATTTGGATATTTATAACATCATTCGCGGGGCCATAAAAAATTATCAACTTAAAAAAACTGCCCGTTATATTTGGTCAAACATTTAATTAACTCACCCCTAATGTGATGGCTGGAACTGCTTCTCTTTGGGCGAGGCGTGGTGATGTTAGCTGGCTATTGATGATGTTGTTGCTACTCGCAACTGCTTTGCCAGATTTGCTCCTAGATTTATTGAATTTCGAGTTGCCTTGGCAGGGCCACACCAAATGATTTCGTGGGCCCTCAACAAATGATTTTGTGGGCCTCACCAAATTATTTTGTGGGCCCTCGCCAAATGATTTTGTGGGCCCTCATTACACCCCTGGCTGTAAACCATCAACCGCATCGGAACCTCGTCAACAATTCGATGCGCGCATCTCCTTGAATGGACAACTCAAAAAACCGAGCCACGCAGTCGTGGTTGCGTTTGTGGTCGATGCAAACCCAAAAAACTATGGGCCCTATCAATCTAGATTGGAAGTTTTCGTGACTGCAGGGATACATACTCTTTGGTTCTTTCGGTAAAGTCACGTAGGTAGAAAATAAATTAAACCACGACGTTTCGGGCGCAACACAACCGTCCGTCATCAGGTGGGACAATCACAACAAGAAACAATTGCTGAAGTGGAAAACAAATGTGGTTTCAGACAATTTCTTCTGTTTGCTTTTTTCACGTTAAATTCACCACCACACTTTCAATTGTCGATTTGTCATGGAAAATCATTTATTTGGTAACCTGTGGTTTGTCCATCAGAGTCAAGTCTCATTCCTAACTTCACCAATGGACATCACCATATTTTATTTAAAACCTACGTGACTTTACCGAAAGAACCAAAGAGTATGGGCCCTATCGTGAAAACCACTTTGATTTTTTTTCATTAGAGGAGGAATGGCAAAACTGTCACGAACTCGTCTCCCCGGAGCCAGCAGACCTCGACGTTGACATGTCTTGTTTAGCTCTTGACGTTATTTCTACACGCAAAGTTCGTTTAGAGTAAATCATCCGCCGTTAGCCATTATCGATCCACTACTAGATTGCAGAGGTGTCTCAATTCCCCTTGATTGGACCAGGGGGGTGAAATTAACGCGCTTCGAGGCGCACGAAACATGCCAAGGGTCACCACTTGACGGATGCATGCAGTCATTTTAAGTCCACCGAATGCATTCATGTACACCTCTTATCAGTGCATACCTTATTATAGACCAATTCAGACCTTATTTGTCAGTCACCCCGTGCCCTTATAAATCTCAAAGTTAATCTTACAGTCCCATCACATGGGAGAAACAAACAAATCAATAGTAATTCAGATTTTTTTTTTGCCCGTATTGAAACTATCTTGATTTGAAGCTTTCGTGGTTCTTTCGGTAAAGTCACGTAGGTAGCAATAAAACCAAATTCATTTATTTTAGTTTTCTTTCTACCTACGTGACTTTACCGAAAGAACCAAAGAGTACGTATTGAAACGGTTGTACGGTGTATGGACCTGCACTCGCATTCCTTGTACAAGAATATGGGTAAACCGTATGGGTTGACAGGTATGTGAATATGAGAAAAAAAACAATGTACAGTAATAATCTAGGCGAAATATAACGGTGATTTGATTTACAAAAATGAGGCTAAAGAACATGAATTGCACCCTATAATTCTAAATGTATAACATTACGAGATCGTTTATGGAAAGGAGCATGGCCTAATTTAGGCAAAAACAATAATGTGAACAAATTGGCTTAAGAGCAGACAAAAAACACTTATAAAGAGGTTTAGCTGTTCAAATGTGTTGGGGCAATCCTAACCATCAATGTTTCTTCATACTCTGCTTTGGTTGGGGTTGAATATGCAGTAGATGCAGTTGAGAGGATGAGTGATTGTAGAATCTACGGACGTCAGTTCAAGGTAAAGGCCAGACCAAACTTATTCTTCATTAACACTAGGTACGATTCAGTGAACGGTTGGTACGTCTTCTCTGATGGGAGGATCTTGATCTCAGATATACGCAAAAGAGTTGTGGAATATACTCCAACGAAACAATGTTTTATTTCACCAGGTAAAGCCCACTGAACTATGGTAGCTCTTTTCAGAAGTGACCTGGCCACAAATATGGCTCAACGAAGTGGCTTATCACGTGTAAATTTATACCGGCCAAATAATATAGTTATTTGCATACACATTGAAAGACAAATGTGATCCAATGCTTTTCTCTCCATTCTTTAGATACCGATTTTATGTATGACCAAATAACTCAAAATGCTCCCAATCTCATCAGATTTAAGAAATTAAGCAGTATTGAAGTGTGGCTAGTTGCTTGGATGTGTAAAAACCATGCCCAAGCAGGTTGTCATCAGCTTTAGGGGTACACCTGGGCAGAAGGGTGCAGTACAGAAAAAGTCCCAGCCATCAACAATAATTCCCATGACCAACATGATGTTGGAAGGTCCTCATTTATTGGATTAACACCATGATGGGAGTCTCCTTGTTGTCAACGTGGATTTTGGAGAAGATTCTGCACTTTAATTTCAAAAAGAATGCACTTCATATTTTTAAATTCAAATTTATAAGTTAAAATATAAAATGTATTAATCTCCAACATCCCATCAGAATGGCGTGCACGGTGGCTGCCCCATTGCTGGGGCAAAGTGGGAACTTCTCGGCGTGGCTGGAGGCACAGGGTGTGAATGCAGAGGTGGCCCAGGCCATGAACTCGGAGCTGGGCATCCGGGACTACGGGGTCCTACGCGCCTGCGTCGGGGACGGCCTCGTGCGGGCCGAGCTGCTGGCCGCGGCGCGCGACCGCCTGCCCTTTGGCTTCTACGCCGTGCTGCGACAGGTGGTGAAGGCCCTGCGGGGCGCTGAGCCGCACGACCCTGGGACGCCGTGCTGGAACGATGCCGCTCCCGCCGCCGCCTCCACATCCTCTCCTGGAGACGTGATGCTGGGAGGCCTGATGGACGTGCTGCTCGCGCTGTTTAGCAGCTTGAGCCGGGAACTGCTGCTGTCTGTGCAGAGGATTGGGGAATTGGATGGAGTTAAACATCCCACAGCTTCAACGGAAATATCCTATAGTCTTGAAGACGAGACCATTGAAACGAATCATAATCCGAGTGTGGAAAATGGTATGAAATGCATCGGCCTATTAATCAACATTGTATTATTTGAATAAGGTTGACTGAGCAATGAAGAGTATAAGATGTTAGGTAAATTCTAACAAGTATTTCAAGTTGCACTCTTTGCTATCATAAGCTTTTGGTCCAATCAAATGAGTTCTACCAGTTTCTTGCCATTAAACAACATGGTATAATATACACAACACACTTGCCTCATAACAAGCCACATGATTCTCTAGTCAGCACGACATTACTAAACGAGTCGTTTTACATTAAATATGCTCGTTTTGATCTAACAAATATTTGACGTGGTATCTGAATTTACAATTAAAAGAACAGACTTAGCAAGGCCATACTTGCGGATGATATTTGGCCATGCCAGTCGGTATGAATTGATGATAACCGTGACTGGGAATCAAAATCGGGTTTCCATAGTTCATAACTAATCACTGCTACCACTCGACTGAATGTACTGTTAGTTGATCCTTTCGGTATTAAGAGGAAGGGGTAATCTGTCACAAGCAATGATGCAATAACTGCAATATTGATTAATTTGTTTTACATTTGTATATAGACAATGGAGAAGATGGGTCAACTCTGTACCCAAGTGACCTTACACCCGGCTTGGCTGTGAATCACATCAAAACGGAATTCTTTGCAGGTAAACTCTTTTCTCAATTCAACAAACACTTGCTTACTCACTGTCGAGTTCTCCAGGTGCAGTTTCCAATTACCACTTTTACGCTGCCTCCAAACATTCCTACGTTTGTGCTTGTTGCGTTTCATTTAGTTGCATTTTATGTCTCCTAGATTCTGAAGGTGAACATAACTTGGGTGACCACCCTGACCTCTCTGGTCCAGACCTCTGTCAGCAACCACAGCATGCAATGGGTGAAATGCATGGTGATGAAACAGCTGGCACCTCTGGCTCCATGAAGACTGAGCAGCAACACTCACATTTTCAGAACGATACGGACAAGGTCACGGAAAACTACAGCCAAAATAATATTTCCATCAACGAGGGAGAGCCGTGTGATTTTAAGCTTGACAATCAGAATGCCCTAACTCCTCGACCAGGATGTACTGGAGAGAAACTGCCGCTCAGTTGCGAGGTGTGTGGGCGTGTGTTCTCCAGGTCCAGCAATTTGAAGGGCCACCTGCTCACACACACGGGTGAGAAACCACACCGCTGTGATGTGTGTGGGCGCAGGTTTTTGCGTGCCAGTGTCCTAAAGACCCACCAATACGTGCATACGGGCGAGAAGCCGTTCCGCTGCGAGGTGTGCGGGCATGGCTTCCTGCGCGCCACCGAACTGAAGGTGCACCATCGCAAGCACACGGGCGAGAAGCCATACAGCTGCCAGGTGTGCGGGCAAGGCTTCATGCTGCCCAGTGTCCTGAAGATACACCTGCGCACGCACACGGGCGAGAAGCCGTGTATATGCCAAGTGTGCGGACATCGCTGCCTGCAGCCCTGCGACCTGAAGAGGCACATGCAGATGCACACGGGCGAGAAGCCGTACTCTTGCAGGGTGTGCGGGCAGTGCTTCGCTCGAAGCAATTACATGAAGAACCACGAGCGAACACGACATGGCCTGGAGAGATCACAAAAAGATGTTTGACATTGTCCCACGTACATGTCTCGTGGATGATGACCTAGCGATAGTGAGCGGAGCGGCTCTCAATCAGAAGGTTGCGAGTTCAAATCCTCGGTTGGGGGTTGACTTGGCCCATCCTGTTTCAGGGCACGTTAAAATGAGTACCGTTCAAATGTGTAGCACTGCATACAGCCCAGTGTATGGAGTGGCCAATGGGGGTAGCCTGCATTTTAGCCGCACTCTCCATCCTTTGGGGTAACTTAGCGGTCTTTGACCACCATACTTGCACTCAGCTCTTGTGCTTCCAAGTTAGCTGCTTGTGTGCGGCATTGAGTACACCCCGGTACATTTCTCGGCTAAGGGGCTGTCCATAAATGACGTCACGCACCTGGGGGGGGGGAGGGGTCAGATATTTGTGACGATGTGTAACGAAGGGGGGGGTTTGAGAAATGTGACGTCACATAAAAATGCGCGACTTTAAATAAATATAGAATTGTTATAACAACACTAATTTTGATTAATTATTTGACTATTTGACTATTTGATTATTTAAATTTACTAATTTACTAAGGTCACCTTTTATTTATTCCATGAAGGAGCATTTTGCTTCTCCATGGGAGAAGGGAGAAGCATACATTTAGAATTTGTTTAATGATTGTTATTAAACATTTTGATTCTAATGATTCTACCAGGGCTTTTAATTCTGTGGAATGAATATATGATTGTTATAATTGTACTCTCCATTTTGCTTCGTTATACTACAAAGTTTCAAGTTGATTTTTTATAGTTATAATTACTTTTAATATTTTATAATTATAAGATAATTTCAATATAATATTCTAAACATCTGCACTTTTAGTTAGACGTTGAATATTTTCAAGTGAATTTTATGCTAAAGTCAAGCTTTCCAACACCTTATTAATACGTGTTTTCTCCTACATCAGATTGCAGCGCCACATTACATATGCACTACAATGACAATAGTTTAAATCGATTTGAAGCATGTTCTATTTTCAAAATGAAAATATAGTTGGGGGGGGGGGGCAGAGCTTTGTGACGTCATATTTGAGGGGGTCTGACTTTTTGTGACGCCGTGTGACGAGTGGGAGGGGGGTCAAAATTTGTCCAGAATTTAACGTTTACAAAATAAATCGTGGGATTTTTTTGCCATTCCCACTGTTTCGTGTGTGTTACAAATGCCGGGTGATCAAATGGTGGTGGGGTGGTGGTGGGTAGGGGTGCGAGTGGTGGTGGGGGGGTGGATGCGTGTGGTGGTGGGTGCGTGTGGGGGGGGGTGGTGGTGGGTGGGGGTGCGTGTTGTGGTGGGGGGGTGGGTGGGGGTGCGTGTGGTGGGGGGGGGTGATGGGGGGTGCGATATGGTGGTGGGGGGGGTGTGGGGGGATGGTGGGTGGAGGTGCATGTGGTGGTGGGGGTGGATGGGGGTGCGTGTTGTGGTGAGGAAGTAGGTGGAGGTGCGTGTGGTGGTGGGTGTGGATGTGGTGTGTGGGGGTGCGTGGGGTGGTGGTGGGGGGGGTGGTGGGTGGTGATGGGGGGGGTGGTGGTGGGAGGGGTGGTGGTGGGTGGGGGTGCGTGTGGTGGGGGGGTGGAGTTTGCCACTGCATGCAAATGACCACGGTCCCTAAAAAAACCTCGCGAGTGACACGGCCAGAGGGCCCGAGTGGTACCAGATTGGAGGTTTTTGCCTCCACGTTATTGAGGCGATACGATAACATTTGCGTATATTTATATTATTTCGAGGGTAGCTTTAGTCGTAAAGGGTAGGGCTTGCCTTGATTCCAGATCTTTCGCCAAGCCCAACATGTTTTGCCGAGCTGCTGATGGAATAAACGTCGCAAGCGTCCTTTATTTTGAATGACTTTTTAAAAAAACAAAAAACATTTTTCCGACGTTTTTTTTTTTACGAGCGATTTTTTTTTAATTTAGCAATAAATTCGTTCGAGGGCAATTTTACAAAAAAAACGCCGCATAAGTTATTTTTGTACTTGAAAGCCAGAGGTTTTTTTTACCTTCAGCTCTGGCATCGGCCGCAACTTTTCCGTGGCTGAGGTTTTGACGGAGGAGGAGGAGGAGCGGCAGCGGCAACAACAACAACAACAGAAGCAGCAGCTTCGTCTCGGCCCTCCATCTTCTCTGGGAGGGCAGTCAATAACGTGAGTACTAATTAACGACGCAGCAGTTCATGATTCCCCACACACACCTCGTCGTAACGTCGAGACATCTTCAATCCACTGCTGGATGAAGCCCTCAACGAGTCCGAGCCGCCGCCGCCTCCTCTCGGTTGCCTGGGCACGCGAATTCGGAATTGCCATCAGTTTTATTTGTTGGGCACATTGAAGCAGGCATCTAACGTTTCCGATTGTGTTAAGACGCTCAACAACAACAAAAAGCCCCGAGGGGTAGTTGCTGCTGCTGCTGTTGATGATGATGATGGTGGTTGATGGTGATGCAATTCAACGCGTGGCCCACTTGGCTTCTCCTAATCGCCAATCGCATTCTAATCTTGCCGATGTGAAGACATGTTTGTGCATTGTGTGTGTGTGAGTGGAATACGTGTGTCCTGTATCGCAGGCAACATAATTGTCGGCTCGTTGTGTTGCTTAGGTTCTTGCGCGTTTGATTTAGTTTGGTGTCTAATTAGGAACCGTGTCCCCTACCCAATGAACATCTGGCAGGTCACCCGCATTGATTCGGCAAGCCTGACTGTTGATGAGGCACCGAAGGTCGAAACCGGTCCGTATTTTGCTTATGTTTGCCCAATGCTGATGATCTGCGTTCCCGAAGGCAGTGAATGCGATGGGGGGTGTGTTAAATATATTGGGGGGGTGGTGGGGGTTGTTGTTTTGCTAAGAGGTGGTAAGTGAAGGAGGCTTCCTCCTTCATGTCTCCTGTCCAACCTATACGGTCGTCTTTTCCAAATATTCTGCACAGGTCATCACGTCTGGTATTGGCACTGCCAAATCTTAAGGTGTGCCATTATTGTGTGGTGCTGCAGGGTATCTCATGAGATGGTCCGTGATTTTCTTCTCCCAACAAGCACCATTATGTCATGAGAGAGTTCCATCTGCCATGTGAGCCATGTGGAATTGGAGGCGTATTGTTTGCTAATGTATTAGTATATATATAACATGCTGTTATTGGTGCTTTAGTACGTATCTTATGGCCAAATCGCCCATAATGGGCCCCGATCCCAGAAAAGTAACTAGGATGAGCCTGGAAAAGCACTTGGAGTAATCCCAGGTGGCCAGGAAAACCTGAAACCCAATTGCATACTGGGTGAAAAATTACCAAATTAAAAACATGTTTATAGTAGCCCCGCGACATCGGTACCATCAAAAAGAATAGGTGATATGGGCCAATCACAAATTAAACTGCTTGGAGGGTACACCAGCAAGTATGTTTTTGAGGGGAAAATCTCCAGATATAAGTTGATCACCAATTGTGTCACCATACTTCACCATGCTGGTCCGTGCATGTTGGTGAAGGGAGTACGTATTTTCTCACCTCTTGCAGAGTATTTCACTGGTGTGTGTGCTCCTAATCAGTGTAGCCTCTCAGGTGTTTGAACTCTCAAGCTTCCGAGCCATATTATGGCAGTGGGTACATTTGTGAAGGGAAAATGGCTGTACATTTCTATATTTGCTGGCATATATCAATTCTTAAAATATGGGGCCCAAGGCGTTGCAGCGAACGAGTCCTTTGAAGGTAAATATGCAGAATTGGGGTCCATCATAAAAATTATAGGGAACTATCATTAAATATCAATACTATGTGGGTTTTTTCCACCAAACTAATGGTAGCACTATAATAGTTTGTAAAAATATATATTTCGCCCATCAACTAGCTACATGGTTGGCAGCAGAAGGCATTGCAGCAACATCCATAGGTGTACTGTTGTTTTTATGCTCCCATATCTGTATATGGGGAAATAACAACTGTGATCACCACACCTTAGGCCCCCATTCAGCAGTGGATTTACTACAAGTTTTGTACACGTCTGCCCTTTAACAACATGAGCAGACAAGGAGAGTCATCTTGTTTGGTTTGTTTAATAAATTATATATGTAAAATTGACTTATCTCTGCACATGTCAGAATGGCGTGTAAGGTGGCCGCCCCATTGCTGGAGCCGAGCGGTGACTTCCCGGCGTGGCTCGAGACGCAGGGCGTGAACGCGGAGGTGGCCCAGGCCATGGACTCGGAGCTGGGCATCCGGGACTACGGGGTCCTGCGTGCCTGCGTCGGGGACGGCCTCGTGCGTGCCGAGCTGCTGTCCACGGCGCGCGACCGCCTGCCCTTCGGCTTCTACGCCGTGCTGCGGCAGGTGGTGAAGGCCTTGCAGGGCGCCGAGCACCACCACGTTGGGACGCCGCGCTGGGACGCCGCCACCTCTCCCGGCGACGTCACGCTGGGGGGCCTGGTGGACGTGCTGCTGGCTCTGTTCAGCGGTTTGAGCCGAGAGCTGCTGGTGTCTATGCAGAGGCTCGCCGAGTGGGATGGAGTTAAAAATCTTACAGCTTCATCGGCAGCAGTTTCTGAGAGTCTTGAAGATGAAACAACTGAAATGAATCATAGTGTGCAGAATGGTATTAAATGCACCAAACTATAAATCCATACAATGTCATAAATGAGTATTGTTTGGCAGTGGTGTTGGGTAGATCCTCATTGGGATTTGAAGTTGTTGCCCACTTTTCTGTCATAAGTCTTTAATTTACTAACATTAATCCCATACTTTCCTTGACATTCAACCACATGCTACAATGTTAATCAGACTCAGACTATTTATCCTGGAGGAATCCGATGGGCTATGAAGCTCTTTTTCACCGATGTCCATACATTTCTCCCCAATAACAGGACACATTTGAATCATGTACTGTAGTTGACATTTATTATCATAGTTGGCACGACATAAGTAGGTGATATCCACAATTGTGTGAGCATTAATATGCTCCGGTGTTTTGATATTTCAAAAGCATTTGACGTATCTTAATTTCCCATTTACAAGTTTGGATTAAGCAGCAAGGTTAGTGGCTGGTTTTTATATTTACTGAAGATGAAACAATTAAACCTGGTAATATATCACATTTTTTTCTCCAGCCTACGTGTGTTTCCTCGATTCTATATTTTGGCATTTACAGTGTTGTTTTCCTGTTATAATTTACAACCATTTGTAAATTCATGGGACCTTTTTGCCAGGATCAAAGTATGAAAAATAAGAATAGGTTTTACCCTTTCTGGCAATAAAACAGGTGTTAAGATTTTAAAACACTAAACAGATGCCTCTTGCAAGGAATCAAGTCTGCATTAACCACACGTACTTGTGAACATGCAAAAAAAATTCTGATAATATATGCATTGTCTTTGAAACTGATTGTCCTACACCAGAGACAGCCTTCTTTATGGCCTAGTCTCAGCAGTGTCACCACAGAACGCCAAAAGGCGAGCAGCACAAAGTCAATGCACGTATCAGAGCATCTATAGCTCGGTGAGCAGCTATATAATGGGACCCTTTTTCAAGTTTCAAAGTATGAAAAATAATAATAGGTTTTACCACTTCTAGCAATATAAAAACATGTCAATTCACTGCCGGATGAAGGCCCTCGCACACCCTACCAGTTGTGGAGGTTGTCTGGTTATAGTTCATATCGGTCACTGTAGGTTGTTAATGGGGCAGGAGGAGGAACAGGGACCCATCACCACTATTGTTAGCCTTAACTGAGAAACTCACTTTATCAGGTTGCTGATATACTACAGGTTATGTCATATTTGCCAAACACTGATGCAAATGACTGCTTACAACGTTGAATCATTTGTTTTTTATCTGTACAGACAAAGCGGAAGAAAGTTCAACTCCATTAAAAAATGATGCCAAATCCAGCTTGACATTGAACCGAATCAAAAACGAGTCCTTTGAAGGTAAATACTTTTCTCGATTTAATAAACACAAGCCACATTCAACGTCGGTCTTTTCTTTAAGCACACATGCCAATGATATAACGGCCTCTCATATAGTGCCTCCATTATGGGGTATGCACTTGTTTTGACTGTAATTTCGTCATTTCGGTTTGTTTCCGAGATTCAGTTGCTGATTTTACATGTGCTGTGCTACTTTCTCGAGCTTTGAAGCAAAGCTAATTAGGACGCACTTCGAACGAACCTCTCGGTGTGTACGAGTTAATTTGGAGATGTGTAAAGCAGGTGTTCATGTATCTCTTAAGGTCATCCATATATGCCCTGGGTCATCTCCCTAGAAGGATTTGTGTGATTTATATGACAATATATTTACATGGATATTGACAGTATTGAGTGGGCTATCTTAATTTAAATGCCATGTTTTCATTGATAGAGATTTTAACATTGCTTTTCATTTCTCTATATTCATTACACTTACGATTTGTATGTCAGTACTTTAACCAGTCAAAATGCTTTGTTTTCTGTTGAAGGTGAACGTAATTTGAGCGGCCACTCTGAACTCGTCATCCAAAATGTGACTTCATTGTCACCTTCGAGCAAAAGCCGTGCATCCACATCTCATGCTGGGACCTGTCGGGAGTCACAGCCGGCGGCAGGTGAAATGGATGATGAAGAAACAGCTGGTACCTCTGGAGTCAAGAGGACATCCCAGCAGTTGACAGAGCAATGCTTTTTTTTTACGGGCGACACTGCTAAGAAGAGTGTCTCCGTATACCAAAGCGAGAAGCGCTCCATCTTCGCTGAGGGAGAGTCACATGATTTTAAACTCAAGAAACCCGATGCCTTAAAGATGTCTCAGCCAGAATGTACCGGAGAGAAGTCGCCGCTCAGCTGCGAGGTGTGCGGGCGTGTGTTCTCAAAGTCGAGCAGCTTAAAGGTCCACCTGCGCACGCACACGGGCGAGAAGCCGCACCGCTGTGACGTGTGCGGGCGCGGGTTTTCACGGGCCAGCTGCCTGAAGATCCACCAGCACATGCACACGGGCGAGAAGCCGTTCCGATGCGAGGTCTGTGGCCGTGGTTTCTCTCGCTCCAGTGACCTGAAGATGCATCTGTACACGCACACGGGGGAGAAGCCGTACAGCTGCGAGGTGTGCGGCCACGGCTTCCTGCAGCCCAACGTTCTGAAGATCCACCTGCGCACGCACACGGGCGAGAAGCCGTACAGCTGTGAGGTGTGCGGCCACGGCTTCTCGCGGCTCAACGTCCTGAAGATCCACCAGCGCACGCACACGGGCGAGAAGCCGTACAGCTGCAAGATCTGCGGGCGTGGGTTCTCGCATCCGAACTACCTGAAGAAGCACTTGCCAATGCACACGGGCGAGAAGCCACACAACTGCGAGGTGTGTGGCCGCGGGTTCTCGCACCTCAACTACCTGAAAAAGCACCTGCGAACGCACACGGGCGAGAAGCCGTACTGCTGCAAGGTGTGCGGGCGGAGCTTTTTACATCCCAGCTACCTAAAGAGCCACCTCCGGATGCACACGGGCGAGAAGCCGTTCAGCTGCACAATCTGCGGACAGCGCTTCTCGCAAAGCTATCACATGAAGTCTCACGAGCAGACGCAGCATGGCATGGATAAATCGCAGCAAGAGATGGATTGATCGTATCTCGCATAAACTCCACGGCTCATCGAGGGGCTCAAAATGTATGAAATGTTATAAAGCTGATTTAGTTTGTAGAAAAAATTGAAAACTAATTACACATGCAACTGGTAACATGTATTTTAGATGTCTATATGTATAGCTCTTTTGTCAGTCCACTGCTGGATGAGGGTCTCTCCATGCCATGCAGGTTGTGGGTGTTACTTGACGGTATTCACCACGCTGGTCAGTGCGAGTTGGTGAAGGTGGAGAGCATAGACATGGGAGCATCGTATGGCACACATGGACTTTCCGGCCTTCAGTACCTGTTTTATGCATGGTGGTTACCCATCCTAGTACTATCCAGGCTCAACTCTGCTTAGCTTTTGAGATATGCTGGGACAAGGCACATTCTGGGTCATTTGGTCATAAGGATGTTAATAAGAAAGTGCTTTTCCGAGGAAATGTTTGGTCGCACTACTGTTTTGCCTTTCCCTCGACACTTTAACACCCTCATAAAACTATCAAAGCAATCCCGCTATGCCCCTAGCCTCCATGTGTACTTGCTTGGTTTCAATGACAATGTTTACACGTCCAGGTATAACGTGGCATATCCAACTCGCTTGGCACTCGGGTATAGGCAGATAATTTTAAAATGTCAGATATGTGAACATTAGAAAAAATTACAGTTGACACCATACACATTTAGGTTCCTGGATAAAATGAGGTGCAAACTGCTTTACACATGGGGAAATGCTTAGAAGTGATGAAGAATACATTACTATATGGTATACAATATATAAGACAAGGTTGCTCCAAATGTTGAAAATAGCTAAACTCCAAGGGATTCTAAACAAGGAGTATTACATTCTAGATTTGAAGTTTTCGTGACTGCAAGGATCCATACTCTTTGGTTCTTTCGGTAAAGTCACGTAGGTATAAAATATATTAAATCACGACGTTTCGGGCGCAACACAAGCGTCCGTCATCAGGTGGGGACAACCACAGCAAGAAACAATTGATGAAGTAGGCAAAAGAGCAGCTTGTAACAAGGGGTTATATAGATGAGGGAGGGGGGAGGAGCCAAGGATAGAGAGTGTGGGTAAGGAGTATTACACTTTATCCATCCAGGCAAAGAGTGGATGTCGACCGTTTCTGTTATAACACTGTCCAGTCAGTCGATGGTCCAAGAGACTCGTGGTTTTGTCAGATCGATTGTTTCCGCAACAGTCCATCGCTTACTCGTCCCTGACGATGGTGATGATGTGAACTAACTGGACGGTAAATTACACTTAATGGCTTCTCAATGATTAAATAAGTCATTGCATTTTTGTGTACATGATTTCTGCCATGTTAACCAATGTTGGGACGTGCATTATTTTCGCTGCCTCTGTCATCAGGGCATCGCTTGCTTTCTGTAGCCGTGATAGACATGGCCGATGCCATTTTCTCGGAACTGGGTATGGGCGGTTGATTGGTCAGGGTGGATATGTGAAGGTCAGGTTTGTGATGTACTGTATACAGATCCTACTGTAGGCAGGGCTCTTTGTGTAAATAAAAATTGTGTGAACAGTATCAGTGGTCACTTTTTGTTATTTTGACGATTGTTTATCAAGGACAGCGTCTACCGAGTCCAAAAAGTTTCAAGACGGTCCGGCTAGGTTTTCACAGTAGTGTGCCACAATTCGTATATTTCCCAATAAAGTAACTGTTTTGTGAGTAATTGTTTCAAGTTTGACAATTCATTATTTTCTTCCTGAAAAGTAGCATTGACATTCAAATATATTTTCTGAGAATTGGATTGGGATATTTACTTTTGGCGACATCCAAGGTCGCCAAAATTAAATGTTCCCTGTTTTATTGTGAATAATACATGTATGTCCAGTACAATTAATGTTTACATTGGGGATAATTTGTCCATTTTTGACCATGTTGGTATGCGTGATGTATGTAGACCACGCTTGGTGGCCAAAGTTACGAGTTGGGGCCCCTTTGACAACCACCATAAGAAAACATGCATTTAGATAATGATTTACCTGCTATACATTTCCACGTGATGAAACACGTTGAACTATCATATGTGGCCAGGCCGCTTTTGAAAAATTATTTAATAGCTCAGTGGGCCTTACCTGGTAATATAAAAATTGTTAAGTTTTATTTGTATATTTTTTAAAGTGATTTCTTTATCTTTCCTATACTTTGCACTCCTATCGTGTTTTGTATTGTTATTGTAACGTTATTACTGGTCCACATTGGACTTATGTGAAAAAGAGCTGTATAACTCGTCGAATTGCCCCAGTATAAATATTCTGATTCTGAATTGGGGGTAACAAGACATCTGGACCACGCTGTAATTGGGGAGATATTTCCTTTGAATGGACTATGTTGATGTAGAGCAGAGGTGGTATATTTATTACATCATTCGCGGGCCATACAAAATTATCAACTTAAAAATTAGCCCGTTATATTTGGTCAAATATTTAATTAACTCACCCCTAATGCGATGGCTGGAACTGCTTCTCTTTGGTGAGGCGTGGTGATGTTAGCTGGTATTGATGATGTTGCTACTCGCAACTGCTTTTCCAGGTTTGCTCCTAGATTTATTGAATTTCGGGTCTCACCTGCGGTTGCCTTGGCAGGGCCACACCAAATGATTTCTTGGGCCTTATACGGCCCGCGGGCCAGACGTTCCCCACCCCTGATGTAGAGCAACAGACAGATGTACATTTACATTGAGGTGGTGGGCTCAGATAATTGCCGCAGGAATATCGGAGTGATGCATCGTTGTGGTGACGCCTCCTTTTTCGTATTTGTCAATCGGGCATGTTAAAATTAAACTAAATTGTTTATTTTACCAGGTAAGACCCATTGAGTCACTTAGCTCTTTTTCAGAATCAATCTGGTCACAAATGATAGCTCAATAAAATAAGGAAAAACCGGAGGTCCCAGAGAAATAACGCGACCACGCGGAGAACATGCAAACTCCGAATATATTTTATTTTGATATTCAATTCTGTTTTTAAAAAACCTGACATACAAAAATATGACGTTTTAGAGAATGAAATTGAGGAGTCACAAGACATCTCTAGACGACGCTGTACATCTGAGTCCCGTTCTTGAGTTTAGCTGCCCGTGGTTAAAGAAGCTGCAGGTGGTGAACAATTGTTACATTTGAGACAGCTGTTGTGAAGTTAGACTGATTGCTGCCTTTAAAGGGCCACTTAAGCCGCTACAGATTTATTGCTGAGCTAGCGAATGGGTGATGAGTTGGAGCACAGAAGTGTGGTCCTGTGTTCATGAAAATGGAATGTACCGAATTCTCTTCATTATAGGACGCAGCCTCCCCCTGTTCTTAAAAGCAACGATTGGGATGGTGCCTATTATAATCCGGTCGCTGTGTGTATCGTGTGCGCGTGACCAGATTGGGATTACCCATTACACTGGTCAACACACTTTTTCTGGCATAAGGTATTCCAACGGTTTTAAGGTAATTTTGGGGTGTTGATCTGGCATCAGTTGTGTCTATCATATCAGGTTTTTGAGATATCAAATATTGCATTTTCAATAAAAACTGCAGAAGAAAAATATTAAATAAATGTGGATATCTACATAAAATGAAATTATAAACACTATCCTAAAAATACAGCACCATATTTAACACTAAAGCAGTCACTGACTCGCAACAACTTGCAATCATAAGTGACAGAGTTAATTTCGGGTAAAATCAATGAAAATGGGGTATGCCGATAGCATAAAAACGAGATGTGATAGAGCAAATCTGAGATCAGATTTGGAATCGGCACCCTGAAATTAGTCTTAAACAGCTGCAAAAGTCCAGGCCAGAAAAAAATGTTTTTTTTTTGTTGACCAGTATTATGAAATCATCATCATCATCATGGACAATACAAACTTAGTGACACAAGTTTATGGGGGGCTGCGACTGACTTTCCGGAGCGTCTTATTATAATCCGCAGAATGCTCCAATTCTACGACCGTTTAAAAAAACCCATAGACTTTGGGTCTCAATAAAAGGTTTTAAACCTCCAGACCTGACATCACCGCAGCAGGCGCAGGCGCAGACGCACGTGGTTGTTGTTCCCTCGCTACCCCCCCCCCGTTCCCGATCGGTAACAAATATCTGAACCGCTTCTTCTTGATCGATTCGATACTGCGGTGCAGTGCGTAAACGACAGCACCGAGGGAGACAAAGGCGGCCGGGCGCGGTGTTGGCCACTCCACGTGCCGTGGCCGGGGCCCTTCGTGTGGGTTGCTAATCGCTGACGGAACTTGCCCCGACAGTCTGCCGAGGCTACACGGCGTCTTTGTTTTCGTTTCTTTAGAAAGTCACGAAGGAAGTCGTTGCGGTGTTTTAGCCTGGCGTGGATTGTACTTCTCGTCATCATCATCAATCACCTTGGGGCCGATACAGTGAGTACTCGTTTGTGAAAAGTCAAACGCTGATGGCATGATGCTGGTAGGAACCTCCTGGCTACACCAGCCCACAGGAGATTGTTGTGTCCGTCCGTCCGTCGTGGATCCAAAAATAGGAGGGGTGGGGCTGGGTGGAGAGGGGAGGGTGGGGAGGGGCTGGGTGGGGGGTGGGAGGGGTGGGGCTGGGTGGGGAGGGGCTGGTCACCCCGTGGTGCCCTTATAAAACTCAACGTTTAACCTACTCACGCCGGCTTGTGCCCGCCCTCACAGTCGGCCATATTTGCGGAATACACCACGCCGCCGTTGACCCTGCAGGCCATTGACCGAGCAACCCAACGTTCCTACCAGCTCCCTCCGCAGGAGGAATGTGTTATTGGCCCTCGTCACTTGGAATGTGAAATTGCCACGACCGTCTGGGGAGATGCTGAACTCCCGCATGTCCCCTTTGCTTGATGGGACCGTCAGACCTCTCCACTGTGACTGGATTCTCAACCCTGCGGTGATGATGAGAGGTGACGCATTGGTTAGCGCATTAAATACTTCCACCTGAATTCGATACCCGCCCACGGCTAACATCAGTGGGCAGATATAAAGGTGCTGTCTAGGAAAGAAGTCTGCAGTTTCGAAGGTTTCCATAGCGCCTCTGATTAACACGGCTGGCTGCGGTGCGGTGTGAAATAAGTTCAGCATCCATAAAATCGGCGTTATTATTTCGTCAGATGCTATTGGTCCCTTTTGCAGTTTTAAGGCCCACCATATCACACAAACTGACATGTACATTACAGTGTTGTCGATGGCCTATGGCAAAATCACCCAGAATTTGCCCAATCTCAATGCCGGCACGGCACACGAGGGGTTGGGTGGCCAGCACAACGCAGGACCGCCTTTGTCCCCGAGTAGCGATGTTTACACACCGCACCAGGTACTCATTTGATGCAGAGTCGACCTAGGCAGAGGCCCATGATCTGTTCAGATAATGGCCACCGGTGTTGGCCATGAGCGAGAATCTAACTCGGGTCACGGCCCGGTTCGCAGGGCTACATTTTAAGCAGCAGAGGGCAGTACGGCATTGCAAAGGGTGGTCCAGATGTCTTGGCCATTTAATCCTCTTTAACGTATTTTTAAAAGTTAGATTTATTTAAAACAGAAATGAATATGCAAAGGGGGAAAAAATATTGGGGGTCACAAGACATATCTACGACCCTGTACAATATTTCGATAATAAAGCATTAATGCTCTCTCACCTTCAGCAATCCACACTGAGACCATTGTGGTGAAGTATGGTCAAACAAACCCCCATGAGCGACATGGCATGAGGAGGCCTTCCAGTATTAGATGAACTCGTAAACATGTAAATATACCCCATTCAAAATTAACATGTCCCTTCTACTCATCCCATCAGGATGGCGTGTGCAGTGGCCACTCCGGTGCTGGAGCCGAGCGTGTACTTCCCGGCATGGCTTGAGGCGCAGGGCGTGAACACGGAGGTGGCCCGGGCCATGGACTCGGAGCTGGGCATCCGGGACTACGGGGTCCTGTGCGCCTGCGTCGGGGACGGCCTCGTGCGGGCCGAGCTGCTGGCCACGGCGCGCGACCGCCTGCCCTTTGGCTTCTACGCCGTGCTGCGGCAGGTGGTGAAGGACCTGCGGGGTGCCGAGCGCCACGATGCTGGGACGCCGCATTGGGATGCCGCCGCCGCTGCTGCCACCGCTTCCACCTCCTCTCCCGGCGACGTGACGCTGAGAGGCCTGGTGGACGTGCTGCTCGCGCTTTTCAATGGCTTGAGCCGGGAATTACAAATGTCTGTACAGAAACTGGATGACATGGAGCATCAGAGACATGCCGTGGCATCTCCTTTACCAACAACTGCTGTCACTTTTGAAGATGCAACAGCACAAATGCATTCTTGCATAGCAAGCGGTAATGAATGTCAACTTATAAATCAATATTACATTTTTGGGTAATGTTTCACAGAGGAATGGAGATGATGTTGTTGATGATGTGAGGAAAATTGGGACAGTGGGTTGGAACCCCGAGGTGTGTGGTGTCTTCTCCACGAATTTGGCAATCTGCGAATCACATCTAGAACGCTGCACGTCTGCATCGAGAGAGCAAGAGAAGTAAAGTGATGAGATAAAGTGATGAGAGAGGAAGCGTATTTACATATTTATTTAAGGCGAATACCATCCTTAAAATTTGCTATTCATGAACATCTCCAGAGTGTATACCTCTTGAATAACGAGGGAATATTGGACTTTAGTAAATTAACCCTTCCCCATTCCGAGACATCTGCAAATTGCAGGGTGGGTCCCGTTCACCGCTGAATCTCGGAACACGTAAGCGGTTAGCGTTAATTTTATTTGGAGAGCCATAACGCTGCTGTTTTTAAAGACGTTGCACTCACCACATAAAACTATAGCGACACGACTGCACTCTATGATAGCTGGTGCCAAACTATGCCACACGCCCTTCAATGGGCCCTCACCTTGTTGGAAACGGGAATTACCATGATGAGATCCTGAGCGGGATTGGAATTTGCCGGATTTGTGGTCGTGATCTAGGTGCTCTCGTCATGTGAGCCTTCTTTACACAGCAAGTTGTATTGAACAGTACATTTTATCCACATAGGGATACATTTGACACATTTGCACTTTTGATTGTTCAAGTTCATCATCATAATCATCAATAGCCAGAATCTATTCACTTGTCATAATGCATTCCTTACGTCATCTTCTTTCACAGTCGTGCAATACCTTAATCCTTCTCTGCAGTGATAATCTGTATGGTAATATTCTATAGTTTGGCTGCCAATGTATCAAAAGTATCATCCATTGGCCATCATCCCTTTAATCATGATGTGTCCTGCCCAAGCCAACTTTATATAATGGTCAATGTGACGTCTCTACTATGCATCCATGTCTTTCTCGTCCTATCAATCTCTGTCCGATAATGCATTTCTCCACACTTTATCTACTTTTCATATTTTAATCTTGATTTGAAGCTTTCGTGACTGCAGGAATCCATCATTAGGTGATGATGGACGCTTGTGTTGCGCCCGATACGTCGTGATTTGTTTTATACCTACGTGACTTTACTGAAAGAACCAAAGAGTATTTTCATATTTTGTTCCGTTTGCTTTCTTGCGTACGTGTTTCCGACCCATGTCATACCACACGATGCACTCATTGAAAACGTTCACCTTTTGGCACATTGGTATGTTACTTTTCATTATCAAATTCATTTTCCAAAAGTATTCCAACCTCCTCTCGCTTGCATCTTAATATCGTAATGTTGAACCTTGTTCACCTTCAGTAATTGCCATCCATGTACATACTCTGTGTTCATCAGCTCCAATGTTTTCCTATTGTACAGAAAACGTGGTGTGCATGACTTATGTCTTCCTCATATTCTAGTCCAACTTGGGTTTCATCTCCATCGGGTGATATAATGACTGTCATCGGCAAATATGAATCGGTTATGATATCTGCATTTACTTTCATCCCTTTATTTCTCTGATCCAATTTTTTGAAAACATCTTCTAATGTCGCTGTGCTTATCTTTGTTTCGGGCTATGGGGGGCACGTAAATGACACTTGCAGGTCAACATTACTCGTCATTTTGACTTGTAGTATATTTGGGATTACAGGTGAAGGGGAGATCCAATGTCAATTTAAAGTGTTTTTTTTCTCCATTTTTTTGTTTAAAAAAATAATGTATGCAATGCTTCTTAATCTGTTGTGGCTTTGTGTAGACGAGGCAGAAACGATTTCAGCTGCAGTTAAAGAGGAGTCCGAACCCATATTGACAGCAAGTCTTCGTAAAGCAGAGCTCTTTCAAGGTATGGTGTTTCTTTTCTACAATGAACACAACACCCCTGCTGCCATCCTTTCTGAGTACAAATCACCAACCAAAAGTTGTGTTCACGCTTGTGTCTGGACATCAGTCATATTCTCTTTATTTCTAGATGCTGTTGCTGATTTGAATCATTCTCTACTGCTTCCACAAGTACAGAAGCAAGGCTCAGTAGACCACTCTGCAAACGAATCTCTTGGTAAGTGTGAATTACGTTCATATGTTTGAAAAAGAGGTGGTCTGATATGGTAACTCAAGACTTTTAAAATGTACGTCGCAGAAATTAGGCCGCTCCTATTTCGGTCTTTTGCTTATGCCCTTGGTTACCTCTTCCACTAAAAGTATTCTACATCTCATGGATATTGTATTCTATTTAAAACGGTTCCTATTAAAAGTCTGGATTTATAATAGTAATGACAATTATTTACCCAGGAGAGCCTCACCAAGTATCTAAGATTTTGTTCAGGCAAGTCCTGCATGTAGATGTTTGGCTGGTGCCATTAACGAGTATTTGGCTTCATGTGGGATGAAACCGGAAGAACCCCATTACCCAGAGAAATGTCAAGCATTTGAGGGGGTTACACTCAAGCCTTTTACGTGAACGTTTTTGTCTGGACTAAATGCATTGCGCTGGTTTTTTATGCTCCTGAAGGTAAACCTCACTTGGACATCCACCCCAAATTCATCATCCAGAACGTGACCTCACTTTTGCATTCCAAACCAAATCCCACAGACACTCATCCGTGTCTGTGGCTAAAGCAGGAAGCGAGTATAACACTCAACGAAGACACAGAGAACGGCTGTCTGTCGGTAAATGCGGGCCAGATGCCCTCCGGTGAGGGCACGTCATACGAGATTAAATCGGCATTACCCAACCACCTAGAAAAGCCTCGGTTGCAAACCTCTCAAGACAAGACGCACAGCTGTGACGTGTGCAATTGTAGCTTCACCTCGCCTAGCGAGCTCAAAATCCATCAGCACGAGCACGTGGGCGAACAATTGCACCACTGCAGGCTGTGCGGGCGCAAGTTCCTGAAGTCCAGCTACCTGAAGATCCACTTGCGAGCGCATACGGGCGAGAAGCCCTACTGCTGCCAGTTTTGCGGGCACAGATTTTCACGGTACGGAGTGCTGAAGAGCCACCTTCTGACGCACACCGGTGAGAAGCCGTACACCTGCAAGGTGTGCGGCCGCAAGTTCACGCAGCGCTCCAACATGAGGTCCCATGAACGGACGCAGCACGGCACGGGGGGGTCATGAAAAGGCGTTGAGTGATGGGGTCCTGCACTGTCTAATTAATGCAGTGACTTTCAGCGCTGGGTTTTGAGGGGGCTCCCAAAAATGTATATTGTACTGTTATGTAATGGTTCAAATGAAAGTCTGTAGCACTGTGATAAATTATCTCGGTAATTTGGTAATTAAAATTACAATGACTTTGTATCGATACCAATTATGTGCCGGCATTAATATAGTTTTGCTCTTTGTAACATTTAGCTTTACTATATATCACATAAAAAACAGAACGGAAGTAACCATGGTTAATAAGGGTGTCGTTTTTGGCATCATAGGGCATGGGTAGTGGTGGTAAGACAACAGGAAGGAAGGAATTGAGTATGCAAAGAGAGGCCCCCAAAACTCTAGGTCCCCATCAAAACCTATCTGGCCCTGGTCCCATGTACGTGGATTATTGTCTCAGAATGTATAGTGTGTCTTTGAAATAATGTGCGCCAGGACTGCATTTAAATGGTGATGTTGTTAGAGGACCGCAAAAATTTTGGAAAAAGTAAAAAATCACATTCTCGAAGCTTAAAAATCGAACAGCATGCAAAGCGATGCTAACTTCTTGTTCACTGCGTAATCACGCTTAGGGGCCGTCCATAAATTACGTCACGCACCTTGGGGGGGGGGGTCAAACATTTGTGACGATGTGTGACGAGAGGGGGGGGGGGGTTTAGAAATGTGACATCACATCAAAATGCGCAACTTTAAATAAATATAGACAACACGTTCTGCTTATAAAACAGTCTGCATCAGCAGCAGGCCATGCATGCTTTCCCACCTGATGACGGACGCTTGTGTTGCGCCCGAAACGTCGTGATTTATTTTCTTTTATTTTTATACCTACGTGACTTTACCAAAAGAAACAAAGAGTATGGATTCCTGCAGTCACGAAAGGTTCAAATCAAAAATGTTTTCCCTTACAACATCAGAGTGCAGCGCCACATTAAATACGCACTACAATGACAATAGTTGTCCCATTTTAGTACTGTGCTGTCCGGTAGCATTTTATCGTGCTTTCCACAATTGGCTTGTAATTTTCATTGTATTTTGTACCTGGCATATTAGTGTATTTTTGTAATGTATGAAAACAATTTGGTAAAAATTACATTTTCAATGCATACACTTTTATTTGCACTCAAAAGTATAAAATAAAAAAAAATTGACCCCACAATTAAGCTAATTTTATGTGCTCAATAAAAGTGGGTGGCTTGCATAAAAAAAATTAAACGTCGAATGGAATTTGTGATTTAAAAAATAACGGGGGGGGGGGGATAAAATGTACGAGTATTAATAATAGAATTTTAGTTTAAAACACGAATAGGACCACGATGGGCGGGACCTGGACCGTTTTTTTAATGAAACCTTGAATTGTCACGCAAGGAGGTGAGTCTGTGTGGGAATTTTCAGCTCGTTAGACTTTGTAGATCCGAAGATATTAAGCACCAAATATTACAAAGAATATAAACAGACAACACAGCAAGTTAAATAAAAGTGTGTAAAAAAAAGGGCTACATTTTGTCGACCTGGCAGCATGAAACTTTTGTTTGAGAAACCAGTGATAGCGGGGCACCCTACCTCGGAATCGTCCCAGTAGAGGATATCAAGAACACACATCTTACAAACGTCGTGGTTGGGAAACAAAATAAGAGCCATTTTTTTCTGAAATCGATATTTCAAGAGCTCCACAATGCATGTGAATACATACATACATACCGGCACGAAGCAGTCAGTAAAGAGTCACATGCGGCTTCGGAGTCGCCGGTTGCAGACCCCTGGTTTAGAGTATTTGACTACTGCTATAAATGTCCACGTAATGAGTCGCTTGTTGAGGTATCGTTTGTGGCCAGGTCGCTTCTGAAAAGGAGCTACAGTAGCTCAGTGGGCCTTCCCTTCTAAAATAAAACAAAATGTTAATTAAAAAATCTATTCCATGGCAGATTAAGCTCTTTTACAGATTTTGACCTATGTATGACACTGGATGGAAATGGAATCCGCTTGAAAGGTATAAACAGACTGGGGATGTTTCAATTACAGTACTTAATAATGCTTTCAAGTTTTTAGCAACTGCTTGCTAAAAAAGCTGATTGTTAATTTGAAAGCCTAATTTTGGGGGATTTGTTTTTAATGTATGGGAGTGTTCATCCTTACGAGGCTTGAGTAGTTTTAATGTTATATTTGAGTGTGTGATTATAGCATTTGATGTTTACTTCGTTGCTTCCCAATGCATATATACTGTCGTGTTTTGTATGTGTTCGGCCAGTTACATGAATAAATAGTAATGGAAAAACGTTGGGAGTATTTGTAAGTCATCATTTTGTTTCATAACAATATCATTTGCAGCCTGTTGTTAACACACTGCTGGATGAAGGCCTCCCCGTGTCAACTTCCCTGCATTGTGGAATGGCTTCCTGTACGTGAATTATTCAAGGATTATAGTCGATCGATAAATTCGACTTAGGAACTTTCAGAGATATGGACAAACCTGCCAGTATGTCCAGTTGCCTGTTCGGACCGAGATTCGTAAGTTCAACCGCCGCGGAATAGATGGCGGTGGTGGCATCTACATCAACAGAACGTGAAGAACCAGTGGTATCTACATCTACAGGAGATTATACAACTTCTAAAGCCATTCTCCATGTTTAGTGTATATGCCGTACAACATGTTTGGAATCGACAGAAGTCAATTGGACTTATGAACAAATCGACTTATGAACAGACCTCTGGAACCTAACTCGTTTATAAGTAGAGGAGTCCCTGTATATGTATTCATTCGCGATTATGTTTAAGCAGAGGCTAGTTATTCGTGGATCGTCTTAGAAAAGAGGAACTTCATCCTCTTTTTTTTCTGGATGGAGGAAATGTGCGGATAATCCTATGCATAATAGGATTCACAGTGTTTTATCCCGTGAAACTGCCCCTGACCTACTGCTGCTGAAACAAAGTAAGTTGTTACTTATGTTGCCCGTGCATCATTTGTGTTTTTAGATGATTTACCTTCTTTAAAAAACAATTTGGCCACGTCTCGCACCCCTAGGGGGTGCGTGCATCCACAGGTTAAGAATAGGCACTGATTTAAGGTAGTAAACGTATAGAGTCAAATTTATATTTATGAAAAAATATGAATAGGTTTACCCTTCTGGCAATAAAACAGGTGCTAAGATGTTCAAACACCAAATAGAAACCGTTTGCAAGGAATCAAATACTGATTTAACCACACACATTACTTGTAAACATGCAAACAAAGCACGCTCTGATAATACTGTTATCCATTGCCCCCCTTTGCACGTGAAGGGCTCACAAGTGGCATCATTACATCTATCCCTCGACTTAAGGAACGAAACAGGAGGATTTCGCCACAAATCTGGCTGTCCGCCTGATAATGATAGTTGTAATTACTGGTGAAACGTCGTACTCTGATTGTAAATGTTGTAGATTTGCTCTCCAACACACCAGTGTGCTCTACTAGTAACACCTTAGTATGTTCTGTTTTAGGTGACAGAACATACGACACATTTATATTTACGCGATTTAACCCAAAAAAAATTATATTATGGATGATATTGGTCGCGAAAGCCTACTGCGTGTTAAACTGTCTTTGAAACCTATTGGTCTACACCAGAGACAGTCTTTAGGGGCCGTCCATAAATGACGTCACGCACCTAGGGGGGGGGTCAGACATTTGTGACGAGGGGGGGGTGTTTGAGAAATGTGACATCACATCAAAATGCGCAACTTTAAATAAATATAGACAACACGTTCTACTTAATTAAATAGACTTTTTAATAAATGTTTTCTCCTACAACATTAGAGTGCAGCGGCACATTAAATACGCATGACAATTGTTTAAAACGATTTGAAGCATGTTTTATATTTGGGGTGGGGGCAGAGATTTGTGACGTCATATTTGAGGGAGGGGTCTGACTTTTTGTGACGCCGTGGGACGATGGGGGGGAGTTAAAAAATCGTCCAAAATCGCGTGACGTCATTTATGGACGGCCCCTAAATTGTGGCCTAGTGTCAGACCCAGAGAACAACGCCAAAATGCGAACAGTACAAAGACAATGCCACGTATCAGAGCATCTGTAGCTCTGCGTGAGCAGCTACACAACGGGATACCTTTTTGGCCAGTATACAATCAAAAACAAATATTTAGCAAGCAGCAACAGAGCGTTTAGTACCCGCAGATGTGGCCCAAGGGACAATGATACATTTATCCCACCACCCCTCCCCCATCCCACCCCTCCCCCATCCCTCCCAACCCCTCCCCCATCCCTCCCCACCCCTCCCCACTCCTCCCCCACCCCTCCCTCATCCCTCCCCAATCCCTCCCCCACATCTCCCCACCCCTCCTCCCCCACCCCTCCCCCATCCCTCCCCTACCCCTCCTCACCCCCCCCACCTCTCCCCACCTCTCCCCACCCCTCCCCTCCCCCCACATCTCCCCACCCCTCCCCCACCTCCCCACCCCCCCACCTCTCCCCACCCCTCCCCCCACCTCTCCCCACCCCTCCCCCACCCCTCCCCCACCCCTCCCCTACCCCTCCTCACCCCCCCACCTCTCCCCACCTCTCCCCACCCCTCCCCTACCCCTCCCCTACCCCTCCCCAACCCCTCCCCACCCCTCCTCCACCCCTCCCCCACCCCTCCCCAACCCCTCCCCAACCCCTCCCCACCCCTCCTCCACCCCTCCCCTACCCCTCCCCTACCCCTCCCCAACCCCTCCCCACCCCTCCTCCACCCCTACCCCTCCCCCACCCCTCCCCCACCCCTCCTCCACCCCTCCCCCACCCCTCCCCCACCCCTCCTCCACCCCTCCCCCACCCCTCCCCCACCCCCACCCCTCCCCCACCCCTCCTCCACCCCTCCTCCACCCCTCCCCCACCCCTCCCCCACCCCCACCCCTCCCCCACCCCTCCCCCACCCCTCCTCCACCCCTCCTCCACCCCTCCCCCACCCCTCCCCCACCCCCACCCCCACCCCACCCCCACCCCTCCTCCACCCCTCCTCCACCCCTCCCCCACCCCTCCCCCACCCCCACCCCTCCCCCACCCCTCCTCCACCCCTCCCCCACCCCTCCCCCACCCCTCCCCCACCCCCACCCCCACCCCACCCCCACCCCTCCTCCACCCCTCCTCCACCCCTCCCCACCCCTCCCCCACCCCTCCCACCTGCTTATTAAATGACCGCGGTCCCTTAAGTCAGGAATTCTCCCTTTTGAGAAAACGCGAGCCGACCAAAATCGTCATCGCTCCTTTTACACAACGCGTCTATGGTTTATTTGCCTCGTATAACAGGGCCTCGCAAGAGAATGCCAAAGTAAAACTATGTTCCTTTACAACATTTAATTTCCGCAGATAGATATTAAAACCTCTAAAGTGTCGTCCGTCGTCTCGGGGTAAGCGCGCGCATTCGTTTTGTTGTTATTTGGTGCCAATGCCATACGCGCCAGATTGATGGCCCTCTGTTAAAGCGGTCGTGAACTTTACAGTTTAATAACAGTCACGTACGTGTAACTAGTTTGGTTAATCCACTGCTAGATGACTCCCCCCCCCCCCATCATCGTGCCATACGTGCCAGATTGCTGGCCTCTCGAGACGCGTACTTTTTGGTTTTTTCGGTAATGTCACGTTGGTAAAAAAATTCAAATA